GTGTTGCTCTTTTTTAATTGGCACTTTTATGAATTAAAACAAAGGGGCGTGCAGTTAACTCCTACAACACTTCAGCAAGCTGTCCGTATAAGCTGTTAAATGTATAAATTAGCTTCAGAGACAATGAATGGTTATAGGTATACCAGGCATTATACATGGTAAGGTGAATTAACGTATCAATTACTGTCACAGTAGGTAGGATAAAACTTGTGAATGTTTAACAGTATGTCCCTTTGATTTTGCAGGGCCCGGTGTTCTTTCTTGAGGATGGCAAGTCTGCAATCTCATTGAACGATGCTTTAATGTGGGCAAAAGTCAATCCGTTTTCACCTTTAGGAACAGGAATAAGACTAAATCCTTTCTGAATCAATTTTGGTTGATTATATATGCCTCATTATTGAGGTTGTTTAATAAAAAGCTGCTTACCACATGATAATACATAAATGTGTGGATTGGATTTACATATTTATGCTTTAACAAACAGTGCGTTTTCAGTGAACAAATTATCATGCTTGTTTCTATTTTAATTTATTTTTTTCATTCCAACCAATGCAGCTATAGTTTTTAAACATTGTGTTTGGCAATGGTAATATCCTGTTAAACCCAGTACATAATATGGGAAATGAACTTAGTGGTTTAAATACCCAAAGACCAGAATTCTATGTTAAAGAGTTTATATGTCACATGTATGCAGATTACATGTATTCCGCACAGGGTCACAAAATTCTTCAAATGTTCGAACAAATTCTCTGATTGTTCTTGTTCATGCAAATGCTGTACATATGTCCACACAAAGAATTTAAACTGTGAGATTTATTAATGTAAATTTTAGCATACAATTTGTACTGTAACTGAATGTGTCTAGTACAGCACTTAATAGAAAGATGAATGCCTAAATTTTTTTACCATATACATTTCCCTTACATAAATTGTTTATACAAATGTTATATTTAATAAATAAACGAAACAGATTCATTATGGTCATAGTGTTTCTTATAAATAAAATGTTCTCTTTTTTAGCAGCATATATTTTTTCAGTTTGTTTCACTTTTCTTCGGTTATCCATTTTAAAAGATTTTAGGCAATAAATGTATTACATTGTTTTTCAGGGGATTGCTTTTAAATACTTTCTAGGTAAGAATTATTGTACAAAATTTCACAACTATATACAAATTGATGCAACTCAGTCATTCAAATAAACTATTGACAATCTTTGTGTGTGTGCTCTTTTAAAAGTATTAAGTCGTTTCTTTCTAATAAACTTCTGTCCAAAAGCAACCCCTTAATAACCATCAACAAATCATGATTTTATAAATGAGAATAATAATTCATAATATTGATAGACTCTTACAGAGACAAAAAAAAAAAAAAGAATTAGAATGATTAGAAACACTGGTTATTTATGAATACTAGACATTTTCCACTCTATTTATAGCCTATGTGTCATGCAATGTTCTGTTCATGTTTTGCTTGTCAGCAGAGATTTAAATTTAAACAGGTTGTCTAAGCTCCATAACCAAAACAAAAAGCAATCAATAGAAATATCAATTTATCCTTTCTGGTAAAATATTTTATAGATAAATAACCTCTACATGCTGTTATAGTGGTGCAAGCACTGTCCTCCAGTTCTGGGTGCATTTTCCCGAGGCTTAACCAAAACCAAGGGTGACCAAGCAAGTATGTCAGCTTAAAATATGGATGATATGGAACACTTGTAAAGCAGCGAGCGAGGATCATGCCATAGGGACCTCCGGATTTGTCAGAACCACACATCTGCATTAACAAGTATAACACTGTGTCTTTTGAAATGGGATTCCCTTACCTTGGCTTCATGCCTAGACTTGGGAAGAAGAGGTGTTAAGCAGCTATACCTACCCAAACCATAACACTACCCCTCCCCCATCATGTTTCACAAAGAAGGTAAGGTGCTTTGGACCTTTCTTTCACTTTCTAATCAGTCTGCTACAGGCTAATGTTCATCTTGTCGGTACATTAGCTTTTATTTCAGAAACCTACTGTTTTATGTAGCTTTAATAGCTTGGCCAGTTTGATTCGGTCAGTAATTGGCTGCTGGAGCAGTTGATTGTATTTTTGAAGTCTGAGATTTGTAAATTACCTGGTGAACAAACTCAGACTGGAACTGCTGCAAAGCCACTGCCGCAGAGACCTACTAGGAATGGCAGATGGATTACTGTAGGATCTGGTAGACAGAGTTGTGGATAAAAGGCATATTGCACAGTCTGTTGCTCTACATAATTAGTTTTCTGCACTCTCAGAGTGTAATGGTGTTGTGGAGAGAGGCACTGAGTCTAGTGGTGTTGTGGAGAGGGGCACTGAGGCTAGTGGTGTTGTGGAAAGGGGCACTGAGGCTAGTGGTGTTGTGGAGAGGGGCACTGAGGCTAGTGGTGTTGTGGAGAGGGGCACTGGGGCTAGTGGTATTGTGGAGACCGGCTTGGAGACTATGATGAGGCCTAATAGAAAGCAGTTGTTGGGGGATTCCATCATAAGAGGTGTGGAGATGGACCATGGTGGTCTTGTGAGGTGTCTTCCCGGAGCTACTGCTCACAGAGACAGGAGACGTATCTGTAATATTGTTAAGTGAGCAAAGCAGGAAGGGGAATTGGATGTACTTGTCCATCTAGGGACAAATGACTTGGCTTGCAATGAGGTTTCAGAGGTTAAGGACGTTTTTAGTGTTTTTGCCAATGATATACGTCAGGTTGCTTCCACACTCTCATTCTCTGAAGTTCTGCCTGTGCATAACACTCAGAACGACAATGAAGGGGGAAGTTATCATCATGGGTGACTTTAATCTTCCTGATGTAAATTGGAAAACAAAAATAGCTGCTTGTGCCAGGAGCACACATATTCTAAACTCCCTACTGGGACTGTCTCTAAAACAAGTCGTTGAGGAACCAACTCGTAAAGAGGCCATAATAGATTTACTGTTAACAAATGGAGATTTGGTATCAGATATTACTGTAGGTGAAAGTTTAGGATCCAGTGATCATTAGTCAGTGTGGTTTAATATAAGAACAGTGACTGAGTCACACCACACAAAAACTAAAGTTTTAGACTTTAGAAAACCAGACAGACAGTCAGTAAATAAGGGTGACAAAACATTTTTTAGATACATAAATGAGAAAAGAAAAGTAAAACAATGATTAGTTAAATTAAAAACAAAAGAAGGAAGGTATGTAGAAGAGGATAAAGGTCTAGCTGACTGCCTCAATGAATATTTTTGTTCTGTATTTACAGATGAAAATGAAGGAAAGGGACCTCAGTTAAGAAAAAGGATAAAGGAGTCATCTATTACACGTGAGTTTACAGGGGAAGAGGTTCTATTTCAACTGTCAAAAGTAAAGACAAATAAGTCAATGGGACCTGATGGAATACACCCAAAGCTATGAAAAAAAGAGCTTAGTGGTGTACTAGCAAAACCATTAACATATTTATTTAACCAATCATTGTTAACAGGAGTAGTCCCAGAAGATTGGAAGTTAGCGAATGTTGTGCCCATTCACAAGAAAGGTAATAGGGAGGAGTTGGGCAACTATAGGCCAGTAAGCCTTACTTCAGCAGTGGGGAAAGTGATGGAAACCATGTTAAAGGATAGGATTGTTGAACATCTAAAAACACATGGATTTCAAGATCAGAAACAACATGGGTTTATTTCAGGGAGATCATGCCAAACAAATCTTATTGATTTTTTTGATTGGGTAAGTAAAATTATAGATCAGGGTGGTGCAGTAGACATTGCTTACCTAGATTTCAGTAAGGCTTTTGACACTGTTGCACATAGAAGGCTTATCAATAAACTGCAATCTTTAAGTTTGGATTCAAATATTGTTGAATGGGTAAGGCAATGGCTGAGTGACAGGCAACAGAGGGTTGTAGTTAATGGAATATATTCGAAGCTTGGACTTGTCACCAGTGGGGTACCTCAGGGATCAGTACTTGGACCCATTCTCTTTAATATTTTTATTAGTGATATTGCAGAAGGTCTTGATGGTAAGGTATGTCTTTTTGCTGATGATACTAAGATATGTAACAGGGTTGATGTTCCAGGAGGGATAAGCCAAATGGCAAATGATTTAGGTAAACTAGAAAATTGGTCAGAATTGTGGCAACTGACATTTAATGTGGATAAGTGCAAGATAATGCATCTTGGACGTAAAAACCCAAGGGCAGAGTACAGAATATTTGATAGAGTCCTAACCTCAACATATGAGGAAAGGGATTTAGGGGTGATTATTTCTGATGACTTAAAGGTAGGCAGACAATGTAATAGAGCAGCAGGAAATGCTAGCAGAATGCTTGGTTGTATAGGGAGAGGTATTAGCAGTAGAAAGAGGGAAGTGCTCATGCCATTGTACAGAACACTGGTGAGACCTCACTTGGAGTATTGTACACAGTACTGGAGACGTATCTTCAGAAGGATATTGATACCTTAGAGAGGGTTCAGAGAAGGGCTACTAAACTGGTTCATGGATTGTGGGATAAAACTTACCAGGAAAGGTTAAAGGATCTTAACATGTATAGCTTGGAGGAAAGACGAGACAGGGGGGATATGATAGAATCATTTAAATACATTAAGGGAATCAACACAGTAAAGGCAGAGACTATATTTAAAAGAAAAACTACCACAACAAGAGGACATAGTCTTAAATTAGAGGGACAAAGGTTTAAAAATAATATCATGAAGTATTACTTTACTGAGAGGGTAGTGGATGTATGGAATAGCCTTCCAGCTGAAGTGGTAGAGGTTAACACAGTAAAGGAGCTTAAGCATGCATGGGATAGGCATAAGGCTATCCTAACTATAAGATAAGGCCAGGGACTAATGAAAGTATTTAGAAAATTGGGCACACTAGATGGGCCGAATGGTTCTTATCTGCCGTCACATTCTAGGTTTCTAAGGAGCGTAGTGGACTTTTATCAGTATGACATTTTGGATTTTGCATTATATTTAATAAATAATAAGGCAATAAAATGCAACAAACATTTAAAGTAACACCATTTATTGAAATCTCAAGTACAATTGCATTTCAATGTGGATATTTATGGGCACTTATTACAACTTCATGATAAAGAAGATGCCAGTGAGCTTACGTTTGATAATACAAAGCTTCTATCTGCTTGTTTGACTTTAATTTCTTTGAACTGAACACTGGTTTTGCTTCGGATATCTGAAGTACCTATAAAAGTAAGGAAAAACTTCCATTACAAAGTTATAAAAAGTATCAACTTCTGAAGACATTCTATTTATGTATTGTATAGGAAAGGTTGAAAGCTCAACACCCAGCCTTACAAGTCAGAACTTAAAGGGCAAATCCCCAGATGCCATTCGATTGACAAAAATAAAATCAAAAGGAGAAAAAAAAAAAAAAAAAAAAGGAATGCACTAATGTTTGTTATCCATTGCTACAATGAGGAGAAACAAAATGCAACACAAAAATATAACGAAAAGGAAAGTGGAAATAATCATTAAAATACCGGCGGATCAAAAATAAATAAATGACAGAGCCACTTCACCACATTGTCTTCACCACAACGACTTTTGCAGGAGGGAGATACAGATGTCTAATATAGCCAAATTCAGCTTTGTCCACTGCGGTTTGTTACGGTTTTCACATAATTCACTCGTTATCACATGCGCAGAAATGATGAGTAATGGATGTAGACTGCGTTAAGGCTTGTGCGGTCATTTTAATTATTAAACGATCAAGGGGTTTCATTCCTTTCTAAGCAACATTCTGTGTCACAAATTAATGACTTCTGACAATGTAACTCAATGGTTCCATAGAAGCATCACTGGTAGATATTTAGATTGTTTTTAAACATTGTAAGTCCAAACTCATATATTTTCCTTTTCTCCAAAACAGGCTGATATTGCCCGAATATTTCACCACATTGTTTATTGTGCACAACAATGGAATTAATATGGAGTCTAGTGTAAATTTATGCTGTGCATTTCTACATCTATACTAATAATCATGAGCCAACGAACGATCATGGAGATGAGTTGTGAATAGATTTTACATGGACATATAGCAGTACATCCATAGCTAATCTTTCATTTAGGTACATTTTTTACATACACAGTTTAGATGTGTTTAAAATACTCACTTGAAGTAGAAGAGGAGGATCTTTTTGACAGGTTATCTTCATCTTCTGTTTGTTCACATGAAGGTGGAAGACGAATGGCACGTTCTCCCATTGTTGGTTTTACATTAAATCGTTCTAGCAAAAAAAAAAAAAAAAACGAAACAGTTACATATCCCCTTTTTTTTTCCCCACCTACTAATCTTTTCACGTTTACAGAAATACTCACTCGGATCAAGAATCCTTTCCTGCTGCCTGTGTTGCACATGTAATTCCATCAGAGCTTGAATCTTCTGCTTATTTATGTTGAGATCAGGTTCTGCAAGAATTTCACTTAGAGTAATATTGCTCTTTACAGATTTTGTGGCTGTTGACCTTGCGACCATAGGTAAACCCTCTTGATAATACCAGTCCGTAAAGTCTACTTCATTGTCCTGTACGGTTTTGATTCTGAAAATATATGGTTTAGCATAACCCAGGAAAGAATTATGTAGATTGGTTTATCCAGTTTTGAACAATCATCTGGCTAGTGTTCGTTTAATATAGAATAATAAAAGGTTACAAATTATTGATACAATTATTACTCAAGTCCTGGCTTGTTTCATGGCTTATGTATGTTATTCAACTTTTTACATTTAGACATTTGTTCTAGAATGGCTCTTTATATAAATTCCTGTATTGTTGTTCTTGGATATCCTACTGTCGTTAACAGTTTCTGTAACAATTAAAGGAACACTGTAGACTTAGGAATACATATCTGTATTTTAATGCTACAGTATCCATGTCCCTACTTAGTTTAAGTACCCCTTAGCCTGCAAAAAGGAATATAAATTATTTACTCACCAACTTTCTTAGCGCTGCCGCAGCCTCATCCAAGCATGATGCGCCTACGATTCCGCCATAGAGAATCAATGCATGCAATGATTCTCAATGTACGACTGTGACAGCACTGCGTATGCGTGCATGGCATCACAGTATGGTAGGGTACGAGAGCCATGAAGCACAGTCCCGGCTCTCATAAACAGAGCCTTGGAGGCGTTGGTTGAAGAAAGTTTGCACAATCAAACTGAAACCTTGACAGAATAAACAAAAATATGCATTTTTCCGACTGTGTATTCTAACTGACTCAGGCACCTCAGCCATTCTCTTGTAGGTATGCAAAATGTATCTGCACACAGGGATACTTCTTCTCTCTTTAGAAATGTAATGCTGCTTGCCATCTGTATTCCCCTCCAGTAACTAGGCTCCTACATATTCAGAAGAATAGCAATTGCTGTAATATAGAATAAAAACACTCACCGTTTGTTAGTTAGCATTACATAAATATCTTGTAGTATTAATTCTGCTGCACCAGGTTTGCAATGCATAGTTCCATCAATTAATTCTTTGGAAATATTCAAACTTCTTTTCAAGAGAAACTGCAATAAAACAAAAGTTAAATGCATTAATCATTATGACAGGTTACTCAACAACCTCTAAAGTCAGGTTAACCTTCTAAAGCTCTATTAATCTATTAAACTGATGCTCTGTAGTGTATGAAATAGCTCCCAAAGCATTAACACAAGGCTGTATCAAAAAAAAAAAAAAACACAACCTATCTACCTACCTACCTACCTATATACACACACACACACACACACACACACACACAAAAGATATAAACAGTCATCATCTGCCATTGTTACTGACTGCACTGAATTTAAAAGGAACAGTCCAAGCACCATAATTACTACAGCTCACTGTCAAGATTCCTGCAAGGGAAAGTATGTGGGAGGGGCGTGTTCTATGTCAGAGCAGCACCAGCAACAAACAGTGAGAGAGGAGAGAAAGAGCAAGAATGATTTATTGCAGCAACTTTAGAAGACAATCTAAGAATGGAGAGAGAGAACAAATAAGTTTTATTTACACAAAGCCAACATAAAGTGTTGGGAACTTTTAACCGGTTATTATGTTATTTATATAGCGCCAACAAATTCTGTAGCGCTGTACAATGGGTGGACTAACAAACATGTAATTGTAACCATACAAGTTTGACACACAGGAACAAAGGGATTGAGGGCCCTGCTCAATGAGCTTACATACTAGAAGGAGTGGGGTAAAGTGACACAAAAGGTAATGGAAGTATTAGGGAGATTAAGTAGATTCATAGAATAGTATTCACTGAAGACTTAGTGTGAGTTATTTTAATGACAGTTGCAGGAGAGGAATCAGTTAAAAGCCATTAAAGCTTTTGTGAAAAAGGGAGTTTTTAATGATTTTTTTGAAGGAGTGGAGACTGGGTGAGCGTCTAACGGAAAATGGAAGGGAGTTCCACAGGAACGGTGCAGCCCTAGAGAAGTCTTGCAGGCGAGCATCAGAAGTGGGAGTACGAACAGAGGATAGACGCAGGTCTTTGGCAGAGCATAGGGACCAAGACGGAACATACTTGTGTATTAGGGAGGATAGTCAGTTGGGAGTAGTATTATGTAGAGATTTGAAAGCAAGAACCAGAATTTTATATTGAGCCCTATTTCTTACGGTAAGCCAAAGCATGGACTGACAGAGGGGTGAGGCATGGGACGTGCGGGCGGATAGGAAGATGAGCTTCACCGCCGCATTCATTATAGACTGCAATGGGGCAAGTTTGGAGCACGTAAGACCACTGAGAAGAGGATTGCAGCAGGAAGGAAAGTCTGTGCTTTACAAACAGGGATATGCAGGAAATGTGTCTTACAACAAGTGTAACACCCACTGAAACAAGATTGATGGTCTAAGCAGGAAATGATGAAAGGGAAATTAATGAAAATATGAGCTTTTCACATTGTTAAGGGAATAAACACTTAGTTGTATAACAGGAGTCCAGCCAGATGGCTAGAAGACTGAAAACGTATATATCTGTCATGACAAGTTTACTTGAAGACACAAGGTTTTTGTTTTTGTGCCGTAAGGAATTCTGAAATATCATTAAATTATTTGAAATCTAAGGTTGTCTTCTTATTGATGTAAGTCAGCGTTTCAGGTTTACTGAGCAAATTTTTATTAGGATGTTGAAGTCTGCTCAGTCAAACTGAGACGTTGGCCGAAGAAACAGCAATATGGTTTACACTAAAAAGTACCAAGAGGAAGGGGGGAGTACAGGTTTTATGAGGATTTATAAAGTTACAGAGTCCAATGTAGGGCTGGCCCATTTCAGTTCTTACACACTGACATTTGCCAGATTAGTTTGATGGGCATATGTTGCCTTTCAGACCATATGGCAGCCATCATGGCATACCAGATATCCCAACTTGCAAAAGCTCATTTCAGGGAGGTGGCTTCACCAGTAACTGCACACCCCACATGTACACTGCCACTCACGCATGCATGCACACTCACTCACTCAGCTACACACTTGCCTATATACACACTGACACACACTCACTGGCACATTCACTCACTCAGAAACAGAAACACACACACGGCATTACAATTTGACCTGCAGCCACCCTTAGGTTACCTTGTGTCCTGGCTGAGGCTGATGGGAATGAGCATGTATCTCACTCCAGCTTTTCCTTGCCTCCATGCTGCCTGTGTGCTTTAGCTTCCTCCAGCCTACTCCCTCCCGCTCGGCTGTCTTTTTAGCTGGGAGGAAGTGACAGGCTGTTCCTTCACTTTCTCCCAGCCAGCAGATACTGCAGGGGCCAGTCTGGCTCTTAAAGGGCCAGGCACCCGACCAGGCCCCTTCTCAGAAATAATATTAATGGAGGGTTTCTTAATATATGCTAAATGCCCTTAATATACTGAGGGCATTTGGCATATATTTTATATATATATATATATATATATATATATATATATATATATATATATATATATATATATATATATATATATATATATATATTATATCAGATTGTGTATGTGATTTCCATGAAATTGTTTAATGCTTGAGGGTGTCAGGGAGTCTCACTACAAATACGGGAGTTTCCCGGACCTACTGGAAGACTTGGGATGTCTGGTATACCATTCTCAAAAGTAGACAGCTCAGGTTATTCAAAATGGGGAATGTCCAGTCTTTTTTAGTAGCAACTTATGAACACTAATTTTGGCCAGGTTTTGTAACAATTTGTTTTTTGCCATATTTCACACAAAAACTGGACTTTCACGGAAGATATTGTCTTTATACATTTTCCTGCCCTAAAACACTCATATTTGTGTTCTGCAATGTTTCACGAGTACATCAGTACACTCATGTATAGGTTTTATGGTATTTTGGGAAGTTACAGGGCAGGACATGGGGCATGACCATTTGAGTCATCATACCTGGAAATTTGACGAAGTGATTTTTTGGGCCTATCGCTTTCTGAAGGTTTTTCCAGCACTGGTAATGTATTTGACAACTGCAGAGCTGATCCAACTGCCATTGAATGGCTGAAGTATTCAAATCACTGAAGTGGTGATGGTGCTTAGAGTAACCGTCTAATGAGTGTATAGCACTTTTTGTTTCCGATGGGGAAGAGAGATACAAATCATGCTGTTCCAACCAAAGGATTTGGATACTAGTGACACAATGTTTTTGATATATATATAGCTTCCTTGTACCATAAGGACTTCTGTAATTGTTGCAGGCCATGGTGCTTGAAATGTCCCTTTAAATTTTAAAATACCACTGGGACAGATCACCCAGTGACAAGTCCACCTCAGTTGCAAGGTACCCAAGGTATGCCTCAGTTTAACATAAACAAAGTATACTGTATTTTAGCATGAAACAGTTAAGTAATCTACAAAATGTCTGAAGTTCATACTTGTAAGATATATTTTATCTGATTATTACAGGGCACTGAACTCTGTTACCTGGCACATAAATAAAGAACTAAAGTCCACTAACAGCTGTGGGACCGCATATGGCTCGAGTGATTGGGGAGACATGATGACAATATAATTACATATTTGTTTGAAAGTCCCTGGCACTTAGGAACACAGTCTGATTTATTTACATTAACTTTGGAAAACTAACAAGCAAACTAAACTGTTTTGGCTAAAATTAAATTTAAAAAAAATGTCATTGAATTATTTTCCATCTCGGTTATACTGGCCTAATTTTTCAATTGAATTCTCTACTATTTTCATGTTGAGTGGACTTCAGTAAGCCACATTGCACAGTATGAAGAGATGTAGTTAAAATAAATAAGTATTAATAATAAATAAATTGTGCACCTTTTCTAGCTGGGACCAGTTGCTTAATTTGGTAGCCAGGGAAGTTCCATTTTCGTAGGAATGTAATGTGATATCTTCTGGGTAATACCAAAAGAAGATTTCAGCAGCGATGTATCCATTGCAAAGGTCTCTAAAAACAAATTTACACAACAGCAAAATTAAAGTGGCTCTGTCACCTCCCCCAAAATGTGAATATTTAATAAAAATAAAAAATATTTAAAAATAAAGGCTGTTGGAATTTCACTTACATTCCATTGCATTCACAATTTATCCCACTACAAAGTTAGGACTAATGGTAAATGCCTAACTAGGCAAAAGGTTAAACTACTGCGGTCAGTTTTTGCCACTTCCGTCTCTAGCGATAGCTGTGGGAATTATGTTTTGTCTTGCTTCCTGCGAGTCAATACCAAATGGAGGCTCCTGCAGTCTCCTCCATAAGAGCAAAAATGGCTACAACAAAGGTATAAAATCAGGCACACAGTTACCCACACAGCAATGTCACTATCTGGGTTCATTGCGAAATATGGAAAGACCCCAGAAGGTGACAAAGCCGCTTTAAAGGAGCCCTATAGTGCTAGGAAAACAAACCTGTTTTACAGTTATGAGGTGTTCCCCCTCCCCCACGGCTAAAGGGGTTAATTGATTCATTGAACTGAAGTGGTCTCTGTGCCTATAATGGTCCTTTAACAGATGGGCTACCAGCAGATGGAAGGATAACAAAAGAACAAAAACTAAAAAACTATTAAACAAAAACCCTAAATACACACACACACAAAACGATTTTTTTTTTTTTTTAAATGACATGAGTTTGTGGTGCTATAGGTAGAAGTTAAATATTGTGGAATACATTTCACACAATGCACAGCTGGCTGAGCGTACTGGGAGTTATGTGTCCCACAGTGACCATCATTGTAATACTGAGTTGGCTAATAAGAGATCCAGTTCAAATCATTGAATGTTTACAAAGCATCAAGGGAGTTGTAGTTCTGCCATAGCTGAGGCTCTCCCTGTTGGCCCACCCTGCTGTTCTGGTACTACGTTTCTGCCTTCCTGTCTGATACCTGCGGAAGTTTTTGGGGCAGAAGCTCAGGTCCAGGCTCTGCAGCCATCTTATCACTTCTCGGGGGACCCCGGTCCTGCGCGGGGCCTGGGGGTATGACGTCATGACCGCTCCTGGGGTACAATCCGTACAACACGCCACCAGGATTTATGGTCTGGAGCGGCGTTTGCGGTAACCATGGCAACCGTTACCAAGGCACAGACAGCAGACACTTAACAGCCAATCGGCAGCAAGGATTGCTCCGCCTATAGCCGGCTCGCCGCTTTCTATTCCGCCGCGGTGGATCATGGGAGATCAGAGCGCCTGTACTCATATAGAGTGTTAGTGTGCATGGATGGAACGCTGGTGTAAGCATTGGAGACAAACACCATGCTTCACATTAATGGGCAGGACATAACTATGCTGCTATTATATTCAGTGCGCATGCTAAGAGAGGGATTTCTGTCTGCTTACTACATCCTCCCCTCTTATAAGCCCCTGTTCTGGGGTATCTAACTAAGTGCATATTATAACGTAGCGCCAACCTCAGCCAGTGATGATGGTCATATTACATTTTTATTTTGTGTTTTTCGCACTCTTTTTATTTTGGTTGCTGAATATCAAAGCAGCTACTTGAATTAAGACAAAAATGCCCCATCTGGGTGCTAAGGAGTTTGTTTTTTTACCCTCCCAGATGGGGTTGCACTGCTCCTTTTTTTTTTTTTTAAATACGTTGGTTAAGCCGGATTGTTTTGAATACCTGTCATAGCTGCATTTTTGGTAAATTTTTAATTTGCATCTTGGCTTGCCTAGTTGGTACATTTGCTAATAGAGATGTCGTGAACCGTTCGCGAACTTCCCGCGGACAGCTCGCCACGAACCGTTCGCGGTGAGCTCCGGTCAGCTGACACATCCTGGCCAATCTCCAGCAGACCCTCCCACCTTCTGGACAGCATCCATGTTAAAGGCAGCTTCAACATGGATGCTGTCCAGGAGGTGGGAGGGTCTGCTGGAGATTGGCCGGGATGTGTCAGCTGACCGGAGCTCGCCGCGAACGGTTCGTGGCGAGCCGTCCGCAGGAAGTTCGCGAACGGTTCGCGACATCTCTATTTGCTAATAAAGGTGGAGATGTGGCTCCTAGAGTGGAGAATTTGTAATGACCCCTTGACAGTGACATTGCCGATGGGATCTTCCTCTGGTAGGCGGTGCATGTGCGAGAGTACAGCATTGAGACAGAGTCAGGGTGGTGACAGTGCCGCCTTAAAGGGAAACTAGACACCTAGACCACTTCATCTCTTTTAAGTGGTTTAGGTGCACTGTCCCCCTTAAACCTTGCAGTTTTTTTTGTTACACGCGAGGACATATAGCATCAAGGAAAACCCCGTAGGAAGGCATTGAGGCAATGCTTTCCTATAGGTAAGGCTCATTGCGCATTAGGTCCCTCCATCGGCTGACATTGGTGTAGGAGGAGCGCAATCCTGCGCTAAGGGACAGCACTGAAATCGGTAGTTGATGGTGTCACGGAAGCCATGGCTTATAGTATAATATGTGTTCTTATTCTCTTTTTCCCTCGGAACGGACCCAGGACTCCTGGCCTTCTCTTCCCTAAAAGACTATATCACTAACACTTCTTTCCTCCCCGCTGCACCCTTTTCACCATGAGCCTGGTAAATCCAAAGCCATTGCCCCAGATACTTCCAAGAGGCCCTCTACAGGTTCCCTACCGGGAACCACCTAGTAATCTCATGGAACTCTAGATCAGATCGCAGGAAAGCCCCGGTCCTGTCAAACTTTAAATGGGTAGCTTTCCGTCAAAAGACTACCAATCACACACAAATGGCCTGGAACTCTAAGGCGGATTGGAGAATGCCCGCAACCCGGTAAAAACTTTACTTATGTATAACTCGGGCGTTTTTCTCTCTAAAAGGGCGCTTGGTCTAAAAGGGCGCTTAGCTTTCCAATGACATAAAATATGTGGGAATATGTGTCAAAATGATAGTTATTAACAAAAATGTATTGTTATTTTGTATGTGATATTTCGCCATGGGTCTTGGTGTTTGGCAGTTAATTAACTTTTCTTACTCTAACTCAATTATGTCCCAGACACCAAGACGCCTAGGAGTGACCTGCATTGTTGTAACCTAAGACTCCCTATGGTTTGAAAAGGTATAAATGTAAGTGTGGCTGGCAATAAAACTCACTTATTGTACCCAATACGACTGATTGCATCCACTATAATGGGGGAAAGGGGGGGGGGGGGATTTCTACAAGGATCAAAAGAGCTGTAACACTATTATCACATCTGGAACAAGGACTAGCGGAGGAGTAAAGCACCGGTGACACCAGCCCTTGGAACCCGTGACAGAATTTAATCTGTTACAACACCATGGGGATCCGCAGGGGCAATGGCACACCTTAGTGTTAGGAATACATCTTTGTATTCCTAACACTAAAGTGTTCCTTTAAGGTAAGGGCCATTTTGTTTTGCTTTGCAAAAGCCCCAGGTGTTTCCTCCCACTGCTGTAAAAACCCACCCTATATATATTTCTCTGTGTACAACAATAACTGACATGTAGAATAGTGTTTTGATAAATTATAGGGTCGTATTACAGGCATGATTTTTTTCAGTAGTGGTTTTGGTGTATAGATCTTGACTCTGTAGTCTCACTGCTCAATTCTCTTTTATTTAGGAGTTACATCACTTTTTTTTTATAAAGCCTAAGTCACACTTCCCCTTGCTGAGAATCACATGGCCTCCCTACACACTTTCTAGGAAGTAGATCATTTCAGCCAAGTAGGTGAGGACAGCTATATAGAGAAAGGAGCATGGCATGGGAGAAAAGGTAAGTAAAATAGTTTTTTTTTTTTTTTTTTACTCCTAACAGGGACACTATTACACTGTAGGCAACCTTCGGCACTCCAGATGTTGTGGACTACATCTCCCCTGATGCTTTGCCAGCATTATATCTGTAAGCACATTATGGGAGATGTAGTCCACAATATCTGAAGTGCCAAAGGCTGACTAATCCTGAAATAGCTTGAGGAATACACATTTGTATCTTGTGATGTGACCATCAAAAAAGGAAAACGTGCCTGGAATTCCTTTATCATGACATGGTAAACAGCTGCATATTATCCAGATGAAAGAGTATACTTTTAATATGAGTGTACAAATAACACAAATTCATAAGTGCCCCTTCTACAATGATCAGTCATGTTTTTAGTAGTAACCAAATTTCTATGACAGTTATGATGAAGAAAGCTCTTCTTCAGCAGTAGCCAGTTACCACATAGGTCTCAATCTTAAAGGTGGTGCATATGTAGCCTACCTGAGGATACTCCATCATTTGCTTTCTTGGATACAAGCATCAACCTTACCTAGTCATCCAAGGCCACCTGGGTGTTGATTGAATATAAATTAATGTTTATTGAATGATGGACTTCCATGGTGGATGTGGTGACACACACACACGTATGTACAAAACGTAGGTAATAAGAAAATTGATATTTATAATAGTAAGGGAGAAACTGATGTCCCTCTGAATTTTAACCCCTTAAGGACGGAGCCAAATGTACACATTGTGAACAAAACAAAATGTAAACAAAACCTGGCATTTGCGCTACATGTCTGTCCAACCGTAATACACCTCTTTCATAGTAAATGCACCCACCCTTATTATATATCATTTTATTCAGGGGAAACAGGGCTTTCATTTAATATCAAATATTTAGCTATGAAACATAATTTAATATGAAAAAAATGGGAGAAAATACGATTTTTTTGATTTTTTTAGTTCTAAATTGCATTTTAAAGGTCAGTGTCATAATACTGTTTGATTTTACTGCAATAAAATACACATATTTGTATTTAGTAAAGTCTCACGTGTAAGACAGTACCCCCTATGTACAGGTTTTATGGCGTTTTGGGAAGTTACAGGGTCAAATATAGCACGTTACATTTGAAATTGAAATTCGCCAGATTGGTTACGTTGCCTTTGAGACTGTATAGTAGCCCGGGAATGAAATTTACACCCATAATGGCATACCATTTGCAATAGTAGACAACCCAAGGTATTGCAAATGGGGTATGTCCAGTCTTTTTTAGTAGCCATTTGGTCACAAACACTGGCCAAAGTTAGCGTTAGTATTTGTTTGTGTGTGAAAATGCAAAAAACGCCAATTTTGGCCAGTGTTTGTGACTAAGTGGCTACTAAAAAAGACTGGACATACCCTGTTTGCAATACCTTGGGTTGTCTACTATTGCAAATGGTATGCCATCATAGGGGTAATTTTCATTCTTGGGCTACCATAGGGTCTCAAAGGCAACGTAACCAATCTGGCGAATTTTAATGTGAAAAAAATGAAACAAGCCTTATATTTGACGCTGTAACTTTTGAAAACACCATAAAACCTGTACATGAGGGGTACTGTTGTACTCGGGAGACTTCGCTGAACACAAATATTTGTGTTTCAAAACAGTAAAAAGTATCACAGCAATAATATTGTCCGTGTAATGCTGTTTGTGCGTGAAAAATGCAAAAAACTTCACTTTTACTGGCGATATCATCGTTGTAATACATTTTACTGTTTTGAAACACTAATATTTGTGTTCAGCGAAGTCTCCCGAGTAGAACAGTACCCCCCATGTACAGGTTTTATGGTGTCTTGGAAAGTTATAGGGTTAAATATAGTGCTAGCAAATTAAATTCCCTTTACTTTCGGCATGGGTTGTCAGGCAGGTCCTGCTAATTGTAATTAATTAAGATACCTAATTATGTAAAAATATTACATAAATATATATGTAGAATTAATATATGTATATATATACGTATGTGTATATATATGTATATATCTATATAATTTTTTAAAAATATTTTTATTTATATATAGGTATATATATAGTGATATATACGTATATATTTATGTATATAGATATATATATTATTTCGTTCTACGTGTATTTTGATATATATATATATATATATATAATTTCACAATACAGTTAGAACGAAATAACACACATCTATATATTTTTTAATTATTTATTTTTAATTATTTTTTTAATTTTATTTTTTAACGTATTTACATTTTTATTTTTTTTATATTATATATAAATATATATATAACAATAATTATATATATATTTAATCAGTATCAGTCTACGTGTAATTTGATATTAATATATATATATAATTATATATATATTAATAGTAAAATACACCTAGACGGTGTATGTGTGTGTATGTATATGTGTATATATATACTTAGATCATATATATATAATATATATATATGATCTAAGTATATATAATAATTTTTTTTTACACCATTAACTTATTTTACTTTTATTTTCAGCCAGCAGGGGGACCACCTGTCATTACAGGCAGCCCCCCTGCCGGCAATACAGAAGCCAGCTATACCCGGCCATGTGATTGTGGGGTCCTCGCTAGGACCCCACTCTCACATGGCCGGGGGGCTTCAACGAGGACGGATGTGCCGCGGGGGGCTCCCTGGGAGTCCCCCCAACCGCGATCGCCGGCGTGGGACCGCCGGCGACCGGGTAAGTTAACAAAAACCGGAGGGCGTACAATTACGCCCGGCGGCGTTTAGAGCCGCCTATTAGAGGGCGTAATTGTACGTCCTCCGGTTTTAAGGGGTTAACTTTGTGGGCACTTTAGGCAAGGGAGTGGAGGAACATGGTTGTGACTTTGGTGATAAAGATAACATGAAATAGGTTGCACCCATTGTACAGCGCTAGGGAATTTGCTGGCGCTATATAAATAATAAAATAATAATCCAGCATCATCAAAGTTGAGCTAATGGTGAAAGACCATATTATTCCTGTCCTAATGTGTTTTATACCCCAACTACTATAGTCTGTAAGCTCAGTTGAGCAGGGTCCTCTTCAACCTAGTTTTCTTGTTATTGTCCTATTTATAGTTAAATCCCCACTCTCATAATATTGTAAAGCGCTACAGAATCTGTTGGTGCTATATAAATGGCAATAATAATGTGCCAGCTTTTTTAGTATGTTTTACAATTGCTACTTTGTTTTTGTTTTTCAGGCCACTCTCATTTACCTCTGTTTATTGTTATGGAAAATCTTTCATTAGTGCCGTATTGTAATCATTTGCATGGTATGCTTTGGCTGTACCCTGACAGCATACCAATTAAAATTTAAAATATAAAAATGGTTGAGAATTAAAAAAACAAAAAACTATTAGCATATCACCCATAGCTAGTTTTTAGGTATCTATCTGGTTGTGCACAACATGACAGGGCAGTTATAAAGGAATAAGAGATTTTAAAGAGGAACATAGCCGCTACTGTTTGCTTTAGGTGCTGAATGTCAAGGCCCCATCCTTTGGCTCTTTGTCAAACTGTTTGCATAGTCTTTGTTTAAAGAGACATTCCAAGCACCTTAGCCACTACAGCATGCTCTAATTGTGCCAGGAACTTTCTGAAGCCATTCCATGGTAAGTCATCAAACCATTTTGCCTAGGTGCTGCCAGAGAACCACAGCCATAGCCCCTGAGCTTGCTTTTGTAAGGCATGCGCACCAGCCTATCGGAAAGCATTAAATTGGCGGAAATCATGTAGCTGCCTGTCTAATAATACTATACTTCTGGAATTCAGGTGTATATTCAGTGTGTTTCTGGTCGGTGTTACATGACACATTGGACTCTTCTTACTGTATTCACCATACACACCTTCTGAGCCATCCATTTTAATAGGATACTGTGTTCATGGTTCCTGGGTTGGAGACAGCAGCAGGAGCAAATAGTGATCCATATTTATCATTTCTGTACATTTTTATTTTTTGCTGTACATACCTGCTTACGAAGAATTTCTAACAAAAAAGACCAATTCTCTGAAAGCTCACTTGAAAGAAGAGGAAACATATGAAACATAGATGTTTATTTTTATCATGAATGATAATTCTTACATATCAGCAGGTCAACTACATGAAATACGAAAACAGAGATTTAACACTATTTAGGTATAATATTTGCACTTCTTAATTGTCACCTTGTAATGGGTCATTTATTAGACTATCATTCAAATATTGGTTTAATCGATACATCTTTCAAGGAGACCATATATTTTAAAAGAAATAATACACACACACATACACATTTTTAGTTAGATGTGCTCCTTTAATATATTAAAATACCGACTAACCCCCCCTTTTTTAAATGAAAACTTAAAAGAAAATAGTTTTTATTGCACTGCTTTAGTCAGACTGCTCAATCAATAAAAGCCTCAATATTTATGACTTTTGTTAAACACTGCAGAGAAGCACTGCATGTATCCAATGCATGCCAATTTGCTGTGCTTCTCATACAAAGAAACACACCCAGCGTCTGGTGCCAGACTACTTTTATGGTAATGCCAAAAATGACAGATTGATTGACAGCCCATCATGGATATTGCAAAATGTAAACAGTGATGTTTTCATTTGCAAGGCTGCAGGGGCAGCATCTTTGCCACAAATCTCTTCATTAAGATTTACATTTACATTTATGATGAATTTCTCTAGAACAGTGTTAGGCAACCTTCTGCACTCCAGATGTTGTAGATTACACCCCCCCCTCCCCCCCCCCATGGTTCTTTACCAGCATTATGGCTGTAAGAGCATTTAGGGTAATGTAGTCCACATCTGGAGTGCCGAAAGTTGCCTACCCTTGCTATAGCAGCATATTTTGCCTTCTACACGATGGCCAACACATTGTTATACGGCAATCATATGTAAACAGGTGAAACATTAAATTCAGGAATAAATGTGTCAGGATTATGTATAACTTTGATCATGTTATATATTAATACTTTTATTTCGGATGAAAGGTACACTGTATATCATTCTATTTCTGATTTATTTATTTTTTAAATTAAATAATTTTTCAATAATGAAATTACCAATGTTTTCAGACCTTACTTTGTATTCACTAACCAGTGAACTGTGGCTTATTTAGTAATCAACTTTAAAGCAAAGTTTAAGCTAAAATAGCTGATGAAATAAACATTTTACTGGTTTGGCTATTAGTTCATCTTAAATTTTTGCAAATTGGCATACGATATTACACAACACACTATTTAATGAATCTCTTTTGTGCCGGGAACATTTGTTACATATGCAAGGAAAATAAAAACATTTATATTTTTACGTGACAATCCTGTAAAGCACAATACTATTAATGTATTTCAGCATACTTTACAATCCTAAATGTACAAACCTAAAAAAAAAATATCTAGCATACTCTGTATGTTTTTTAAAGATAAGGAAGAATATGCCCAGTGATTGAAGAAAAGGGTCAAATGTACGTGAACAAACTTTCTCACAGTATGAACTAATTTGCAATCATTGCTTCCACTTTTATGAATGCATACTAATTTGTGAGTAGAGGGCAAAATGTTGCAATGGAGCTTCCAATTTGAACTGTCATATGAGCAAATTACACTCCAAGTATAGAATGGTGTGAACTAAATAAATTGACTTGATTTTGGCAATTCTGGTAACTGAATATTATGCGTGCTGGATATATAGGTACTGTGTATATGCTGTGGACACTCTGCATATAAAGTGACTGACCAATGGAGGCCAAAGAAAAGATCAAGCTGGTTACATCTTTTTGCTACTAAATATTTTACATTTTTCCTAGATTTATCTCAAAAGTGTTAAACTCTAGATAATCACATTTATTGGAAAAATGTAAAAAAAAAAAAAAAAAAGATGGGTGTATTTTGGCACTTTTTTTATATTTTATATTTGCTCCCTTGGTGCTCTATTCAATAAAGATGTCTGTCATAAATATGTTTTCAATAAATATGTTATTTATTTTTTTTCGATTTCACAAACAATTCACTGGTGAAATGTGTAATTAAATAATTAAATTTATCTTTTAATACTATAAACAGTCTGGTAGCTCATGTGGACCTGCCACAAGCTTTAGCATTATTTAAACTACTTATTTAAAATAATTAAAAGACTTACTGAAACTGGCCAAACTTTATGGCCACTGCACTGAATCCAAGCAGAGGTGTGCACATACATTTGGTTTAACATATCACAATGCCTAGACCAGGGGTAGGCAACCTTTGGCACTCTACATGTTGTGAACTGCATTGTGGGAGATGTACCGTATATACTCGTGTATAAGTCGATCTCATGTATAAGTCGAGTGCAGTTTTGTGACCAACAATTGTGAAATATGCTATGCCTTGTGGATAAGTCGAGGGTAAAACTTGGGGCTATGAAATTCTGTGATTTTTATAATTATATACACACACACTCATACAAACACACACTCTGCACACTTATACAAACACACACTCTGCATTATATATATACACACACACACACTCTCATACAAACACACACTCTGCATTATACACACACACTCATACAAACAAACACACACTCATACAAACACACACTCTGCATTATATACACACACTCTGTGTATATAATGCAGAGTGTGTATATAATGCAGAGTGTGTGTTTGTGTAGTGTGTGTGAACTGGGTGGGGGGAGGGCATTTTTATTATTTAATTTTTTTTTTTTTTATATTATTATTTTTTTATTATTTTAATTTTTTTTGTCCCCCCCTCCCTGCTTGTTAACTGGTCAGGGAGGGGGGCTATCTTAATCCCTGGTGGTCCAGTGGCATGGGCTGTGAAGTGGGGGGCCGGCAGGAAGCATTTACTTACCTTTCCTGCAGCTCCTGTCAGCTCCTTTCTCCTCCGTTCCGGTCAGCTCCACTGTAAGTCTCGCGGTCTGGTTGCCGCGCTGATCGTTGCCATGGCTCTGACGGCCGCGGCTCTCTAAGTTGCCATAATACAGACAGTAACTCGAGTATAAGTCGAGTGGGGGTTTTTAAGCACAAAAAATGTGCTGAAAAACTAGTCTTATACTCAAGTGTATACTGTAGTCCACAGCATCTGGAGTGCAAAAGTTGCCTACCCATGGCCTGGTGCATGACATCTGCTGTGCATTTTTTATTACCATTTTTAATTTGGTTGCTGAATAATTATGTTGCTCAATATATAATAACAGCTGAAGTAATACTCGCTGGCTAGCACAGCCGAAGACTTAACCATTTACTGAATAGAGCCCATGATTTCTAATAATTTAGTTAACCCTTAAAGGTACTTTAGATCATTATGAGTCATTAAAAGTTTCTTATACACTCTCGATACTGTAAGAAATCCTTCAGTACAGTTGGCAGCTGGAGTTGTGGAATAAGATGAAAGTTGGATCTTCCTAGGCAGTCCCGGATGCATAATCTGCATAACTGGCACAGTGAGCATGGAGTGGCTAAACAAATTTAAAAACAGTCATAAGTCATGTAATTTTGCAGGTGCAAATATTAACAGTAAGAAATACAATGAATCTTGGTTATTTCAGATTACTACATTTAAATTAAACAGGATACATAACTGTGAACAATGCATTTTATAAGAAAATAATGCCATCTGGGGTTTCAGGAGACCGCATATTAAATCACAAGACCAAAGACAGTGTTGGGCTTAAGGGCACTGTAGATGTTAAAGGGACACTATAGGCACCTAGACCACATCAGCTCATTGAAGAGGTCTGGATACAGTGCCCTAGTCCCCTTAACCCTTCAATGGTTATTATATATATAATAATTAAATTGCATGGGTAACTCCTCCTACTACAGGAGCTTCCTGGTATTTTACTGAGTTGTACTCTGTGAAATGGCCCTGGATATTCTCATATTTTTACATGAGGATGCCCAACATCTTCAAAAACCCCATAGAAAAGCATTGATTTAATGGGAAGCCCTAATGCGTGCTCGCGGAGTATACACATTAGGTCCTTTCCATCGCCAATTTTGCGGGATGAGGATCCAAATCCATCATAGAGGGATCTCAGCATTGGAATCGAATCGTATGGGTTAATAGGAGATCTTTAGCAAAAATGGCCCTCTGCTGCCATAGATTAGTGCGATAACATCAGCAATTTCAGGTGTCATCATTTACTCAAATGATGAACATTCTAAAGTAAAATGGTGGCAGCTGCCACTCATAAGTGCAACTTCCATTAATACTAGGCAGACCAAGACATGAATGTGCCATTTCTACCCAAGAACATTATGTGGAAACCTTGATAACGCATGTGCAATGGTTTGGTAGGAGGTGAGGACTGCACACATGGAGGTGGTAATCGCGATTTCTTCAAATTACTTTGGTTATAAATATAGTAACATGGCATTTACGTATTTAACTATCCTGAGGAAAAATCTTTATATGGAACAGAATATAAATGTTTATTTGGAAAAGTCCAAGAGGGCCAGTCCTATAACAGCAGAGTATCTATGGAGACCTGAAATCCTGGCAAGATATTCAGCAAGCTGTGAGTATAAGTATATTCTTTTTGTATTGCTATGATCAACATTGCTAAACAAAAACCAACCAGTCAGAACCTTTTTTTTTTATTTCTTTTTTTTAGCAAAGAGCTTTGTTAGCATTTTCCCCTCCTGTCTCTCCAAAAAGATTTAATTACTGTATTCTGTCTGCCTTTCGTACCCAATATTAAAGAATAGTGAACACTAAAAGGCAAGCCAGAAAATCCCAATAGCCTTTAAATGCATTTATCAGGTTGCCTCACTTCATATGTTTGAATCTAGTTGGGTAGCTCCTGTACAACATAAACTTACTAAATATGTTTGTTGCTCTATGTCCAAAAAAGATAGTGCACCAGTAATGGCTAGTGATAGTGGCCCAGAAGATTTTTCTAAGTGAATATTTTTCTAAATTTACCTATCAAAGCCTCCCACCCAATCGTCAATAGCCACTATGGTAGGCCATCATCCTAGTAAGATGCAATGTTGAATCTTTACATACAAAACTCCCCTACAAATATGTAACCAAGAGAGACTTTTATATATCTTAATAACACAAGCTTATTCCATGTTTGAGGAAGGCATACATCTGCAAAACAGCTGTACTACTATTAGAAAAATTTAACCTTTTTCTATATTAAAATTAAACAAGTTTAACCTAACTATTAATCTTATCCTAAAGTATTCTAACACGGTTATTTTTTTTAAATACTGTTATATTAATCAAAGACAAAACCATACAGGCATTACATACTGTTTCACATATCCACAGACATGTATTCTTTACAGTCAATTGTTGTCAGGACAGAACATCAAACAAACAATCTTATATAACCAAACCATTGTATACAAACATCTGTTCTGACATAACAAACAAAAACTAACAGTTCCATTGGCTCACAATGGAATGTTGAAAGCAGGGCTACCAGCCAAGAAGATCAAAAATTGAATACATAGAACCACCAATACCAGGGGAACACATATGAAATATAAACAAATGGCAAAATTCCAGAGTTCCACTTGTGGTAACTTACATTACATATCTGGACATTTTACAAAATGTTGCAGAATAATTACAACATACATTACACAAGGACAAAAGATGAAATACATTTTCCGAGGCCCACCTCTTGTGTATATACTCAACCACTAAACCAAAGGAAAATAATGATGAAGAGACCACTATCTCAATCCACAAAAACTGGAACATTTATTTCCCTGTGTGTGAACAGGGGAATATGAGCCCACTTGTCATAGGCCTAGGGAATGTACCTTTTCCAAACAAAGAGGGGCTTGCCGCCAGAACACAATCTTAGGCAAACATGGCAAAATGAGAAAAGTGAAGAATATCTTTTCAGTGTTACACCAACAGTAAAAAAAACTAGCACCCAGTAGGCAATCATTTCTGCAATGCAAAGCACTATGTTAAATAAGAGAATATCTATACTCAATGGAAACTTTAGATCAATAAGAGAAAGAGAGATCCGAGTACATAACACAGAGTATCCTACTTGGTAAAACATTTAATAAATAATACAAATTTCTAGCACTTTGCATACGCCTGAATCGGGGAATGGGATGTATGTAGCAGTATGGCACCTAAACCCTGACACTACATTTTGCTCTACTGAACCACTGACCTTCAAATCTCTGTGTTAATCAGCATTGCTTTCCCTGTTCTTTCGATCATATCATCATTATACAGGCTTTTTGTCACCCCAGACAGCCTTCCCCATCACTTGCATTTATTTTGCCGTCTTGCCAAGTCCCATTTTAAATGCTTTTTCCTGACCATTATTCATGGCAGCATTTACTCATGGGTTAGCTCCTCTCCTTACAGCAGAAAGGACAGGAAACAGAACTCTGAAACTGGTATAAATAGATCCTCCCCCTACCCATCAGGCAGTCTTTTTTTCCTGTCCTTCACAGCAGTTTGGAAGGAGTCTGCTTAAGCAGGCCTAGATTTTTTATTTTATGCTCACCGGGCAATATTTTTTAGGCCGTGCCAGGGTTCAGCCTCTAAGCCCTGAAGACCCAGCAAAAACGCACTAGATTAAGTGGCTGGCCTGGGTACCCCCTTTAGTGACCGGGGGTCGGACCCAAACTCTCCCATGAAAGGGATGAAAATGGTCCACTGCATGCCAGGGTTCAGCTTCTTATCCCTGAAGACCCAGCAACAGGCCAGCTTGGGTACCCCCTCAGGGGATGTATGTGATATAATGCCTACATGAAGCCAGGCCAGGGTGCAGCCTCTTATCCCTGAAGACCCAGCAAACAGCATATCGGTAAGAGTTGTCAGCCTGGGTTCCTACTTCAGCAACCAGGGGTCTGTCCTATCTCTCTCGGAAGTGATGACAGCGGTTCACTGCATACATGAGGCCCAGTTGAGTCTAAGCCCTTATCCCTGAAGACCCAGCATACAGCACATGTGTAAGAGTTGCCAGCCTGGGTACCTCCTTCAGCAATCAGGAGTCTAACCTATCTCTCTTCCTGAGGGGATGACAGCGGTACATTGCATACATGAGGCCCAACAGAGTTGTGACTACCGGGGTATACCTACTCTATGTATTCCACCTTGCATGGTGATGATGATGGCATATGGGGTACAGATGGAAGCCTATAGTTTAAACAGTTTAGGCTGTCAGTTGTTCAAATCCCCATTTTGCCGCTGAAACACAGGCCTGCAACGGTTCAGGTAAGTGCATTAGTAATTTAGATTAAAACTAGTATAGGCACCTGGGTCTCTGTTCTTTCAGTCCCTCCCAGCTGCTTACATTAGGCTTCCTTCTAAAAAATAGGTCACATTTAGGAGATTTGTGTGGTGAACATTTAGGTAAGTTTATAAGGATGTTTGGTGCAAAAGAGTGCTAATACTACAAGTATGCATTGGGCATAGTAGTGCTGATAATGCAAAAAGAGTGCTGATAATGCAAGGAGGCATTGTGCAAAGGAGTGCTGATAATGCAATGAGACACTATGAAAAAGAGTGCTAATAATGGATATCCTGGCTATATAAAGTCTGCTGGAATTCCACAGCCCGAAGACAGAGAAATATCCAAGGTAAGAACCTTCTTGGGTGTCTGATTAAGGTACACACATGTATATGACAGGTTTTAAAAACCTAAAGTCCACACACACACTTGTTTCTATCAAGGTATGTGGCATTGATTGCTGTTATCTGTGCATTATCACAAATAAGCAGGCTTTGCAGTCAGTGGAGAAATATACTGCACAGGAGACCACTGGGCCTCAGTATCTGTACATGATTTGGTGGTGATACAGCATTGGTATGTTTCCACTATATGCTCTAATGTATGAATTGGTATGAAGTCTCAGTGTGTGTCCAGTATATGCTCTAGGTATGAGTTACTATGAGGACATGGCCTCAGTATAAGTATCCACTATATACTCTATGTATAAGTTACTATGAGGACACAGCCTCAGTATGTATGCATATGTGTGTGTGTGTGTGTGTATATATGTATGTGTATGTATATGCACTATATGCTCTATGTAGGAGTTACTATGAGGACTCGGCCTCAGTATATGTTCCCACTATATACTCTTGGTATAAATTACTATGAGGACTCGGCCTCAGTATATATATGCTCTATGTAAGAGTTACTGTGAGGACACAGCCTCAGCATGTGTATATATATATCCACTATATGCTGTATGTAAGAGTTACTGTGAGGGCACAGCCTCAGCATGTATATATATCCACTATATGTTGTATGTATGAGTTACTGTGAGGACACAGCCTCAGTATATGTACCCACCATATGCTGTATGTATGAGTTACAATGAGGACTCTGCCTCGGTATATGTATCCACTATATGCTCTGTGTATGAGTTGCTATGAGGACACAGCCTTAGTATATGTACCCACTATATGCTGTATGTATGTGTTACAAGGAGGACTCTGCCTCAGTATATGTATCCACTATATGCTCTATGTATGAGTTACAATGAGGACTCTGCCTCGGTATATGTATCCACTATATGCTCTGTGTATGAGTTACTATGAGGACACTGCCTCAGTATATATATCCACTATATTGTCTATGTATGAGTTGAGCTGGAGACTCTGCCTCAGTGTGTGTTCTTTATATGCTCTGAGTCGCTGTGAAAACACAGCCTCAGTATATGCCCTCTACATGCTCTATAGGTAAGATGGTGTGGAGACATTGCTTCAGTGTATCTGTTCTCTATATGATTGATATATTAGTGGAAGCACAATATTTGTTAATGATATAAGTACATCCGCTATATGAGTCCAATCTAATACGGGTTCTATGTGTGGGTTGTGAGTCACAACCTCAGTATAGGTGAGTGGTATATTATGTGCATGAAGTTCTGTTAAAACACAGCCTCATTTTATCTCACTCATATAATCTTAAGATGTGTACAGGTATGGTGTCAATGTATATAGCAGATGTAGACTAGGTATGATTACTGTTTAAACAGACTCAGTATATGTAACTGATATATCTGTGTATAAGGTGCTGTTAGAAACATCCACAATGTATCTGATTCATATAATCTGTATACAGGTTGGTAGTATTATATGACCCCAATTTATACACAGCATTGGTAGATTTAATATATACAAATTATCTAAAGTCTGTTTTGCGCTGAAATGTAGCACTGCCCAATTCTAGCAAATACAAATGCACTGTTGCACTGGGTAAGTAATTATTGCCTACTGTGGATTTTCTATTTCAGTTTTTAAAATGAAGTAGATAAGGAAACATACTGCTTTTGGCTTTGTATTAGACTCTCCCACAGGTGTTTCAGGATAAGCAATTAACACATTTTACCACTTCAGATAGATTGCAGGTGTTACTGAACCTGTCTGAGTGCCTCTCCCAGGTGAGAAGGAGACCTGTTTTTCCAAAATGAAGCATGGTAATGTTTAACATAATTGTTTGTTCTTTTTGTGTGTATCCATTTATACATGAGACCCATCTACAAAAGTTTTTCTATTGCCAGGCATCCTCTCCCCTCTGCTCGAGATAGGGAATGTTTTTTCAATTGGTGGCAGTGTTTTACCTTTAGATAAATGCTGATTATTATTAGATTATTAGATCATACTGGTTGCAGGAGCACAAATTGGGCTATTAACCCCTTAAGGACGGAGCCAAATGTACACGTTGTGAACAAAACAAAATGTAAACAAAACCTGGCATTTGCGCTACATGTCTGTCCAACCGTAATACACCTCTTTCATAGTAAATGCACCCACCCTTATTATATATCATTTTATTCAGGGGAAACAGGGCTTTCATTTAATATCAAATATTTAGCTATGAAACATAATTTAATATGAAAAAAATGGGAGAAAATACGATTTTTTTAAATTTTTTTAGTTCTACATGACATTTTAACGGTCAGTGTCATAATACTGTTTGCTTTTACTGCAATAAAATACACATATTTGTATTCAGTAAAGTCTCACGTGTAAGACAGTACCCCCTATGTACAGGTTTTATGGCGTTTTGGGAAGTTACAGGGTCAAATATAGCACGTTACATTTGAAATTGAAATTCGCCAGATTGGTTACGTTGCCTTTGGGACTGTATAGTAGCCCAGGAATGAAATTTACACCCATAATGGCATACCATTTGCAATAGTAGACAACCCAAGGTATTGCAAATGGGGTATGTCCAGTCTTTTTTAGTAGCCATTTGGTCACAAACACTGGCCAAAGTTAGCGTTAGTATTTGTTTGTGTGTGAAAAATGCAAAAAACGCCAATTTTGGCCAGTGTTTGTGACTAAGTGGCTACTAAAAAAGACTGGACATACCCTGTTTGCAATACCTTGGGTTGTCTACTATTGCAAATGGTATGCCATCATAGGGGTAATTTTCATTCTTGGGCTACCATAGGGTCTCAAAGGCAACGTAACCAATCTGGCGAATTTTAATGTGAAAAAATGAAACGCAAGCCTTATATTTGACGCTGTAACTTTTGAAAACACCATAAAACCTGTACATGAGGGGTACTGTTGTACTCGGGAGACTTCGCTGAACACAAATATTTGTGTTTCAAAACAGTAAAAAGTATCATAGCAATAATATTGTCCGTTTAATGCTGTTTGTGCGTGAAAAATGCAAAAAACGTCACTTTTACTGGCGATATCATCGTTGTAATACATTTTACTGTTTTGAAACACTAATATTTGTGTTCAGCGAAGTCTCCCGAGTAGAACAGTACCCCCCATGTACAGGTTTTATGGTGTCTCGGAAAGTTATAGGGTTAAATATAGTGCTAGCAAATTAAATTCCCTTTACTTTCGGCATGGGTTGTCATGCAGGTCCTGCTAATTGTAATTAATTAAGATACCTAATTATGTAAAAATATTACATAAATATATATGTAGAATCAATATATGTATATATATACGTATGTGTATATATATGTATATATCTATATAATTTTTTTTAAAATATTTTTATTTATATATAGGTATATATATAGTGATATATACGTATATATTTATGTGTATAAATATATATATTATTTCGTTCTATGTGTATTTTGATATATATATATATATATTAATTTCACAATACAGTTAGAACGAAATAACACACATCTATATATTTTTTAATTATTTATTTTTAATTATTTTTGTAATTTTATTTTTTAACGTATTTACATTTTAATTTTTTTTATAATATATATAAATATATATATAACAATAATTATATATATATTTAATCAGTATCAGTCTACGTGTAATTTGATATTAATATATATATATAATTATATATATATTAATAGTAAAATACACCTAGACGGTGTACATGTGTGTATGTATATGTGTATATATATACTTTGATCATATATATATAATATATATATATGATCTAAGTATATATAATTTTATTTTTTTACACTTTTAACTTATTTTACTTTTATTTTCAGCCAGCAGGGGGACCCCCTGTAATTACAGGCAGCCCCCCTGCTGGCAATACAGAAGCCAGCTATACCCGGCCATGTGATTGTGGGGTCCTCGCTAGGACCCCACTCTCACACGGCCGGGGGGCTTCCTGGAGGACGGTCGTGCCGCGGGGGGCTCCCTGGGAGTCCCCCCCACCGCGATCGCCGGCGTGGGACCGCCGGCGACCGGGTAAGTACAGAAAGACCGGAGGGCGTACTATTACGCCCGGCGGCGTTTAGAGCCGCCTATTAGAGGACGTAATAGTACGCCCTGCGGTCTTAAGGGGTTAATTGAGTTCATAAGTAGGTAACGCTGAAGCCATTACCTGATTTAAAAGCTGTTAATATTGTTTTTTCTTTCTCCTGGTCTTAACCTTTTATTCTTTAAATCTGAATTAATTTCCTTAAAGCATAAAATTTATATTCAGTATTCTCTTTTATCCCTTGGATACCTGAAAGTTTGGCAATACCTTTAGTATATGTCAGGGGTGGCATGCTTTTAGTTCTTAAGGAGTTAATGATCAGAAACTTCTGACAGATTCCCCTGTTGTGAAGGGGAACGTTATAATTTCCTTTCTGCAATAAAGGTATTCTTTTAGGCTCATATGCTCCAGGTAACTTTGATGCTGTGTATTGCAAGTATTTTAGGTCATTCCAGTCCCCAGACCATTCTACCAGGTTTACTATTTCAGGTAAAATTCTCCTGCTGCCTGAACAATAGAGGAAATCCCTAAACAGGTAGTTCCATTACGGACCTCTTCTGATATTCATGGGGATTCTTCTAGGTGTCCTTATATCTGGAATTTGCAACCAATGTGTGGCTTTAAATGATTGATTCATCCTGCGTAATGTAATACAGCCTGTTGATGACAAACATTTGACTGATATGTTTTACAGGGTCTCTGTACTTAGATCGGTATAAGTTATGGTCTCTCCTAACATTGCATTGATTTAATACTTGTGGATTATATGTTTGGATTTGTGTTGATATCTTGCAGATATAACAAGCTGTTTATTATCACCATAGGCTCTGCCATAAGTACTTCATCACTATCTGAAGATAAGGTAAGAGTAAGTATGCGGTTGCTGTTCTCATAAGGATAACTGAATACTATCCTGCTTATTATGTGTCTGTTGCCACAATGTATAATGTGCCTCTGGTTACCACCTTCCCATCAGTATCTTGCCTATTATATATCTCTTACTTATGTTGCACAACAGTCTCTAATAAATTTGATTATACTGTTTGGCATAATCTGTACTATTTACAATATGTTTATCTTTGAATGTAGGTTCTGACGTGGTTGGCCTCCTTATAATTTAGTAGTTGCCACAAATTCTATGTTTCATACCGATATTTCTTTTCTTTCCCTCAACTAATCTGTATATGATTCTTCTTGCCTTTGCCTAGTAATGTGATTAGTTTATTCCTCTCCTGTGACTGACCGTTGCTGTATCAATTCATCCACTGTGTGAGGTATTGTTGTGAATCTGAATTTTACAACATTGGGTCAATGTTGCAGTGTTTTAATAACCCTTATTTCTCTACTAGGCTCTGCCTCTGACAGACAGATATTGATTTGTTCCTGTATCTTCAGGTAAGTAGTTCACAAGGCAAGAGGAAGCAGTGTGAATCTGATTTAATAAATACATCCAGTAAGTAGTAGGATTCTCAGTGTAATTCTCCCCGTGTTTAATAGCATGGTGTGTTCGTTCTCATCCAACATTATCTGCTTGTTCCAGTATGATCTCTGGAAGTTATGCCTTCGTCAAGGTTCTGATTTATTGATATCAATTTGGTTTTAAATTTTTATACCAGAATGACATTTTCCTTCTCTAGCTTATGCTATCGTGGCCTTAATTCTATATTTAATTCTATATTTATTCAGGATATTTCAGATATTGAATGCCAGGAGGTTGCTGACCTTGCAGCCTCTAGGGAAAATTATCTTGTCTGAGCTAGATTTTATGACAATTTAATATTTATTCTTGTTTGGCTTTGTAAAGTCTTCTAAGATTTATACAGCTCAATAATGGTTTTATAGCTATTAGCTGTTTTTGAACTCTGTCCCTCCCTATATATATATTGCTTGGGTATTCCCCATGAGTAAATGCTGCCATGAATAATGGTCAGGAAAATTGAAAATTGTTCCATACTTACCGTAATTTTCTTTTCCTGATAATTATTCATGGCAGCATTACGTTCCCACCCATATACTATAGGAGTTGTGAAGCTAGTTACAAAGACTGCCTGATGGGTAGGGGGATGATCTATTTATACCAGTTTCAGAGTTCTGTTTCCTGTCCTTTCTGCTGTAAGGGGAGGAGCTAACCCATGAGTAAATGCTGCCATGAATAATTATCAGGAAAAGAAAATTACGGTAAGTATGGAACAATTTTCAATTATACTATTTATATACGGCACCTTATTTCATCTCTATTTATTAAAGGACCACTATAGGCACCCAGACCACTTCAGCTTAATGAAGTGGTCTGGGTGCCAGGTCCAGCTAGGGTTAACCCTTTTTTCTATAAACATAGAAACATTTATAAATGGGTTAATCCAGCCTCTAGTGGCTGTCTCATTGACAGCCACTAAAGTGCTTCCGTGCTTCTCACTGTGATTTTCACAGTGAGAAGACGCCAGCGTCCATAGGAAAGCATTGTGAATGCTTTCCTATGGACTGGCTGAATGCGCGAGCGGATCCTGCCGCGTATACGCATTCAGCCGAAGAGGAGGAGAGCTCCCCGCCCGGCGCTGGAGAAAGAGGTAAGTTTAACCCCTTCCTCACCTAGAGCCCGGCGGGAGGGGGACCCTGAGGGTGGGGGCACCCTCAGGGCACTATAGTGCCAGGAAAACGAGTGTGACCTTAAGCACGTTGCCATCCCATACAAACTCACACAGATAAATATTTCTAGACACACAAATACACACTGGTGGACACATATGCACAGATACACTGACACACACACACTGCAAGATCCAAACACACACAGAAATATTGTGAGCACACAAACACTGCAATATATGTTTTGGTTTTTTGGACACTCCCCTGCTACTTTTATGCATCAGGCTTTTATTTTATCATGTTTTTGTGCTCTGGTAATATTTTTATTTTGTATTCTAAAAAGTGAGATATTCTAGATTTTCTTTTGGTCTTTGGTGGGACAAAAAATAAATATTACAGAAGAAATATGACTGCAGACTGTAAATTATATTTTACATATTTTCAGTTGCCTAGGCCTCCCCTCACTATTATTAGGGTGTGTGTGTGTGTGTGTGTGTGTGTATAGGTAGGACAGCTTAATTATATTGGATGAGTGGCTAATGCACTGGGAACTCCTAGCCACTTGGGGAGGAAATATTTGTGGTATAGACTACTTGCATGACCAACCCCCATTATGTATATTACAGCCCCAATGGGTGAGAACTGAGGGGGGGACAGCCCTTGCCCTCTGTGTATATTACAGCCCACATGGGTGGAGGCAAGAGGATGGAACGGGCATGCCCCCTCCATGTATTATTATAGAGTCCCATGGGTGAAGGCGGGGGGGGTGGACACCTCTCACTGTTAAAATGTAGCCTCTGGAAATCCCCACAGGTGTGGGTATTGGGGTAAAGTGGAAACTAGTTACAATGAGTTGATACATTTTTCTATTTGTAACCCAGGCAGTGCCCATTGCTGCACACCATTTAGCAGATATGCCCACACAACAGGTGCGGTATGAGATATTAGACCTTCATATAGTTAAATGGGGGTCATATGGACTCTCACGTGCTGACACAAAAATTGCGTAATAATAAAGTAGTTTGGGTGACTAAAGAGTCCCTTTAATATAATAATATAATATGAGCATAAATTGACTAAGACCTTTCTCGGCCAAACGGTTTTATATTATGGGATTCCCTGTCATAATAAAATACAGTAATTTCCTGCAACAGTACCTTGTGTAATCTATTCTGTCTATACTATATAAATCCTTATATTTTCCACTTTCGGTAGGTGTTTGTAAGCATCCATGAAACATACAAAACAGCAGTGTGTGCGGTGACTCAAGCTTGTATACTTATTATACATATGTGTATTTATTATTTTGCATACAGTGAGGTCATTTCAGCAGCACCACTATTAAATAATACATGCTCTGAGTAATGCTACCATTACTACATTTAGTATCAGTACAAATGTCTATATGTTCCTTCTACTCAACGCTTTACGGCTTGTAATCATGTTTTGTATATAAAGTCAGTGCTTTTCATTTTTTTTGTTGTACAAGCAGTAAAGACAGCGAACACTTACCTTCATATGAGACCAAGTGTCTTTCCACTAAACTTTTTGCAGCAGCAACATCAACTGGACGCTTGAAGTCTACGTTTTTGGCGTTGATATCAGCTCCAAAGTCCAACAATAGGCTCACAATATCTATACTAGATTGCTGGGCAGCAGCATGTAAGGGAGTATCCAAATGTCTTCCACGCTGAACATTAGCACCTTGGAGACAATATATTATCAGCATTATTCATATTCATATTATTATTATTAGATTTGGAATAGTGACAAACATTCAAAGTGAGCAGTGATACTTACATTACAGCTAAATAGATTAATTCACTAAACACCAGAGATACTAGATTACAATCCCACAAAAGCAGGGCCCTCAATCCTTCTGTACCAGTGAGTAGCTGTGTGTATATTGTGGTAATCTTACAGTAAACAGCAATTTATATTAAATATCATCTTGTAACCCTGACATATTGTATGACATTGTGGAATCTACTGGAGGTATATAAACATAAATAATAAGAAGTAATACATTGTAGTAAATTAAAAACCAAAATGGAGACGTTATACTAAAATAAGAACTGCAACTAAATTATAGTTAGTTTTTTTCCCCAAGCCATTATTTTGGTTAAAATATTGCATTCTACTACAATTTTGTTTATAGATAATAGGACCCATATATGTACTAGAAAAATATTGGCTTGTTACTTAAAAATGGTACAAAGTACAAAAGCTCATGCCTCCCAAATGTATAAATATCACATTCCAGCTTTAGTTCACTGGTGTTCATTTTCGGGGAACACCAGGGATCTGCTCTGGGCAGCAATTTGCAATATTAGATGCACTCACTTTGTGCAGGATCAGCAGTTCTCCCTGCATGACCCTGGCAAACCCAACCATTTTCTAGGGGTCTGTGTCTAGCTCTCTCAGGGACCCACCCTATCCCAATTCCACAGGCTCATATGTGTTGAGGTATGAAAGCATTCACTTAACAGATCAGCATAATAAACATAATGATATACACTGCAATATACTGCATTACACTATTATGGGCAAATGCAAATATTTCAAGTTTTAAACTGTGTACTTTGTCTTTAAGAGATATTGCAAACTGACAAGGTGTTATTAATGGAACATATTGTTTTTCATACATGTTTCTTTAAGCAATAACCTTTTACCTACTTTAGTGCATAATATGTTTACGCCAATTTGTCTTAACTTAATACAAAAGCAAGTAATGCATAACATCTTCAAGGCTATGCTATGTCATCCTAACTTACGCCATTTTGTCCTAAGTTAGTGGAATTTCCCATGACATGTGCATCCACATGTTTTAGTATAAACAATAGATAAGATTAGGAAAGGGTACAGGGAAGCACTGCTATACCTATACCTAATTACTGCCCGATAGAAGAGACTCTGGTTTGGGAAGTACCAGATGCCATACCCGAATCTAACAAGCGGTAGGAACCTCACCATCGCACGTAATAGATAAGATGTCTACATCATGACAAATAAACAATAGATAAGATGTCTAGGTCATGACAAATAAACAGTAGGTTTGATGTTCAGACTTTAAGACACCATCTTGTCCTAAGTCAGGGAATTTCTCCCATGACGTGTGCACCCTTACGTTTTAGTTATGGCCTTGTAAGGGAGGTCCTAATGAACATCTAAGTGTACTTTAACCCCTTAAGGACACAGCTTCAAAAGCTTGTCTTGCACTTAAGGACACAAGCAATTAAGGACAAAAAGGGCTTTAATTTGATGTAGCATATACATATATAAATGCTTATTTGTTATAAATAAATGCAAAAAAAAAGGAAAAATTGTTTTGTTTTTGCAATAATAATGTGTGCATAATTAGTGCAAGTTAAGGAAAGTAATTAAAAATAAATTAATTAAGTTGTTCTGATTTACAGAATATATAATGTGTTTAGGATTTTAAGTTTTTTTTTTTGCTAGTTACAGGTCACAAAACACAAGGAGTAAAATAAACTTTTAATGTGGAGCGATTTTAGAATTTGGTATGTTTTTCTTGTAAGCTTAAAGGAGCACTATAGTGCCAGGAAAACAAACTTGTTTTCCTAGCACTATAGGGTCATTAGGTCCCACACCCTCAGGGCCTCCTTCCCGCTGGGTTGAAGGGGTTAAACCCCTTCAGCCACTTACCTTTCTCCAGCGTCGGGCTGCCTCTGTGCTGGGGAACTCTCCACCCCCTGCCGACATCAGATCCAATGCTTTCCTATGGACGCACAGCATCTTCTCACTGTGATTTTCCCAGTGAGAATTGTGGAACAGCCTCTAGTGGCTGTCAGTGAGACAGCCACTAGAGGCTGGATTAACACTCAGTGAAACATAGCAGTGTCGCTGAAACTATGTTTTCAGCTGCAGGGTTAAAACTAGAGGGATCTGGCACCCAGACCACTTCATTGAGCTGAAGTGGTCTGGGTGCCTATAGTGGTCCTTTAATAGCCATAAAAGAAAACAAAATTGCCACACAGAAGTATATATTTATATAATGTAGACATCACAGGCTATATATCTAAGGTTATTTTTACACTTTTTACATAGCCATTTCACTGCCAATCTCCAATTTATTGGAGTAAAATTGTGTTGTTTTGTTTTTTTTGACACACAAACTTATAATAAAGATCTTCTCGTGTGTATTTCGTAAAGTTGGTGTGTGCTATTCCTGTACAAAACTTTATTTTGTGTTCAGCTACATCAGAACCAAAACACACAGACAGATCACAAAGAGAGAGAACACAGAGAAAGAAACTTGTAATACCGATCCTTAGAATGGCCAGGCTATACAAGCAGAGAATAGTCAACTTACAAGCCGAGGTCAAAGGAGTAAAGAGAAACGGAACAACGATAGGACAAGCCGGAGGTCAAGGATCAGAGGAGACAGGATAAACGGGAGACAAAGCCAAGATTCGGTAACCAAACAATCAGACAGATGACTAAAATCACACCCCAAAACCGGTCTACTTATTCGGCCTTGTTGTGGCAAATTTTTTAAACAGTGGCCAATACATGGGCCAGGCTGAGAGGGGCAATCAGGGCAGTAATAACTGGTCTCAGCTCTTACGCCCCTTTTATAACACACCCTGCACTTTTTCTAGGGGGTTATATTTTTGGGGGTTGATGGAATCCTGAAGCAGATGTGACCTGCCTCCATTCTTCTGCTAGGCTCCACTGATGGTCTCCCTCTATTGCATTAAAGCAGCCCAGAAATTAGCTGAAACTGAAATGAAAGGAATGTGCATTTCAGCTCAGCATATGGCCTTTTAAAATTACAAAGGCATTGTGGATTGCCGTCTGCATTATATATATGCACACTTTTTTGTACCATGACCTGGTCTTTCACATGATCAAATATGGCTGCATCAGTTGATCGGACAGGTCAACTCCCCCCATATGCCGATTGTAATGTTTTATGTAGACTGGCATCCGTTTAATTTCCCCTCTGCCACGAACTGCAACCTTGCAAGTGCGTTCACAATGGATGGTGGTTAGGATGAACACCTTTTTATTGTGGTACTTTAGTGCTGCTGTTTCCCCCCCCTCCCCCCCCCCTTTTTTTTTTCTGCTAGAGCCTTTGCGAAACCTGTGCAACTCTTCCGAATAGTGCCACAGACCATGGTCTCAAAGCAGTATAGCATTTTTAGAAGTGGGATACTGTTGTAAAAATTATCGATATATGGGTGATATCCCTTGTTTAGTAACGGCATGATTAGGTCCCAGATAATTTTGCCACTTGTCCCGACTATATCTGGGAAACCTGGGGGATCAAGGTGGCGATCCCTTCCTTCTTATACATGGTGCACTATAGGGTCATTAGGTCCCCCACACCCTCAGGGCCCCCTTTCCGCTGAATTTTAAATTACTTTATTTATCATTTTTATTTAATAAAATATCTAAAAGACAAACTTTATTGCTTCCAAGACCATCCTTATTTTATATTGTATTCTCAATTATTTATATATTTTAAATAGAGGATCTATTACTGACTATATAATATTATGGCTAAGATAACTGGATGGTTAGCCCTGCTAAGTTCTATGCTTTAAGACGTTATATGGGTAAATAGGGGAACCGGCTGCGGTTACAACACTAACCTGCATACAAGAGCTTTTTCACACATGTAATATGCTGGCCTTTACACGCAACATATAGAGGAGTTCCTAAATGAGGAATGTCTTGGTCCACATCTATATCCCAAGAGATCAATATATCCAGACACTCACTGTGACCTACAAATAAACAGACATTATATTAATAAAGAAAATGCAAAGGCATTTTCCACTAAACAATTCATTATAAAACACTGCACAAATTAGGCTAAAATAGCCAAGTTAGAAAAAAAATAAACAAAACAACAGTTGAACTGGAGATTTTTGTCAGTTCTGCTATTTTGGCCTGAATTTTACAATTTGGTTTTCAATTCATCACAACTTTAATGTTTAGTGAATAAACCGATGGAAAAAGTAAAGGATATTATAATGATGCGACATACTCATACTGAACTTACAAGTGAGTTTAACAAATGTATTGTATAACTTCCAAAGTGTTCCTTTTTGGGGGCCAAATTCCTTTGTCCCGCTTTTATTCTAATGTCCCTACATGTTGTTGTTGTGTTTGAGTGTATAACAGAGCTCCACAGCAATAATACTCACAGTAATGTGTCTTACAATTAATGTGTTTAGAAATGTGCCTGTGTAAAATGTTCTTTGTTAACTACAGGTGAAACTTGAAAAATTAGAATATCATGCAAAAGTTAATTTATTTCAGTAATGCAACGTAAAAGGGGATACTAATATATGAGATAGACGCATTACATGCAAAGCAAGATAGTTCAAGCTGTGATTTGTCATAAGTGCGATGATTATGGCTTACAGCTCATGAAAACCACAAACCGCACGCGCATTAGACCTCCCTATAGGAAAGCATTGAAAAATGCTTTCAATGCTATCCTATAGGGATTTCAGCGATGCTGGAGGTCCTCACATAGTGTGAGGACGTCCAGCGACGTTATAGCACAGGTTTCATGTGCTTTAAACACAGAAGTGCCCTCTAGCTTTAAACACGGAAGTGCCCTCTAGTGGCTGTCTAGTAGACAGCCACTAGGGGAGGAGTTAACCCTGTAAGGTAAATATTGCAGTTTATGAAAACTGCAATAATTACACTTGCTGGGTTAAGGGTAGTGGGAGTTGGCACTACCAATGGGCAGAAGTGGTCTGGGTGCCTGGAGTGTCCTTTTAAGGTTATCGTAGGGAAGAGCCTAAATTGATCTGTTTCTTTCATCTTTCCTCTCTGCTATATGTTTAAATGTAGCCCCTGATCAATAAATTCAGCAGGAGCAGTGACCTCTAGCTGAGAATTTTAGGTATTGCACATTTATTTCTCCCCTTTTTAAAAAATGTTAAAATCTATTCATGACATAAGAGTGATTCATTTTGCAACTAAGGGTCTAGGGGTCCTACTGACTGGTTAGGAATATTACAGAGGGGGAATGATTGGACGTTACAGTTACATTTATAGATGTGATATTTTAAGGACTATTTCTATAATTTCTTTTATTTAGGATAAGCTATTTTGTTTATTAAACTCATATTTTTAACTAGTCTTAAGAGATTAGTACTTGTCTTATAGAACTATAATTGTACGTATGGCTGCAAGTAGTCAATTTTTAAACGTATTAAATATTTTAGGATATTTTTCTGTTGTGTCTTTGCCATGATAAAAAGGTGTCAAAACACCTGAATATGGGGCTGCGTTGCTGCAAAGCATTCAGAGTGCCCGTGATGACCCTTGTCCACAGCCGAAAGCTCCTTCAATGGAGACGTGAGCATCAGAACTGGACATGGAACAATGGAATAAGGTTGCCTGGTCTGAGGAAACAAATTTTCCTTTAGATCAAGTGAATGGCAGGGTGAGTGTGCGTCGTTTACCTGGGAAAGAAATGGAAGTAAGATGCATATGGGAAGAAGGCATTACTTTGGCATGTACCGCCTACCTAGAGATTGTTGCAGACCACGTATACCCCTTCAATGGTGTCAATGGTGTTCCCTGATAATGGCCTCTTTTCTTTATGCAAGATAATATACCCTGCTACACTGCACAAATTGTTCAGGAATGGTTTGAGGAAACAAAGAGTTTAAGGTGTTGCCTTGGACTCCAAATTACCAGGATCTCAATCCGATTGACAATCTGAGGGGTGTGTAAAGGCGATCAATGGAGGCCCCACCTTGCAACTTAACTTGCAGATAAATTATCTGCTAATGTCTTGGCGCAAGATACCACAGGATATGCTCAGAGGTCTTGTGGAGACCATTCCTCGATGTATCAAAGCTATTTTGGCAGCGAGAGGGGGACCTACACAATATTATACAGGTGGTTTTAATATTGTCGATGATCAGTGTAAATTGCTATTAGTAATTCACCTATAATTTCTCAAAACACACCTGCCCCTGACCACACCTCCTCTAACACGCCTAGAGATAAAGTGTACCTTTTTGTCAATTTTAAAATTTGGGAGGTATGAAATCTAGTGTGTTGAAAATAACATGGCAATATTCTGGAACTGATGACCAACTAGTTCTGTTTGAAAGTGCCATTAACTGGTCAGAATTTCATAAAGATTAAAACTACTAAACTGATAATTTTTCTTCGAAAACACTGGAGTTTATTCAGTAAACAGTAAATTTTATTTATCAAGATAACCAAATTGCAAACCTCAGCGTACAATAACCAAGTTGTGACGATATCTGAGTTGAACAATTGTTCTAAATCAGCGCGTTTTCTGTAAATTGTGCTACTCAGTTTTCAATTCATTACATTTTGGTGTTTATTAAATAAGTCTCTTTGGCATTATGGGATTTATTCACAACCAGGGAATGTTTAAGCATTGAGAAGGCCAAAATATAGGGAGTGGGAAAAAATGCTGTCAGCAAGTGTGTGTGTGTGTCTGTGTGTGTCTGTCAGCAAGTATGTGTGTGTGTGTCTGTATGTGTGTGTGTGTGTGTGTGTCAGTGTGACTGTATTTGTGTCTGTCTGTCAGTGAGTGTCTGTCAGTGAGTGTGTGTTTATCTGTCAGTGTGTGTGTATCTGTCAGTGAGTGTCAGTGTGTGCGTGTCTGTCAGTGAGTATCTGTGTGTGTCTGTGTGTGTCTGTCAGTGAGTGTGTGTCAGTGTGACTGTATGTGTGTCTGTCTGTGTCTGTGTGTGTCTGTGTGTGAGTGTCTGTCAGTGAGTATGTGTGTGTGTGTGTGTGTCTGTCAGTGAGTATGTGTGTGTCTGTCTGTCAGTATGTGTGTGTGTCTGTCAGTGAGTGCGTGTGTGTGCGGCCCACATAAACTTGAACCTTGTTTATGTGGCCCGTGCCACACTTTGAGTTTGACATGCTTGTACTAGGGGCTTCAGACTAAAATAGCTTCAATAACTGTATACAAAAAACTCAAGCAATAATGGCGCTAAAATAGAAATAAAGTAAGGTAAGTAAACTTACTTAATAGTAAAAGTAAGTAAACTTATTGGTAAGGGGCGTTGCACCTCACACAGTGTGCAAGCCCAAACAAAACACTCACTAAAATGTAAAAAAGAAAATAAGGTGCACTGTGTCTTTAAGAACAATATATACTATAAACAAATATTAAAAAATGTATATACTTCTTGTGCATATAATATATCTTCAATAACTGAATCTATGGTATGCTGATGATGGACACTGGGTATGTAAAAAAAAAAAAAAAAAGAGTGGACTCAATGCTTCTCATACATAAGCATGGGATTGGTGAATCGCCTGCCATATGTCTGAACTGTAAAAACAATAATAATATATATACACACACCAATATATATGTTTTTCTTCAATATACATTATTTCTTCTTTCCATCTCGTATTAATTTATGTTATTTCCAAGTCATCGCCAGTTCTGTTTCCTAACACTTACTATTTTTCCAAACTACTTATATTTTTGCACTATGGAGTTTCTGCTAAACAATGAGTTTTAGCCTATTCACAGCCATGTAACAAGATCTAAGCCAAATAGCCAAGCTGGGAGAAAATTTTTTATATCTCTACTTTACTTACACTTTGATATTATATCACCATGTAGTGAATAAGTCCCTTTAACAATGATTATTCTCAGAGAGCTATGAGCTTTCAGAATAGCAAGATGTTTTCATTTAAGAACAGCTGCAAAGCCAGATGTTTCCTACTGCAGTTGTTCTATACATGTGGCATTAAAGCCCTTAGTGACAAACTACATATGGCTTTGTGTGAGCTCTGTGTACTTGTTACCTTTGCTTGAGGCTTCATGAGTGGGTGAAGGAAGACAAGATTCCCAGTGGGCCTTTGCGCCATACTCCAAGAGAAGTTCCACACAACTAGCGCTGCCTCTTGAGCAAGCATTAAATAAAGGGGTCACTCCGTCAATGGTTGTAGAATTCACCTAAAACATATCACAATATGTCTAAGAGTAGACATGAAGTAAAGTGTTTTCAAATGAATCTACTAAATTATAAGACATTGTGCGACATTTCCTTTTAAAACATTTTTTACATTTTTGATTTTTTCGAGGAAGTTCTCATCCATCTTAATTATTCTCTAGAGCAGGGTTATCCAAACTCTGGTCCTCCAGATATTGCTGAACTACAACTCCCATGATTCTTTGAATGCCATATTTAGGCAGAGAATCATGAGAGTTGTAGTTCTGCAATACATGGAGGACCAGAGTTTGGAGAACCCTGCTCTAGAGTATTTACTTGCTCTAGAATTGTTATGTATAAAAACTGTTGCATGTGCTTTCGTGTTTGCACCAGTTTTGTGAGCATGTGCCACTTCCTCGTAATAAATTGTAACTCCACCTTTTTACACTGGTGGCATTTTTTCTGCTTTTTCTGTAAATAATTTCTTTTTCCACGTTTTATTCCTCTTTTTAGGTGCTTTTTTCCTGATTGTTACCATAGATTACAAAGTACTTCACAAAGTAAGACAAAGTAGTAATATTAGTATTTTTTTTTTTAAATACATTGTGTACAATATAATTGTGAACTAAGATAGAACCAAAATGGAACAGGAAAATCAGAAGAAAATTAGCCTAAATTGAGCACACCAATTTTTATACATAACCGCAAACATTATGAAATAACTAAATAGCAAACCAAGATGAGAAACTGTGTTCACTCAGTTCTGAATATTATTTAAATAGTTACTAAGCTAGTCATCGAACTATATGATTTCTCCTCCCAGACACCAATTACATTTTAATGGGGCTCATGAGTGTCAACTGAAAGGTAAAAGAACAATAAATGTGGGTCATATAATATAAGTATTCCCCATTTGCCATTTACCACTTTAAATACATTTATATTCGCATTAGGAAATATGCTAGTCAGTGTGTAGCTCACAGGAAAAAAAAAAAACCTGTGCCTCCTGAATTTATTCTGATCATGATTACATTTTTACCAATGCTAAGAAACCTGGAATCATTTTCCAGAAAAAAAAAGAAATCACATTCTTCTCAGACAATCAAAGATGCACATAGCCTTGCCTGCAACTATACAGCTGCATTAGGTAATATTCTACTGGCTTCTAGTACCTGAAACACAATAGCAACATGTTAAAATACGTTGAACTTTCAAACTGTTCCTGGAAATTAGTTTAGGCTGGGATTTTTGTTCCTGTAAACATGTCCAAGAAGCAGTAAAATGAAACCGTTTAACATAAACATATAACCATTTAAAGCCAAATTATGCATCAATTATTAGATTGGTTTAATATTCTCCAATATGTTAGCAGGGTTATTCAGTAAAGTGAGAACTGCCAGGAATTTGGGCTAGATTTCAAAATTTAGCCCACAATAGCCAGATTTGAAAAACATCTCCATGTCAATTCTGTTTTCATTTTGGCCATAAATTTGAGTCACTTTAAATACATTTTGGATTCCCGGCAATTCTCACTTTATTAATTAATAACTCTATCACGATTACAAAACAAAGTTTTTTTTCTTTCTTCATACAAAATTAAATGGTACATTTTGCTAGTGAACAAAGCATGTAAGGGCATACAGATATGTCTTACATTAATAGCTAATATACCTAACACAAAAAAACAAATAGTTAAACTTAAAATTGGATGTGATGTGCATGTCAGAATTTTTAAATATATATTAATGTGATCTGAGCTTAATTAAGTCCTATGGCTTACATTTGCTCCAGCTTCCAGTAGAATTCTTGCGCATCCAACATGATCTCCCAGGCAAGCTTCATGCAATGGAGTTACATGATCAATAGTCAGTGTGTTCACATTGTAACCCTAGTTGTGGGAGACAATTGATTTTAGTCGAATTTTAATTAGCACTTCATGGTTTTTAACATGTATTTACATGTAAACTGTCCACGCAATGTCAGCAGATAATTAGGACTAACAACACCCATAAGGTTGCCCCATCTGTGGTATGTTTGGATTAATTTTCCACAATTAATTTTTTTTACAGAATAAACCTCTGTTGCATTTAAAATAAATTGGAAATATACTCTAGAAGCCAGTGGAGCATTTGTTGGTGTTCGCACAGGAACTCCCGAACTTGACTGGCCACGGCCACCTTCTCTATGGAATGATATTGGGCTACAACCTCGTGGTCGGCTGGTCAGAACTTTACCCTGGTGGCAATTTCCTTCCACCATCTATGCACTATTTGGACAACTTGGGCGTTCAGATCCGGGCTATCCGGGAATACAAAACATGTAAGGTTCCTTTATAAATTGGGAGTGTTTTGAGTGATTTTCTGTATTTTCTGTTTGGCTCCCTGTAACTGAGAGATAATTGAGTTACCGGTCTTGGTAAACGCCTGGTAAGAGTTTATGACTTTGGATGGAGACCCCATGCTGAGGGTCTGCGTATAACTTCTGTATATTTGGCCGGAATACACCAGATGACTCCCAGAACTATGTCTCATCTAGTTACTGGGGGAAGCTGAGCTATAATCACACAAAGTTCCAGTCTGGCTGAGATGAGAACTAGCAGAGGTAACTAGTCGAGTTACCTGAGGTCCGATACATATGCTATGAAGGGAATAGAATGCTGTTCGGAGCTACTATGTTGTCCCAAAAGGAACATGGATCCATACGTTAATCAGTAAAAATTGGAAATTTGAAAACTGTAGTTGGCATGTATGTTATTTGACCCAATAACATGGCAAAGCTCTACATGTGGGAAAGTATACTCAATAGCAGAATACAAATCTGAGATTTTATGTAAGGGATAGAGCAAGGTCTGAAATTCCTGACAAATGAAACGTGAAAAATGAAAAACATTAAATATAATATTTTTAATATATAACCAGCAGATTTAGAAGTGGTTGGCGATAAAATATATAAATTAATGTGTCAGAATACTCCAACTTAAATATGTCAATGTTCTACAAATATAAATGTTTGTTTAGCAATTATGGTTTAAGTAATCTAATTAAAGGTAAGCTGGATTGTGATGTCTTTTCTAATTGTAAACGAAAATGGAGCATCATGTGACAATAAAATCATACAAGTAATTTTCAATGTTATACTTAGTGGTGTTACTTTCAAAGAACTCACAGATCCCCGTTACAAGAAATTGCAGTCAAAAAAAAATGTTTATACATAGGTTTAGTTTTATTATTTCCATGATGCCACATTATGTAAATATTTATGTAACGTATGTAAAAACTTTAAATATTGGAAATCATTTTTTCACTGTTTTTTTCTAAGTAAGTTATTGTTTATGAATACTTCCTTAAAAGCAAAGAAAGTAAAAAATTATAAGGCATGAGACCCTGCACACACAAGGCACTCATACATGCATACTTTAACAATATCTGTGAAAGCATGAAGAATAACCAATTAAGATGAAGTAGTTTTGGTGCTTACAGTTTGCCTATAAAGGAACACTACACATACCATAACACTTACAACACACCGTAGTGGTTATGGTGCTATGCCTCTCCTGCCCCCACACACATTGTAATTATTCAAGCTGTTTTGCACCGTTTTGACTTTTCACTATATATGAGGTCTGAGCATTGTCCATGGAAGTTGGTAGCGACGTCAAGTGGAGCGCAGGTAAAAAGTCAAACTGTTAGCAATTGGCTTGACTACTACAGGTTGTTGTTGTTATGGTGCTTGGAGTGCTTCTTTAACTGGCAATATGAATAAATGAGAATCTGCATTCTCAATGTGCAAACAAAAAATAGTAATGGTAGCTCTGAACTAGAGGTTTTATCGAAGAAGTATAGCCACAATGTCCAAACTTCAGCTACTATTACGGACTATACACATATCTTATGTGTCGTTTAACCCATGAACCACCCTAATACTTACTTACACTACCATCATCCCTACTACCCTAACATTCTACCTTTTAGTTCTAACGCTATATCACAACTACCTAAACCTACTTTAATGATCAGTTTCCTATCAAATAGGACAGTTTGTGTGGCAGAAAACCTAGTTGTCAGAATATTCAAAATACAAAATCAAGGTAAACAGCAACAAATCAAATCGGTAAAGGGATAAAAGTGCTTTTGGTGCAAGAAACAAGAAAGGGCTCTGGAAAATAGGCCCAAGGTGTTTAACTAGTGAAATTGAAAGAATCAGCAACATTTTGCCAGAAATACACAGGTAAGTATGGGCAAAGATGCTGGTAAAGTCTGGGTGTCAATAAAACAGCGTATGTACTGTTACCCTATAGCACTAAACGTAACAAAATATCATCTTTATACACATAATATAAAGAACAGTGAACCATGCATTAAAGGAAAATAATTACTTTTGAAAGTTTTGGAGACATTCACGAACCACTCGAACTTCAATCAAGTAGTTTACCATCAAGTTTCCTTAACCCCTAAGTAGCACAATTTTCCCAAAATACATAGTTCATTGTTATATATTTTGTGTGTGTGGGTGAGTGCTCGCAAAGGGAAATAAGTAATATTTTTTCACTGTACAAAACATCTTCATTTCAGATTTGTTCTGGACAACTTCCATTAGGAAGTGCAGTATTCTCTTCAACCTACCTGTGAAAGCAATGTTTTCAAGGCAAGCAGACGACCCTGGCTAGCTGCTTCATGCAGAGGCGATCGGTCCGCCCAAGATCCTACAATACACAAAGCATTAACACACTTTATGGTTCTGTAGAAAAAAAAAAAAATATTACCATGTGTTATAATCCCCATGGTGCGCTGGTGAGATTATGGTGATTAGAGTGCCCCTTTAAAATCTGCAAACACAGTTTAGCAAGAGCGTATGTGAATTGTAAATGAGTCCTGTACTGAGCTTTTCCATAAGCTATGGAATCTATCTGTGAAACGTCTGACGGTTAAGTGACAGTAAAAAAGGAATTTGAAGGATCCTTAAATGTTATAGACAATTTAGCTGCTAAAAATGTATTTAAGTTTTAAAGCATAAAGACAGAAGGATGACATAAAAATAGTTGTTATGGTACCGAAAGGATGCTTTTTTTTGCATAAACAGAATATTCAAGGAAACAATTGATATGCAGTTTATGTAAACAGGTTATAGATCCGAGGAGAAATCGGATTGCCATTATAGAGTCAAGAAGTATTATTTTTCTGTTTTTGTAGAATAACTGAAAATGGCTACAACTGGGTTTTTTTGTCTTCTTTTGGATCGGCATCATAAAAGAATGGATTTCAGAGTTGAACTTGATGGTATTTAGCCTTTTTTCAACCTAGACAACTATGTAAGGTCATGTCAATTTCTAGTTGTAAATGATCTGAATTTCATATTTATATATCTCAAAAGACATCATGCATGAAAAATAAATTAGAATTCTTTAGTTGAAATAATATGGACAAGAAACAATGTATACAAGTATTGTATACAAGTCCTCCACAAACAAACAGTTTTAGAAAAATTGTAACATGTAAAAGAAAAATACACGCAGTATGGCGCTTCCCCAATACGTAGAGCAGACTATTAAATGAACAATAAATTCTAAACAAGGCACACTCACTCAACAGTGTGTTCCAGACAAATGAAGAAAAAAAAATTAATTCCCCTTATTTATGATTCAGTTCTTCATGAAAAAATATGGTTTAGGACTCCAACGATGAAGTACGTTATCTACAAAAACTTGTATGCCGATTTTGTGATTTTTGAGAAGCTTATTTTTTCTTGTAATTTTAATATTACTTTGCTTAAAGGGACACTATAGTCACCAGAACAACTACAGCTTAATGTAGTTGTCCTGGTGATTATAATCATTGCAGAGAAAAGACAGTGTTTACATTGCCCCCTAGGGACACCTCCAAGTGGCCACACCTCAGATAGCCACTTGATTTGCTTCCTGGGGCAGTACTTTACAGTAGGCAGCACTGCCGTTCAGCGTCTCCACACTCTGCATGGGGACGCTGAATCCTTATAGAGATGCGTTGATTCAGGAGGTGCTGATTGGCTAAAACAGTTTGGCCCCACCCCCATCCCTCCTCCTTGCTAATATCAGCCAATCCAATGCTTTCCCTATGGCAATTCTGATGATGTCACCAAAGAGGCGGGGCGGGGCTAGCGTCGGCGGACCCAAGTGGCGCTGGAAATAAGGTAAGTTTTCACCTTTTCTAAGGGGACTCAGGGGTGGCAAGCCACCTAAACGGTGGATTAAACACTATAGGGTCAGGAATACATGTTTGTGTTCCTGATCCTATAATGTGTTCCATTAATAAAGTACTTTTTGTAAAGTATCCACTTTAAATGTTATATCGTTGGAGTGCATAAACCATATTTTTTATCAACCCTAAATATGCAACCTGTGACTATGGTGTTAGAGTTGAATAATTTTCTCGGCATCAACTGTTTTTGCCCAAATTATACAATATCAGTTTTAGGTCACTACAAATCAGAGTTTAGTGAATACTACCCTAAATGAGTAGGTCATGCTAGAAAATTCCCAGTAATTTTGTGAATTTATTGGTTATTTTACCTTTAATTACCTGCTTCAAGGGACACTGCCTACTGCAGCCCCCACGTTGGCTGCAGTAGGCATTGTAAAAACTGAACACCTTTGTTAGCATCATAATGCATGAGTTTAACTGTAAGCTTTATAAAGAAATGGCACATAAACACTAAAGGTACATTTGAAAAAGAATAAGTCAAAACGAACATGTAATATATTGAAAGAGTTCACATGAATGCATTTTTTGACACAAAATATCACATCGCAATAGAGATATAGTCCTCATTTGACATTGATGGGATTGTAAGGTTTAAAGTAATAATACAGAAATACAACAAACCTGAATCAATATCCAAGATAACACCTGCGGCATTCCAAACACTTTCCCGTTCATCATCTATGGAATCTGAAATTATCTGCCAGAGAGACAGGGTCTTTCACACTTATCACAACAGATAAATTACACGTTCACAGCGTTTTAGCAGTCTTTTAACCCCTTAAGGACACATGACATGTGTGACATGTGACATTATTCCAGAAGTTTGGTCCTTAAGGGGTTAAAGAGACGAACATATTCATGGCACAAAGGACCTATTCAATCAAAGAATGGCAAAAAAACAAACACAAAGGTTAGGGTTAGTTCACTACACAGAGGAATGTAGAGAACTGCCAAAGAAGTTTTAGGCCAAAATAATGGCACTTTATAGCTTTTTTATTTTTGCCTAAAATGTGCAATCTGTTTATTTTATATTTCTCCACAATTTCTGGAATAGGGAAAAATTCTGTGCATGACACAAAACATGAATGTAAGAATAAAGATACAGATATATATATAGCTTTACTCTTACATTAATATATATCACAGTAAGGTTTATACTGTACAAACAGAATATTTTGCTTGTTTTCAAACATGTGCCTAATACTTACATACAGCATAATTTTCAATTAAGATGATCATTAAAAAACAAATCAGAAGTGTAGAATATCAGTAGTCACACAATTAATTAAAGTAGACAAGATGAAATGTTCATAGTAAATAAAAAAAAAGTAATAGTACTAGAGCAAGTAACAGGTTGCAGGATGGTTGTAGTTGATAATCTCCAAATAGAATCTATATTTAGAAAACAGCTTGCTCCAAGTCTTCTAGGGTATAGTAACGTGAGTCCCAGTGCTGCAACTCTCTCTGTAGTGTAAACAAATCAATGTTCCATTCAATCCAATACAAGGATTAAACATCACAATATACCTAAATCTCCATCTCCCCATGGCACCTCCAACCATTCACTGTGTACTAAAAAACGACTCATGTTTGTGCCATATTTAGCTTATATTGGACTCTGCTCCCAGTTCATGTGATTAGCAGCGCAGCTATGTTTAGTAAACGGTAATCTAACTCCCATTGCAAATAAGCAAGCATGTGTGTGGGTGAAAAGCAAGTTTCTGGGAATAAATACAAACATGCACACAGAAATAAGTAAATTGGAGCATTCATACTTTGGAAGGTCCTGGAATATATATTTATTATTTACTGGTATTTATAAAGCGACAACATATTCCGCAGTACTGTACAATTGGGGAAAATAAAGAGTACAATATACACAGACAAATACAAAAGCTAAAGATGGCCCTGTCTTTGAGATGAGATCTTGTCACTGAAGCTCTTTTTGATTTGTTAGATAGACCTTGAGCTTACAATCGTAAGGATATTCTACCTTCATCTATAAATAAATCACCTATACTTATATTATTTTGAAATAGCAACTGTGACGTATGAGATTAAGCCATTAACGATCTGTTTTTACCCCTTGACGGCTGACTCTCTAGCTTTTTTCCTTCCGTTCCCTCCCCCCAATAACTCACAGACAACGAATAGTGGGTAAGAGCAACGGCTACAGCTTTTATTAGCAAGCCAGCATAACATAAACAACTGTCAGCTGCTGGACTTTCCCAGCAGACAGCTAACCATAACTTTATTCTTTCCGAGCCTCTTTAGTCTGATGTCTGTCCTCAACCAGACCAGGCTGCGACTCCCCAAGCCCGTCCGTGCAATGATCTCAGTTCCACTTGCTGGCGAAGGACAAACCGCAGCTGTGACAAAATAAACAGAAAGAAACAACACCAAACACATCTCATTCAACAATAACATGGAGGGTGGGCGGGAAACAGCACTGCCAGGTTCCCTCAGCGTGCTCCCTCAGCACTGCCAGGTTCCCTCAGGGTTTGGTAAGTCTTTTCCCAATCTCCTCGGTCCAGGTGCATCTCCAACACTGTATCCCTTGTTGCCATGCCAACCTCTCCGGGCAGCAGTTATGCTCCCCCCTCCTTATCCACTCTGGGGGCTGGCCTTGACTGCTGACCCTTTCCTTTTTTTCCTTCCGTTACCCTTCCCCCCAATAATTCACAGACAACCAAATTGTGGGTAAGGGCAACGGCCACAGCTTTTATTAGCAAGCCAGCATAACATAAACAACTGTCAGCTGCTGGACTTTCCCAGCAGACAGCTAACCATAACTTTATTCTTCCCAAGCCTCTTCAGTCTGAAGTCCATCCTCAACCAGACCAGGCTGCGACTCCCCAAGCCCGTCTGGGCAATGATCTCAGTTCCATTTGCTGGCGAAAGACAAACCGCCACCGCAGCCTCTCCCCTATCCTTCGAGAGGACTGCATCCCCCCGAAGCCAGCACCTGTTCAATGGCGTACTGTAAAACCAAACTGAAAATATCCAACCCAATTTCATTCAGGTGGACCCCATCTGTCTTCATTAGGTTTAAGTTGTTCCCTTCCAGCTCTACATGATGAGCCACAACGCCACCCAGCCTCCGCACAAAACGTGAAATCATCATGTTGACGATTTCAAGCCGTCTGCCGTGCTCCACCGCCTTGGAATGTGGCAGCGCCCCCCAAGCCAGACGAGGAATGACTTCGAACCACATCAGCGTGACATCACTGAACAGCGCCATACACCGACCCAAATCGTGCTTGCACGCATAAGTTAAATCTACTGCACGGCCTGTCCCAAGTCATTCCCCCAGGCATGAATCACCAGAACCACTGGCCCGGTCACGAAGCGATGGAGCGTGACGTACACCAGATACACATGGTGCCAACCCATCGTACCCTAACCTGCTCATGCGGGAGCCCTAGATTCTGGCTGTACGGTCTCTGCTCTGCACACCTAGCCGCCCAATAAATAAAGGAGTGACTGATGATCCAAACATACCAGGGGGAACCTGTAGAGAGAAGACAACACAGCATAATCCACCAAAGCCCTACAACAGTTGAGGACAATTGTACAACTGAAATCTGTGGGAATCCCATCGTCCCATGCGCTGAATTGCAGCAAACAGCCCTACTTGCCGCGCTTGCATCGCTGCACCAATTCGAAAGGAGCGTGCAGAGTAACCTTCATCCTCCACACCCAACGCTCGCAACCCGGCCTTACAAACACTGGAGAACTGAGACCGTGTTACGACTGATCCATTTGCGTGAAGCAAAAAGGACTCCGCCGCCTCCAGCCATGACTGCAAATATTGCCCTACCAGCGGCACTGGACACCACCCTCCCCCAGTAGCACCAATACTAATCGTTCTCCCATGTCCTAGTTGGTCTGTTTTGGACCTCCGAATGAACAACTCCACTCCATCCTGCCCTGCCCAAACATCCTCCCTCCGGAGAGATGCCTGGGCCCTAGCTGACAACTCTCTTATCCGCAGCGCAGCGTAAAAACACAGAGAAAAGGCTACCCGAAACAGCAGTGACTCGAAGGCAGAGAAGCACACCAACGAGAGAACACCACAGAGTGCATCCAACAGGTGGACGGACACCGGCCGCCTACAATCCGGAACCGGCTCCCTCCTCCACCCCCGAAGCACCCTCTGAACCACGAAGTCTTTGGAAACTTCCTCCCACCCCATACAACGCATCAGAAAGGAAAGAGCCACTAAACTGCGTTCCACCGACGCCACGGACGATGCGCGCTCCCGTAAAGTCGACAGGTAAGCCAATGTAGACAGTAACCTACCCTCAGTGGAATACAAACCGAACTCTCCTGCATAGTCCAGCCACCACTTCCACACTGCCCGATAGGCTGTCCACAATGCGGGAGCCAGCAATCTCCCAAACAGGTCTGCTAGGTTCTGAAATTGAGGTTCCACAAGCACGTGGGACATACCAGACCATCGTCCTCGGCTCCCAAAGCGACTTCCCGAAAACGATCCCACTTAAAGCGAGAAAGAGAATCAGCAATAACATTAGACACCCCGGGAACATGTATTGCCCGAAACTCCAGACAACGCAGCACCAACCGACGCAACAGAACCAAAACTGGAATCGAACCCGACGATAATTGATTCACCACACGGACCACAATCATGTTATCCGTGCGGAAAACCACCTGCCTGTTTGTGAGCTCCTCCCCCACAATTCCACCACTAGCACAATAGAGAAAAGTCAGGTTCCGTATCAGTTTCGCCTCATGCCATGCTGTTGACCAAGGCTCTGCACACCGAACGACCCCGATAAAACGCACCGAGGCCCAAGGAGCCCTAGGCATCTGGGAACAACTCAAGGGCCATATTTGATATCGCTTCCTGTTGCCAAAACCTCTGACCATTGTACACCACTAGGAACTTGCTCCAAACCCTCAAATCATCCTTAAGCCGTGGGGAGACTAATGCCGACAGTAGCAAGAGACAGACGCCTACAAAACGCCCGACCCATAGCATTGATCTGACAAGGAAAGTTTAGATGGCCCAGAGGTTGCATCTGCCGAAGCTTCACTTTTCGAGCACCCCTCACCTAATCAAACATGGTGGTAAGAATCCTCAATTTGTCCACAGGCAAATGAAAAACCAAGCTGATGGAGTTAATCTCAATACCCAGGAAGGAAATCATCGCCCTTGAGCCCTCCGTCTTGTCCTCTGCCACTGGAACCCCCAAATCTAGCATTACCGCCTTAAATTCTCCCAACAAATCCTCATACCGTGAAGAATGCGCCGGACCAACAAACAAGAAGTCGTCTAGCTAGTGCAGGAGGGAAGAGAAGCCTGTCACCCGCACCACGATCCATTCCAACAAAGAACAAAAAACTTCAAAATAAAAACAAGAAATCGAGCAACCCATGGGAAGACACATGTCATAGAAAAAAATCTGACACCCCAACAAATGAAAACAGGTAAGGTGAAATGGCAGCAACCAAAAAGCTGACTGAATGTCCGACTTAGCCATCAGGGCACCTGGCCCTGCTTTCCGAACGAGATCCAGAGCCCGATCAAACGAAGCGTATCGGTACCGACTATCGATATCCCGTCATTAACCGAGGACCCCGATGGAAAGGACAGGTGATGAATAAGCCGAAATGCCTCTGGTTCCTTCTTAGGAATCAGGCCCAAAGGGTACACCCGCAAAGTATCAAACGGAGGATTGGAAAAAGGACCCGCCATCCACCCCATCACCACTTCTTTTCTCAGCTTAGCTGCCAACACCCCTTCCTTATCCCGGACAGAGGACAAATTGTGTGCAAGCGATGCCTCCCCCGATGGAGCAAATGGAATCCGAAAACCCTTGGCAAAACCTTCACGCCTGGGATACCGTGCAAGCCACGGCAATAGTCTTTCCAACCCTCACTGGGGTCCTCCCCCGAGGAACGTCATCCTTTGATGCCGCCCTAAGGAGGGGCTTCCCTCTCCTAAAACATCTAACCGCTGAGTGAGCCCCGCCACAGTGAGAGCACTCATGCTTAAACCGACAAGTGCGGTACTATCTGCAGTGGCTCTCGTTCCTCCAGAAGTGATGGCGGCCAAAGGAAAGGACGATGTCGATGGATGACAGGGAGTCATTAAAAGCAACCGAAGGTTGCCATCCTGCTTTCCAAAATCCAGGTGCAGCCGTACCGCCATTTTCTGCCTAAATTGCTGGTCATACTTGAAGGACCACTATAGTGCCAGGAAAACAAACTCGTTAAACAAACAGGGTTAAACACTCACCTTTTTTTATTTACTTCCTGAACGTCCTGGTTTTAACAGGCCAAGCAAGGGTGCCACAATACACAAAAAATTTTTTTTTTAAATCATGATTCCACTGTAGTGACTTGTAGTGAATGGGGGTGTACAGCTCTGAAACAGCATTGTTTTACATTGCGGGTGAAAAATGGCAGGGCTAGAGTACCATAACCACTTAATTAAAGTGACACTATAGGCACCCAGACCACTTCAGTTCATTGAAGTGGTCTGGGTGCAGTGCCCCTATCCTTTTAACCTTGCAATTGTAATCATTGCAGTTATTGATAATTAGCAATAATTACATTGCAGAGTTAACGCCACCACTAGTGGCTATCTAACATAGTGCGAAGGACATTTAAAATGGTTTTCACTCAGCCACTAGAGACATTGCCTAAAGTGGACCTGTAAAGTCTGCAGGGCTGACATTCGGCATCTTTACGCTCACCGGCACACTGTGGGACATACAAGTAAAAGCAGAACAACGCAGAGATGCTGGGGACAGTAAGATGTCACAGAAAGGCTGGAGTCAGAGAGATGGCACACAGAGACTATGAGCAGAAAGATGTTAGAGAGAGGCCAGGAGTGGAAAGATGGCACAGGTTGGTGGCAGGGAGATGGCACTGGCATGTTGTTTGGGGGCACAGATGGCACTAGCAGGCTTTTTGGAGGCACATATGGCTCATTGGCATGATACACAAAGTTTTTGGCATGATAGGTTTTATATATTTAATCTTCATTGGCATGATATACCAAGTTTATGCATTTAATGTTACTTGGCATGCTATATACCATTTACATTTTCATTGGCATGATATATCAAGTGTATGTATTTATTGCTCATTAACATGTTTTTGCACTTACTGATAATTGACATGATATACAAGGTTTATGCATTTAATGCAGATGTGGCCAGAATAGTAAAAAACAAAACGTTAGCATTTGGTAATTATAAAAAAAGTGAGGAAGACAGAATGATCTAAAAGATTAGGCAGAAAGAGGCTCAGCAAGTTATAAGAGCTTCCAAATCACACACAGAAGAGAAAATAGCACAGTCAGTAAAAAAAGGGGACAAAACATTTTTTAGATACATAAATGAGAAAAGGAAAGTAAAACAAGGATTAGTTAGATTAAAAACAAAAGAAGGAAGGTATGTAGAAGAGGATAAAGGTCTAGCTGACTGCCTCAGTGAATATTTTTGTTCAGTATTTACAGATGAAAATGAAGGAAAGGGGCCTCAGTTAGGAAAAAGGACAAATGAGTAATTTGTTACATGTGAGTTTACAGAGGAAGAGGTTCTATTTCAACTGTCAAAAGTAAAGACAAATAAGTCAATGGGACCTGATGGAATACACCCAAAGTTATTAAAAGAGCTTAGTGGTGTACTAGCAAAACCATTAACATATTTTTTTAACCAATCATTGTTAACAGGAGTAGTCCCAGAAGATTGGAAGTTAGCGAATGTTGTGCCCATTCACAAGAAAGGTATGCCTTACTTCAGTTGTGGGGAAAGTAATGGAAACCATGTTAAAGGATAGGATTGTTGAACATCTAAAATCACATGGACTTCAAGATCAGAGACAACATGGGTTTACTTCAGGGAGATCGTGCCAAACTAATCTCATTGATTTTTTTTGATTGGGTAACTAAAATAATAGATCAGGGTGGTGCAGTAGACATTGCCTAACTATATTTCAGTAAGGCTTTTGACACTGTTGCACATAGAAGGCTTATCAATAAACTGCAATCTTTAAGTTTGGATTCCAATATTGTTGAATGGATAAGGCAGTGGCTGAGTGACAGGCAACAGAGGGTTGTAGTCAATGGAGTATATTCAAAGCATGGGCTTGTCACCAGTGGGGTACCTTGTCACCAATGAGTACTTGGACCCATTCTCTTTAATGTTTTTATCAGTGATATTGCAGAACGTCTTAATGGTAACGTATATCTTTTTGCTGATGATACTAAGATATGTAACAGGGTTGATGTTCCAGGAGGGATAAGCCAAATGATTTAGGTAAACTAGAAAAATGGTCAGAGTTGTGGCAACTGACATTATGTGGATAAGTGCAAGATAATGCATCTTGGACGTAAAAACCCAAGGGCAGAGTACAGAATATTTGATAGAGTCCTAACCTCAACATCTGAGGAAAGGGAATTAGGGGTGATTATTTCTGACGACTTAAAGGTAGTCAGACAATGTAATAGAGCAGCAGGAAATGCTAGCAGAATGCTTGGTTGTATAGGGAGAGGTATTAGCATTGGAAAGAGGGAAGTGCTCATGCCATAGTACAGAACACTGGTGAGACCTCACTTGGAGTATTTTACGCAGTACTGGAGACCGTATCTCCAGAAGGATATTGATACTTTAGAGAGAGTTCAGAGAAGGGCTACTAAACTAGTTAATGGATTGCAGGATAAAACGTACAAGGAAAGGTTAAAGGATCTTAACATGTATAGCTTGGAGGAAAGACGAGACAGGGGGGATATGATAGAAACATTTAAATACATATAGGGAATCAACACAGTAGGAGGAGACTATATTTAAAAGAAGAAAAACTACCACAACAAGAGGACATAGTCTTAAATTAGAGGGGCAAAGGTTTAAAAATAAAATCAGGAAGTATTACTTTACTGAGAGGGTAGTGGATGCATGGAATAGCCTTCCAGCTGAAGTGGTAGAGGTTAACACAGTAAAGGAGTTTAAGCATGCGTGGGATAGGAATAAGGCTAAGCTAGATATAAGATAAGGCCAGGGACTAATTAAAGTATTTAGAAAATTGGGCAGACTAGATGGGCTGAATGGTTCTCATCTGCCGTCACATTCTATGTTTCTATGTAATGCATTAATAGCATTCCCTTGCTGGAAAATCCTTCAGTATTCCTTTTACTAAATGCTTTCCAGGTTGGGGAGGTCTCCCTTATTGATTAAGGATGTCCAAGTGTCAAATAGGCAGGGTAACTGCTCCCTGCGCTGCTCTTTAACCACTTTTCACATCTAAATGCACTTTAATTTTCTATTCAATTATCTTGTGTATCTATCAACACATCTATTTTGTTTGTATGCTCATGTATATCACTGATGTTAACAGGTAGGTTGGTAAAATTGCACTATGGGCCACTGAAAAGTTATTTTCCCCTCCCAGGCCACAAGTTGCCAGCCATACACTGCCAATCTTCCCCTCCATCAGAAGGTAATTTATTTATAAACACTGATCTTTCCCATTTGTGGTTATTCTTTGCGGCTTGTTCCACATTATTTTACTGGTGGCATATTAACAATATATTTCTACACTGGATTCTCGCTTACCATACTGATTTCTATACCTCCAGGGGCGGACTGACCGGTCGGGCACTTCGGACATGGTCCGAGGGCCCGGCCGGGAGGGGGCCCGCCGCCAGGGCCATCAGGGGGCCTGGCGGCAGGGCTGGATTGGGGGCGGCATCTGGGGACTGCGGAAGAAGGTGCCACCGGGTGTCCGGTCCGGTGGCACACTCTGCGGGGGCTGGAGGAGCATGTCTCTCCCTCATGCTCCCTTTCGGTTCCCACAATTCCCAGCACAGGATGTGGGAACTGTAAGGGAGCATGAGGGAGAGACATGCTCCTCCCTCCTTCCGTCCTCACCGTTAGTGACAGGACAGGAGTGCCGCCGGATCAGCGAGGCTGCCACCCGGCCCGGCGGCTCCAGCCTGGAATGCGGCCGGCCCCCCTGATTTCTGTCGGCAAATGGGAGGGGGCAGAGAGAGTGACACAGAGAAAGGAGGGAGAAAGAGACAGAGGGGGAGAGAGAGTGACACAGAGAGAGGAGGGAGAAAGAGACAGAGGGGGAGAGAGAGTGACACAGAGAAAGGAGGGAGAAAGAGACAGAGGGGGAGACAAAAAGGCACACAGAGGGGCTGTATATATCACTGGTGGATCACCCCATCCCCCGGCCGATCTTTCTCCCCGGTCTGCAGGCACCGTGCGGGCAGCCGACAGGGGAGGGAGGAAGAGAGGACCCGGGAGCTCAGCCTGCAGCTCCTCTGGTTCCTTCTCGCGCAAGCACAGAGCGTTGCCGCGATTACCACGGCAACGCTTCGGCTCTTGCGAGAGTGACCTCTAGCCCTGGAGCTATCGGCTAAAGTTCACTCTCAACACTGCGACCACCAGGGATTCCTGGTGGTCGCAGTAGTGAGAGTGAACTCTAGCGCAATACACTCACTGCCCCCACACACACACACCCTACATATTCACACACTGCCCCCCCCACACACACACACACTGCCCTCACACACACACTTACACTGCCCACCCATACACACACAGACCCCCATACAAAGACCCCCATACTAACATTGCCACACATATACACAGCCCCCCCATACACACATTGCCCCAGACACCCTACACATTCACACACTACACCCCCCACACACACACACATTGAACCTTTCACACAGACACTGCACCCCTCACACATTGCACCACTGCTCCTATACCCTACTACAGCCCCATATCCCAGCAGACCCCAAGTAAGTTTTCAAACTGTTCTTAAACGGTTTGACTACTTACTCTGGGAGAGGATCCTGGCCCTCCTGGCACCATATCCACTAAACAGAGCAGCAGTGGTTATTGTGCATGGATTATTTCTTTAAATAATCTACAAGTGCCCCAGTAGCCTGGCCAGCCAGCCCACAGGCCACCAGCCAGCCCACAGGCCAGCCAGGCCAGCAGCCAGCCCACAGACCTACAGCAAGCCACAGGCTTACAGCCAGCAAGCCCAGAGCCTGCCAGCCTCAGCCAGCAAGCCACAGCCTGCCAGCTGCAGCCAGCAAACCCACAGCCCGCCGGCAGTAGCCAGCAAGTCCACAGCCCGCCTGCAGTAGCCAGCAAGCCCACAGCCTGCCAGGAAGCCACAGCTTGCCAGCCGCAGCCAGCAAGCCCACATCCTTCCAGCAAGCCCACAGACTGCCAGCCAGCAACAGCAATTAAGGTAAGAGGAGCCAACTTGGCCTAGGTATCAGCGAGCTATGTTGTGTTGCTATATTGTGACTAGGAACCAGAGTGTTGGAGAGACCCCCCTCCAGGCCCCATTAGACTCCATTGTAGTCTCTAATGGGGCCTGGAGGAGATTCTTTCTAACACACTCTCTAAAGGACACTGAGATAGCCTCTGCTAGAATGACCCCCCCTCCATGGCCCATTAGCCCTCAATTGTAGTCTCTACTGGGGCCTGGAGGCGACTGTTTCCAGCAGAGGCTATCTAATGGACGCTGAGATGGCCTCTGTTAGAAAGACCCCCTTCCAAGCCTATTAGACTCCATTGTAGTCTCTAAAGGGGCCTGGAGGGGATTCTTTCTAACACACTCTATAAAGGACACCGAGATAGCCTCTGCTAGAAAGACCCCCCTCCATGACCCATTAGCCCTCAATTGTAGTCTCTACTGGGGCCTCAAGGGGATTATTGCACTTTTGTTCCTTGTGTCTAAAGATTGTGCACGGTGTGGCTGGAGGCGGAACAAGGGTGGGGCTTGCTGTGGAGCATGGGTGGGGCCTGTAAGGGGGCCCTTGATTTATTTTGCCCGGGGGCCCTGAGGGTTCTCAGTCCGCCCCTGTATACCTCCATTACCAATTTCTACAGTCTCTGATTTGAGGAATCTTTTATCATTGCATAAAAAAAAAAAAGAAAAAACACACACAAAAAAAAAACAACCAACAGATGTATGAGGAGTGTGATAACAAGGAAAACGTAAAATATTGGGTTATTATTGAAAAGTTCAGCAGCAGCAGCAGAAAAAAAACCCAGTGAGAATCTTTGTCGTAAGAACTTACAATCTATGCATAAAGAGAGAGTGATATTATACCTCTTTCTGCATTTGCCTTTCAATAATTGCAGTGTCTGATGTCATCTGGGAATTTCAGGTGATTTTATAGGACGCAGCGACTACCATTTTAAAATGATGCATTATTTATAAAGCAACTTGACTTTGAATCATCAAATAGGGCACATAAGCATAGCTCCTTTACGGTTAGAAGCATAGGACTCCCACTATACAATCTGATTTCATAGCCAATATAAATAGCTTACAGGCCTCGCACAGAGTGGAATTCTACTGACCTTGGTTAGTAAGAATGCCCCAGTTTGCTCTACGCTTTGCAGGATACTTTTCTGGAGTGTCTAGGCTTCTTTTCCTCTTGTGACTGTCCTGTGTTGCAGCATTTACAGACATGCTTACTGTTCTGCGTTATAGTGATCTCTCCCTTCATTGGATCAACAACGTTCCCAAGGGTGATTCTGCATGCATTTCCTCCTTGGCATTCCGATAAAAGAATGATTGTACTCTATGTCAACAACACTAAAATCTTTTCACTAACACAAGGCTGGTGCATTGGACACTCATTGGGGGAAGGGATGCACTGCACTCTGCACTTTCTATTTTTAAAACAGAAAAAAGAATCAGCTTAGCTGCAGCACAGTCTATTTTCCATGTTATCCAGTAGTTCTGAAAAAGAGATGTACTCATATGTCTCTTTAATAAAAACTACATGGTTTGCACTGTAATGATTAGAATAGTGAGAATGTGTTAATGGGGTATTAACAAGAAGCTTAATTTAAATTGTTTTCTAGTAAGACAAGAAGTAAAGCAGGGTTATTCATTAAAGTCTAAATGCCCCAAGAGTATTGGATCTATCAGGGGGTATTTAGGCACAACATCTAGACACAATAGACAAGATTGTCCAGAAAAGTCCAGATTCTGTAGAGCAGCATTCAAATAGACGGGAATGTCCACCGGATTTAAGATGTAACTAAACAGCTGAAATCTGGATCTGAAGGCTAAAAATGCAGGACCAGATTGTTAAAATTTAAACCCACATTGTAAACATTCCACCTGGCAGTGCTAGCAGCCAGCAGGCAAACAGTTAAAAAAGAAATCCGTGGCAGTGTGAGAGTGTGTAGCAGAAGGCAAGCTCTTGCTAGCCAGCAGCCACGCTAAAAGTAAAAATACAATATGAGCCATATATCAATATAAGGTTGATAAAATTATCTTTTAGCCCCCACCCAACATGCTGCAGGTTGAGGGATATCTACTAAACGATGAGCAGTTAGTGGCAGCTGTACACATGTCAGTTTCCACAAAATTTTCAAACACTTTGGGACACCTCCGGTGAAAGGAGAGAGGGGCTTTCACACATTGTATAATACTGTAAATTGTATTTCGGTTCAACTCTGTGATATACCTTACAAAACAAACTTACACAATAAAGTGCAAAACACACAAGTGTGGGGGTGGTAGCGGAAATATCAGTGCAACTCCACAGTGTTTTAAAACCACTTAAAAAACACAAGTAAAAGATAAAGATAGAGGAGTGCAAATTCAAATGTATATGGTATACTTAGAGACACTGGTCAGTCCTTTAAATGTAACCTATATAGAAAGAGATCCAAACATAGCATAATACTGTTTGACCAAATAATATAGTAAATAAATGTGGATTTTCACTCACACTTTGCAGAGCCACATATAGTAGGCTCTGACTATAGTTGCTCTTTAATAATTCCCTGGTATGCTGAACTCCACCACGTCTCCAGGATTCTCCACTTGTGTCAGGATACAGGAGATGTAATAATTCCAATAAAGAGTGGGGATACTTTTCAAAATTTAATAGTGTTCACAAATATACAGGGACATATATAAAGTGCATAAAACAAGATAGCAGCACTAAATGTACAAAGACATATATAAAGTGCATAAAAAAAGAATAGCAACACTAACGCGTTTCGACTAAAATAAAGTCTTTTTCAAAGTGCATAAGACAGTAATCACCATGTTGAATATTTATATCCTCTCTAATGTTCAAATTTGGCGCCCAAACATCTCCATCGTGATGTCCTCCTCCTACTTCCTGGTTCCGGCGGGCGGCTTCCAAGGTATATATTATTTAAAAAGGTATATATTATTAAAAATATATATATTTATAACCTTAAAAATGTTAAATAAGTACACTCATCTCAAAATCCATGTTGAGACCTTATAAAAATATATATTTTTAATAATATATACCTTTTTTATTATATTGTTTTTACAGGTTTTAGATTGATAATATCTCTCTCTCTTTAAATCTCTTTCCCTCTCCGTTCTTTTTACCTTCTTTATTTTATTTTATATAACATGTTATTAATTAGATTTCTATATATAAAATTATTTTGGACATACAAGTGTATTGTTATAATGATTACAAATGTAGTAAGTTTAAGGATAAGAGGAACCTCTATTTGAAGAATATACATTGCCAGGACATTCCCATGTAAATTATACAATCTAAGACTGTTCAAATATGGCTGCGATAACTTCAGTGACCTAATATGAAGTACTTCCGGATCGGCGAAAAGGTCTGACGTCAGACGCAACGTGACGTGAAAGAGGGCGGGAACGTGGAAGCCGCCCGCCGGAACCAGGAAGTAGGAGGAGGACATCACGACGGAGATGTTTGGGCGCCAAATTTGAACATTAGAGAGGATATAAATATTCAACATGGTGATTACTGTCTTATGCACTTTGAAAAAGACTTTATTTTAGTCGAAACGCGTTAGTGTTGCTATTCTTTTTTATGCACTTTATATATGTCTTTGTACATTTAGTGCTGCTATCTTGTTTTATGCACTTTATATATGTCCCTGTATATTTGTGAACACTATTAAATTTTGAAAAGTATCCCCACTCTTTATTGGAATTATTACATCTCCTGTATCCTGACACAAGTGGAGAATCCTGGAGACGTGGTGGAGTTCAGCATACCAGGGAATTATTAAAGAGCAACTATAGTCGGAGCCTACTATATGTGGCTCTGCAAAGTATGAGTGAAAATCCACATTTATTTACTATATTATTTGGTCAAACAGTATTATGCTATGTTTGGATCTCTTTGTATATAGGTTACATTTAAAGGACTGACCAGTGTCTCTAAGTATACCATATACATTTGTATTTGCACTCCTCTATCTTTATCTTTTATCTGTGATATACCTACACACTACAAACTCCTGTTTGAGTTCTCAGATATACTCATACACATTTTTACTACACAGTTACTGCTACACAAGTTTTGTTGCAAAGTTCTATAATGAGTGAGGTGTCAGGAATCTGGACAGGGCTTTCTCAGGGAGCATCACTGACAGAAATTGTATCACTGGTGACAACCCTGAAATGGGCATGTGAGCCCGGGATCAAGCACTCCAGATTCACAGAAAGCCTCCCAGACAGCTTCCCTAAGTAGAGGACCATGCAAGGAGTGCTGCTTGGTCCTAGTGCCTGCACAAGCGCATTTAATGATGCACTTGCACTCTGGTGCCCAGGGACCAGTTTGAATGCAGAACACAAGGGAACTAAAGCAGGACAGGAACACAAAATTCAAACTGTCCCACCAAAGGTGTGGCAGTTGGAAGGCATGATATTACGGTGAATGTTTTTGTGTCTGAATCACTCTTCTACATTCAAAAACAGTGCACCGTACTATGAGTTTTACTGCCATGTGGTTTGTTCCTAACTTTTGCCTTAATTCAATTATAGCAAATGTTCTTTATCAGAAGTTTATAAGCCATTTATTGGTTTGGATCTATCAACCCCTTACAGACAGCGAACGATCTATGTCATAATGCCCTACCAATCGTCTACCCCACCCCCCCATCCTTCCCCCGGCCTTGTATACTTACTTACCATGGCATTTGAGTTGTCAGGCTGTACCCCGAAAACATAATCTATAAAAATAAAATTATTATATATACATTATTAATAAAAAATTCCTAGTTTTTATATATATATATATATATATATATATATATAAAATAATCTCAAAATACCCTTACACTTACATTATCTATCTATATTTCTATCAAAATACTCTTAGAATGAAATATATATATATATATATATATATATATATATATATATATATATATATATATATATATATATATATATATATATATAAATTTGAGTCTAAATGTAATTTCTATATTATTTATACATAAGTTTTTTATTAAGTATATATTGGGGGACCTGAGAACTTAATTAGCAAGTGTAGCGGAACGCCGGTCTCTCACAGACTATTTCCGCTGGTAGTCCAGGTGTGGCTCAGGAACAAGTAGTAAATCCCATAGAGTAGCAGGCACCATCAGAAAGACAATCCAATAATATCCCATCACCTTTCCCAATGACTGAACGACACACAGTATCAGGAGCAGAACTGAAACTTTTAATCAAACACTCTGCTTTTATGCACATCCTTACACAAAAAGGACTGCCCACAGGGTTTTGAAGAACAACCAATCAATATGTTACAACACAGCTAAACACTCCCATTTATGACATCAGAAATCCTCCCCTCTGCCTGTGATACAATTATCTCAACACAATAGACTAAACTTAATTATCACAGGCAGAAAATATACAGTTTTTACAAAATATTAATATCTTCCAAAATATACATGCCATTCACATAAAACATACATTTTCAGAATCAGCACACTTGAAATATATACATAATTAAAAATCATACAAATCCCTCCAGTAGTTCAAAAGTTAGTTGGGAGTCCTTTTCTGACCGACCACATTTTCCTGCCCAAAACAGATTTGGGCTGTGCGGTCGGTCAATTTCACACAAGAAAAATGTTGTGGAAATAAGGTCTGCACATATTTCCTAGTTAATGAAAATGTCTATTTACTCATTCCACGATATATCATATATAAAGCTAAGCACACATGTTTTAATCAAAATGGCTGCTAGAAGCTTCTAACCCCTCCTCCCCCCCCTTCCCTTCTTAACACCAACTAACTACCTCGTGCAGCAAGATGGCGCCGGGAAACCGTGGGAGACCCTCATGGCCCCGGTGACATCACCTACAGTAGGCAGAGCATTAGAGCGACCACTTAACACCTAACCAATTATTGATGTATAATTCCATGTTATCTCTGACAATGCTTATGATGTAATTTTGCTTTAAAAGGGACCTGCCGTCCCCTCTGAATAAACATTCCTCAAGTTATTCAACAACCTGGAACCTGTGTCTGGTGTGAATTACTTCAGGGAGCGTGCACGCATTGTTTCATTGATTTGGCCAGGGGCAGATACACAAAGAAATAATCAATACTTTGATTGATTTTTCCATTTCAATTGGCGCCCAACGTGGGGCCACCGGAGGGCCGGTTCGGAGGGCCGGAACCAACGGACCGGAGCGGACCTCCGGAAAGTGGGACAAGCGGAGCCTGATCACCTCCATAATACAGCCGTTGCCTGTGTTATTCTCCTGTTTTGTGTCGGTCTGTCTCCGAGTCCACTTCCGGCTTCCAGAAGGCTACTAGAGACAGGTAATTAACTCATCCGGTGTGCCTTTTTTTAAAGTGAACCTGTCGATTGTCTATCTGCCTCCTGTATTCATTTGTGTGTGTGTGTGTTTCTCCTTCTTTTAAGATATGTTAGCTTGACTGCCTAGCGGGCAGGGAACGCATTACAGCCGGTGGGGCTGGGATTTTATGTTAGCTTGACTGCCTGGCGGGCAGGGAACGCATTACAGCCGGTGGGGCTGGGATTTTATGTTAGCTTGACTGCCTAGCGGGCAGGGAACGCAATACAGCCGGTGTTGCTGGGATTTTATGTTAGCTTGACTGCCTAGCGGGCAGGGAACGCATTACAGCCGGTGGGGCTGGGATTTTATGTTAGCTTGACTGCCTAGCGGGCAGGGAACGCGTTACAGCCGGTGGGGCTGGGATTTTGTTTGATCATTGCAGTGTTTTCATTGGTACCTGTGTTATACCGGGACCAGCCTGGTGGGTGACGGCTGGGGATTGCTATACTTTGAATATTTGGCACCAGTGGTGTTAACATGTACATGGCCATTTTACTCTCTATCATTCTGTGGTTTTTGTTTAATTGTTGTTACAGTGTGGGTACCCTTGGTGTGTGTGTGTGTATTGTGTGGTTAGTTCTGGATTCCGGAGTTTACGCTCATTTATATGTTTGTGATTTTTGCAAATGTCTTCTCATTAGCACAGCCACGTTCATTTTCTCCTTTGTTCTTTATCTCTCCTGTGCCTGTTGCCCAGAGCTGTGTTAGTCACCCACACTCACTCGCTCCCGTCCGTGACCACCACCCCGGGTGGGCGGATCTCCGTGACTGGTCTACGTTTGGGGAAGACGCACGGGGCTCAAGTTCTCGTGGCAGTTGAGCACTGTAGACATTCTTTTTCCTTCTCCCTTGTACCTCCTCTATTTATCTGTCTTTAGCACGTGGCACGCTTCGATTACTCAAGATGGGACAGGAACATGCTAGACCTGCTAAGGGCTTGCTGGCTTGTGACACTGTGAAAGAAAGGGCAGGGGAAGATGCAATGTTGAAACTTAGAAAGATTGCTAAGGTGTGTGGCTTTCAGATGTCGCCCAGTGGGAGATTGCAGCCTGAGTTTTGGAGGAAGTTACTCATAGACAAGGAAGGGTTGTTGTTGGATAATGGACTCACAAAGGTTGCAGAGGCTTGGTATCGGGTAGCTAGAGGTCTGAAACGGGAAGGATGGGTCGAGGAAGAGTTGGAGTTTGAGGGGCAAATCGTGTATGTTTACCATAGGAGTGTTAACAATGATGATGTTGTTTCCATTGTCCCGCGACCACCGCCCTATGATGGCGCCCAGAGCACAATAGTAAATTCCCGCCCTGCTTCCCCCGTCACAGCACAGACCCCACCCCCCAGGGGTGTGCCTTCAGCTCCTACCCCCCTGTGCCCCGTACTCGGTGCGGATGGTGCTTACTATTACCCAGTGCCACTTCACTCGTTCCCACCCACTCCCATGCACCAGCCCTCCTATGACCCAGCCCCCTCCATCAACCATTCTCCCGTCATGTCTGTTGAAGTCCCCCCCCTCCATGTCCTCCGCTACCTCTCCCAGTGCCTGTTCCCACTCCGAATCCTCGTCAAGATCCCGTCCTAACTACTCCCGCCTCACCCACCAAAGTTCCCTCCTCTTCCTCCTCTCATTCCCTCTCCACCTCGAGTACCCCATCCCTAGCAACACCCGCTCTCTCACCCTCCTCGTCTGTTACACACCCAACTCCCCCGACCCTTGCCCATTCCACCGACCCCGTTCCTCCGGACCCCTGTCCCCCCACGGACCCTCCTTCTCCCATACCCCCAGACCCAGACCTTTCCTCTTTTCTCGCTAGCCTTTCGAAAGTGACCTGTCCCGTGACCCCTACCCCTTCACCCTCTCTGCCCTTCCCTCCTTCTCATTCCCCTTCACCCTTCTCCTCCAAGGATCCCTCATCCCTACTCTCCACTCTCATGAATCTTGTCCAGCCCGTTAATCCCGGTCCCCTTGCCTCTGCTCCCTTATGCACAGACACCACTCCCATCCTCCAGGACCCTCCCGCTATCCACACAGTGTTACCTCCTCCCGAAGTCCCGGCCCCCTCTACCTCGTTGCCTCCTCCCCCCTCGGCCGATTTGCCGTCCCTAATCTCTGCCCTCACCGCCCTGACCCAGCCCCCTGTTACCACCCCTCCAACCCCTTCTCCAGTGTTACCTCCTCCCGAAGTCCCGGCCCCCTCTACCTCGTTGCCTCCTCCTCCCTCGGCCGATTTGCCGTCCCTAATCTCTGCCCTCACCGCCCTGACCCAACCCCCGTTACCACCCCTCCGACCCCTTCTCCAGTGTTACCTCCTCCTCCCGAAGTCCCGGCCCCCTCTACCTCGTTGTCTCCTCCTCCCTCGGCCGATTTGCCGTCCCTAATCTCTGCCCTCACCGCCCTGACCCAACCCCCTGTTACCACCCCTCCAACCCCTTCTCCAGTGTTACCTCCTCCCGAAGTCCCGGCCCCCTCTACCTCGTTGCCTCCTCCTCCCTCGGCCGATTTGCCGTCCCTAATCTCTGCCCTCACCGCCCTGACCCAACCCCCTGTTACCACCCCTCCAACCCCTTCTCCAGTGTTACCTCCTCCCGAAGCCCCGGCCCCCTCTACCTCGTTGCCTCCTCCTCCCCCGACTGGTTTGCCGTCCCAACCCTCCACCCACGTTGTTACGACACAGCCCCCTGTTCCCATCCCTCCGACCCCTCCCCCGGTGACCCCTGACCCATCCATGGCCAATGACCTGTCTAGCTCGATATCCGCCCTCTTCTCTGCTGTTACCTCCCTGGTTAATTCCGCGATCCCTGTGCCGCCTCCCACTGATTTACCACCACCTCCTCCACCTCCTCCCCCCAAACCTCCGACCCCTTCCTTGTCTCCCGCTAGCATCCCCGAGCCTTCCGATCCAATCTCTGCTCTTGCTCATGTCCTAAACACTCACCTCTCACGCCCATCTCAACCGGCCCCCATAGCAGCCCCTTCCATGGCATTGATTCCTCACGTCCCTTCCGCCAGTCCTAGTTATCCAATCATGGTGGTTGGGTCCGAGGTGTCTGTGACATCGGACCAACCCTATGCAATGGGCGCTTCCCCCCAGGCCTCGGGTTTCCATCCAACTACCTCTCCCATCACCGGCCTCCCTGCCGCCCCCGCCACAGCTACCCCTGAGACTACTCTTCACCGCGGCCCGGTGGCACCCGAGGAGGTCGTTGTGGTGGACCAGGGCTCACCTCGCCTAGGGGGGAACAGGCTCCCCCAACGGCACTCTATCCCCCAGGGTTATGCCCAGATTAACCATGGAGCGGATGGTGCACCACCCATGTATGTTACCTTCAACCCTTCCCAAGCTGCTACCCTGGTAACCTCACTCCCTGATCCTGAGAAACACCCCATGCCCTTTTTCCGCAGGATGGCCCAGATCCGTAGAACATACTCCGCTGCTTGGCGGGATCTTATTAGTTTGTGTGAAATAAAGGCTGGAGATGCATACTGGCCAATCATGGAACAGAGCTTTAACGACGCTCCACTTACTTCTGATACTGATTTTCGTTCTGGTGAAATTTTCTGTGAACAGCTTCGAGCCTGGGCACAGGATAAACTAGCTGATCAGGCTACTTGCATAAATGACATAATTCAGGATAAACTTGAAACAGTTGAAAAGTATCACTCTAGATTGACTCAGACTTTCTCAGACTTAGGGTTCAGCACCTATAACAAAGCACACACCCAGATGCCATCTGCAGCTTTTGTGGCAGGCCTTAGGCAACACATTCGTAAGGGGTTAATTTTAGCTCGCCCAGAGTACAGAATTATTCCACTGGACACTCTTTTGTTGGTAGCCAAAGGCTTAGAATCTGTTTTGCAACCCACACAGTGAAGAACTAGTCCTCTGATGTACACTACCTCCACACCAATTGCAGGTTCTAACCAAGTTCCTCAGTTACTCCCCCAGCAGTACACTCAGTCACCCCAGACACTGCCTGCACCAATTCCCTTCTCCCGGGACCGGACTATCACGACAATCCGGACCTGTTTTAATTGTAATCAGCCAGGTCACTTTAGAAGAGATTGCCCACACCCTAGAGTGATCTGCCAACAGACTCCCCGGTACCCAAGTCCCCATGTCACCGGCTATAACTTCCCCTCCACTGGTTACCTCCCTGCCCTGCCCCATCCACAGTTGCCTCAACTTCCTCCACCTCCTCCTCCTCCTGAATACACCCAAGCCCGGCTCCCTGCATCAGAAGCTCGTGCATACACTTCGCCCTCCGCTGAAGGGTATGACAACGATGATTTCCAAGACAGTCAGCCACAACCCCGCCACGCCATCCGTCCATCCCGTCCTCCCACGCATTCTACTAACCCTCCTTCCACTTCCCGCCGGTACCAGGGACCAGACCAGGCCCATCTAGATTTATTACAATAGGTAACTGGCAAGCCTGTGTCAGCAACCCCTGCCATGGCAGTGTCTGCGGGGGATGGGGGAGGGCCTTTAGCTACTGTAGTTCTCCCCGTGGAGGGTCACCCAACCACCTTTCTAGTTGACACAGGTGCAGCCCGTAGTGTCCTTAGGGAACAAGACCTGCCAGACCCTTCCTTCTTATCTGACACCGATGTCTCCTGTGTTGGGGTGGATGGTACACCACGCAGTAACCCCCTTACTAAGCTCCTACACGTAGGATCACACATCCTCTCCCGGTTTGTTGTTTCCTCTACTTGCCCCATTAACCTCCTAGGTGCTGATGTGCTCTCTCGGCTCCAGGCTTCTATTACCTTTACTGCAGATGGTCAAGTTGAGTTGACAACCCCCTTATCACAAAAAGATACCTCTGTCCTCTGCTCACTCCCCATCTTGTTGAACCTAACTGACAGTACAGGGAATGCACGGGTCTCACACACCCCCAGTGTTCTGGATCGTATCCCCCAAGAACTTTGGTCCACCGGCCCGGATGATATTGGGCGCTTACATGTACCCCCAGTCTTGGTCCAGCTCCTGCCTGGAGCACTACCTCCTCGTAGACCACAGTATCCTCTGAAGCCAGCACAAGCTGAAGCCATCACCAAACAAGTTGAAAGCCTACTTGCCAAAGGTGCCCTCATCAAGTGCACATCTCCATGTAACACACCACTTTTCCCTGTTAAAAAGCGAACTGTTAAGGGTCAACCCGACCAGTACCGCATGGTGCAGGACCTCCGTGCTGTTAATGAAGTAACCATAAAAGACACTGCTATTGTTCCAAACCCTCACACCCTCTTGTCCCAGGTCCCACCAACTTCCACAATATTCACTGTAGTGGATCTAGCTAATGCCTTTTTCAGTGTCCCCCTTGACCCTTCCTGCCGCTTTCTCTTCGCCTTCACTCATGAAGGACAACAATATACCTGGACTGTTATGCCTCAGGGGGCTCAGAATTCCCCCACACAGTTTGCTCATGCCATGTCCCTGGTTCTGGATCCCTGGCAGAAATCTCATTTGGATGTTGTCCTGCTTCAATATGTTGATGATCTCCTTCTCTGTGCTCCTGATTTGCCCACTGCAGAGCGTGACTCAGAAGATCTCCTATGTTTCCTCGCTGCAGCCGGTTGCAAAGCTTCAAAATCAAAGCTACAATGGTGCCGGCCCTCTGTGGTCTTCTTGGGACATTGCCTTTCCCATGGCACCAAACATCTAACTTCTCAACGTGTGCAAGCTATTCTGCAACTCCCTTTACCTGCGACACATCAGACTCTTCATGCCTTTTTGGGTCTTATCACATATTGCAGGTCCTGGATACCCGAAGCATCAAAGCTCATGCAGCCACTCTATGATGCCCTCAGGAGTTTTCACCTCACTGAATCTGTTTCCACAATCTGAAAAGAGCTATTGCTTCTGCACCTGCTTTGGGCCTACCCAACTACCAACTTCCTTTCAATTTGTTTGTCTCTGAAAAGTCAGGACATGCTTCCGGAGTCCTTACCCAGAAACATGGGTCACGGCAACGACCTATTGGCTATTTTTCCTGCATGCTTAACCCTGTTGCGAGGGGTAGCCCCTCTTGCCTCAGAGCGGTGTTTGCCGCCAGCGCCCTCCTAGACAAGACGAATGATTTTGTTCTTGGCCATCACCTCACAGTGTTGGCCCCTCATGACATTACTGCAATCCTGCAACAAGTTCAACCTAAACACCTTTCCTCCCAACGTCACCTCCGTCTGCAAACCTCCTTACTTCTACCTGACAATGTGAAACTCCAGAGATGTCTTTCCCTGAACCCAGCCACTCTTCTGCCACTTCCCAAAGGGGGGAGTTGTGCATTACTGGTATAGCCTGGATATCAACCCAGAGGTTCGAACAGATTTGCAGCTGCCTGCACTTGCACCTCCACATGATGAACAATCAGAGGCCCTACTTCACTGTACCTTGTGGTTTAAGGACGTACCAGGCCCTGATATGAACTATGAGGAAGAACTATTCCAGCTCAAAGAAATTCAAATTACCCTGACTGACTTATTCTGGGACCCCGCAGGTACCATGCTCATCTTAGTCCATCTTCCAGAGAATGTAACACATCTCTATCATCATTGGGAAACAGCTATCCCACACATATCTCTCACCAGATCCCCCGACACCTCATGGAAAGACCTAGGCCCGATGGCCAAAACCTGGAACCAAATGACCCAAGATTGTTTTGAACAAATGAAAATGGAAACTACACACCTACCAACTGTCTATGAAGCTGCATTACTCAACCCGGACCAAACACTATTTGTGGATGGGTCAAGATTTGCTGATGAACAGGGACAATATCACATTGGGTATGCAGTCACCACAGGATGTCAAGTATTACAAGCAGCTGCCCTACAACCAGCTAAGTCTGCTCAAGAAGCCGAGCTAACAGCCCTGACTGTGGCCTGCAAATTGTCTGAAGGTCTACGTGTCAATATTTACACGGATTCAAGATATGCCCTGGGAGTAGCACATGACTTTGGCTTAATTTGGAAGACCAGAGGATTTCTTACGGCTACCGGTACCCCAGTAAAACATGGGGCAGCCATTGCAGAACTGATGGATGCATTGGAACTTCCAGCAGAGGTGGCAGTACTGAAAGTAAAAGCCCACGGAAGACTAGACACAGAAGAAGCACGGGGCAACCACTTAGCTGATCAGGCAGCTAAGGAAGCAGCACGGCAAGGATGGGAAGTGGACAGAAGAGTGGCCACAGATACATTACCCATCTACACTATGCAAACATTGCCTACAGATCTTAGGCTTCTGAAGGAACAACAAGCTGCTGCTACTCCCCAGGAGAAACAAAGTTGGAAGATTAAAGGAGCTGTACTCCGTGATGATGTTTACACCATCAATCTCAAGTTCTGCTTACCCAGAAGTATGTACTCAGCGGTGGTCCAATGGGCCCATGGGCCAGCCCACCTGTCGAAACTCCTGATGAACTCACTGATTGACAAGTATTTTAAAAGCACCAGGCATCACTACCTTAACACAGAATTACTGTAAATATTGTACTATATGTGCTAAATGCAATCCTGGAAAGATCATAAAGACCGCACCTAATCACCTAGCTAAACCACAATACCCCTTCCAGAGGATCCAGATTGATCACATTCAGATGCCAAAGAGTGGACGTTATGAATATGCATTGGTCATAGGGGACATGTTTTCAGGATGGCCAGAGGCCTTCCCAGTGACTAATCTCACCGCGAGGACTACAGCCAAGTATCTTTTGACAGAAATAGTTTGCCGCTATGGAGTTCCAGAAGTAGTTGAAAGTGACCAAGAGACCTCCTTCACTGCCTCGCTAACACGGGAAGTCTGGTCAGCACTGGGGGTGACCCTTGCATTCCACACACCATACCACCCACAAAGTAGCGGTAAGGTAGAACGCATGAATGGCACTTTGAAAGCCAGAATGCTTAAGATGTCACAAGAAACTAACATGCCCTGGCCCGAGAGTCTCCCACTAGCGTTATTTAGTGTAAGGTACACTCCCAGAGGAAAATATAGCTTGTCACCTTATGAGATTTTGTTTGGTACAGCACCCAGGTTAGGTTGCTACTTTCCCCAACAGCTTCAGATTCAGTCAGATGCTATGGTAGACTATGTTACTGCCCTCTCACATGCCTTGACCAAGATACATGCCCAAGTGTTTTCTTCTATTCCAGATCCTGAGTCGAATAAAGGTACACACAAGCTGCTTCCGGGTGATTGGGTTATGGTCAAGAAGTTTCTCAGAAAACACACCCTAGAACCGAGATTTGATGGTCCTTATCAAGTGCTCCTGATTACAGCAACGTCAGTTAAACTAGCTGGAAAGAGTTCTTGGATACACGCTTCACATTGCAAAAAAGTGCCTGCTCCAGAAGAGGCTGATCCTGTTGAAATATGAATTTATTATGTGTCTTGTGTTTTCTTATGTTGCTACACTTTGCCTGGGCCCAACAAGTGGACATAACCAAAGATAATCACGTTTACACTTTCTGGTACAATTCTTCTAATACTGATGTAGCCACATACACCTTTGATTACTGTGACATAGTTACTTGTACATTTCCACAAACACAATATGCAGCCATATACAAAGACATACCTAACAAAAAGGATCCATACATTTGTGTGACTGGAGGAGTTTGGGGACACCATTGTAGTTCATGGAAAGCTGCCGGGTGGAATACAGGTAGACCATGGGGCTACAGACCTCAAGTTGCACTGGACAGACTTGACAAAGACGGGAAACCCCTACTTTCTAGAATGACTCTGAGTAAACCCATAGGGTCAACTCCCATTAAACTTACCCTGAATATAGAACACCCCAGCCCAAGGGATGCAGGGGAATATGTGATGGGAATGTATTGGAAGGGAGGTGGCTCACATAATGCATTGGGGACATTTTACCTACAAGACATGCTCACCTCCCCAGACTGGGTAGGGACCACTCACATGATCATTAACCCATTAAAGCCACATATTAAGACCCTACATGACATGGTAGCTATAGCCAACCCCACCTTTGAAGATACCATGGCAGTAGAGACTGGGTTTTCAGACACTCATTTGTGGCTAGAATGGATGAGGTATAATGCCAACTCACATAATAAGACTAACTGTTATGTATGGGGAGGAGCCAGGCCCCATCTGGGTACAGTACCTCTGAGCTTACCCCCTGAAGTAGAATTATGTGTTCTGAGTCTTTATGCACAATCCACCACCAACTCCTCAACTCCTCAATCATGGAAGAGAATTTACCCAATCACTCATGGACATGTAAAACCACCTGATGGAGTCACCGTCTACCCAGGTAATTACACATGTTATACAATATCTAAGAACGCTGGTTTGTATCTGGGCAAATTCCCATCAGGATCTTGCTCAACTTACCATAATCCACCTGTATCACTGCTAATGAACCACACAAAGACAATCGGTGATATCTATTGGTTATGTGGTGACAAACAATTGAGGTCCCAATTAGCTGGGCAATGGTGGGGGGAGTGTGCCCTAACCAAAGTCATAATGCCTATCCACATTATTCCAGATGGTAGTCATAACACGTTAAACCTTACACATGTACACTCTAGAACCAAACGAGAGGCTCCTATCCGAGGGAGCTTCGACCCCCATGTGTATATTGATGCCATAGGTGTGCCAAGGGGGGTGCCTAACGAATTCAAAGCAAGAGATGAAGTGGCTGCAGGATTTGAATCCCTAATTCCAATGATAACTGCTAACAAAAATGTCAATTGGATCAACTACATCTATTATAATCAGCAGCGCTTCGTTAACTACACAAGGGATGCCCTACAGGGCCTAGCAGAACAGTTACAAGCCACTACTCAAATGACATTTCAGAATAGAATGGCCCTAGATATGATTTTAGCTGAGAAAGGGGGAGTATGTAAGATCCTCCCTGAGACTATGACGTGTTGCACATACATTCCAGACAACACTGGGCCAAATGGTAAGGTGACTACGGCCATAGAAAAGCTAGATAGTCTTTCTGATGAACTAAAGAAAAATTCAGGAGTCACTGACACTTGGGACAGATGGTTTGGGTGGATGAATGGTTGGCAAAGGACTCTCTTCCAGGTAGGGACAGCTGTTCTTATAATGATTATCATCTTCTTATTTTTAACCTGTTGCGTGCTCCCTTGCATACAGAAGTACTTACAGAAAGCGGTAGATAAGACTATAGATGACGTGACCCCTACTTTCCTACATCAAGACATCACAGACCTCAAAGATAACACTCCACATACACCCCTTCAATCACATCAGTTCAAACAGACAACTGCTCTCCTGTAGGGACAGTGTAGGGAAAGCGTCTGTCTTAGCAGGCGAGTCTCACGTGTGGAGATGTGGTGGACTAGCCGTTGCGGGTTACCCACGGAGTGAAGTGTTCGATGCTTGTTAAGACAGATGAGCTGCAGGCAGCTAGGGACATATTAGGGACAGTAGCAGTTGTTATGGTAAAGAGCCATTTTAGGGGGGACTGTTGTGGAAATAAGGTCTGCACATATTTCCTAGTTAATGAACATGTCTATTTACTCATTCCACGATATATCATATATAAAGCTAAGCACACATGTTTTAATCAAAATGGCTGCTAGAAGCTTCTAACCCCTCCTCCCCCCCCTTCCCTTCTTAACACCAACTAACTACCTCGTGCAGCAAGATGGCGCCGGGAAACCGTGGGAGACCCTCATGGCCCCGGTGACATCACCTACAGTAGGCAGAGCATTAGAGCGACCACTTAACACCTAACCAATTATTGATGTATAATTCCATGTTATCTCTGACAATGCTTATGATGTAATTTTGCTTTAAAAGGGACCTGCTGTCCTCTCTGAATAAACATTCCTCAAGTTATTCAACAACCTGGAACCTGTGTCTGGTGTGAATTACTTCAGGGAGCGTGCACGCATCGTTTCAATGATTTGGCCAGGGGCAGATACACAAAGAAATAATCAATACTTTGATTGATTTTTCCATTTCAAAAATGTCTAAGTATCATTCGAATGCACGAATGGGGGCATTCGTGCAAATAGTACAGCATAACCTGGCGTTCGAATTGTCGAACGCACTTCGTCTTTAGCTGATGAGTTGAAGTGGATGAGAAGGTCAACTTCAGCGGTGTTCGTGCCGTCGAGTAGCCGATTTCAGTTCCATGAAACCGACGGCAAAACACCGCTGACCACGTGCGAATGAACTAAAATGGCCGCCGCCACGTGTTCGGCTGTCGAATGGCGGCCACTTCGATTACTTCGGCTGCATCCGAAGTGCCATAGCAAAGCTGCATGTCTTTTCCTAAAGTACTTAAAGGGCCAGAAACAGTGCAGTACAATACAATATTCCCAAATACTGTCTTTAAAGGGCAATACCCCCAGGGCCATAGTCACATGGCAGGAGGCGGGCAAGTAAGCTGCTCCAAAAGCTCATGGCAAACTCTCTTAAAGGGGTGAGTTTGCTACAGCAAGTCCTATATTTTTTGCGTATTTTTTTAACAAAAGATCAAAAGGTTAAATAATAAAGAGTTGTTTGCAGTCGTCTTTTACGAAGGGTGCCAATATTAGTGGAGGGCAATGTATGTAATTTGTATATCAAGGTATATTGAAAGCATGTGCAATGTGTATGTTATGTGAATGTATTTGTGCGTGTGTGTAATGTGTACATATGTGCAGTTTTATTCACTTAACAGCAGATAGTAGTAAACTGAAAACCAAACATCAACATTTCAGGTAACATAGCCAAACTGCAACTATTGCCGAGTTGGAATTATTTTCTAGATCAACTGTATATATGTCTAATTTGAGAAACGATTTAGTACTTAGTGAATAAACTCCTACATTGTGTGAATGTGCATGTATACTTCATGCCAGAATTACAAATAGCTGGCATTGTTGCAGACAATATAACTCTCCATTGCTGGACAAAGTTAGCAGTGGGGGCACGTAGCTAGCAATATGGAGGCGCAAGCAGTTGAATATAGGGCAGCATTTTTGGCGACCTAAACCTCTTCCCTGAGATTACCAGAACAAGCATCCCACCCTCTCAATTATCTGTCATAGGTTTTAAGGCAAGGGGTAAGCTCTCCTTTCAATTTTGTGGGTGGGCAGAGGAACAATTATAAAAATCTGACTCTCAGGGCAGATTGCATTAGTTCAAGCTTGGTTTTAAAGTTATTTTAAGATTCATAAAATTCTGGTTATGTATTTATTGGAATGTTTATGTGCATTTCTGCTCAAACCCTTTACATAAAAGCTCCGGCCATTATATCCATTCACAGTCTCTTTGTGTATGTCTTTATTTATATTATGCTATTGATATAATGAGTTATATACAGTCCATGCAATGGACATCAATTGATTGCCACTTCTGTTTTGCTGGGCTGCCACAAATGGACAAAGTACACATTAAGGAAAAAGTGCACACAGTTTCAGGAATTACAATTTAAAATTACCAGATTTTGCTAATATCATGGCATAAAGTCATGATTTTCTTGAGACACGGAGCCGAATATTAGGCTTATCTCTTTATTTCCTCAGCAGCAAAGAGGGAAAAAAAAGAAAATATTTGAAACTTCAAAAATGACGTGATAGAACATAAATATTAACAAACGCATAATACAGCCAATCAGAGTATCCAACAATTTCTCCCATCCATATATAATTGAATGTAATCCAAAACTCCTTTTTCTTTGATGTTTCTTTGATATCCACCAAAACTCTAATGTAACAAAATAAGATGAAACAACCTAATGTAGAAAATAACAGAAAACTAAAACATAGAATGAGAAAACCATCTGTCTGTCACATAGAGAGTCCACCCAAGGTAACTTCACACTAAAAGAAAAAGAGAACTATATGGTAATATGGACACATAAAAGGAGTCAAAATATATGTCATATTTAATAAATATCAATTGTGTATAAAAACACTATTGTATAAGAAAAACAATCTACTAAGCAATTAAAATGAAGTGAGGTCATGAAAAATATACGCATATAATAAACGAAAGTTTGTACTTACCAATAGATAAAGAAAGATAATAGGTGTGGGAATAATATTCGCCTTCGTGTCTTAATAAAATCATGACTTTATGTTATATTAGCAAAATCTGGTAATTTTATAAAGACATGGAGGCTCATATTATGCTTGTTTAAAGATGAGCAAGAACTGTAGAAGCAAAATGTGTAGAAGTTCAAAAGTATAATTCAAGGAAGGTAGATTCCCTTGACAAAGCCGTTGCTAGTGGTCTTCTACGCACCATCCCACTATCCCAGAGAACCTGCTTTAGAAGTCATAGCCTTACAGTGGAATAAGGTCCGTAGGTATAAGTATCTATTTCTGCAGAATCAAGAATCCATTTTACCCATCAATAGATCATAGAAACCAGGTGATGAGGTTTGCGAAGAGAGAGGAATAACTCTGTACAAGAGAAATCCCTGAAGAGTGCTGTCCTGGGCTTGTATTCTCTAAGGCAGGAGATGACTTAACCGAGCATGATGTGGAAAACTGGGGTAGAAACCAATTTAATTGAGGTCTTGGTGCGTCAAAGTAGACTCACACAGAGGTGAAGGAGCAGGTAGCAATATCTAATGCTCTGGCATTAGAGAAACATTTAGAAGATATCACGCAGAATAACATGACTAGTTTCGCAGTGAGATATCTCAGTGACAGATCTATGTTGGATGACCAGTTCTTGAACATTGTAATGACAATATTGAGGTACCAGAGGACATTATAGCATGGCTGAGGAGGTTGAGCCATCCTAATATCCACAGTCTGATTTCTGATTAGACCAATAAGTACATGGCCATGAGTCATCAAGCTGAAGAAAGCAGCACTCCTTGATCATATTGCTTACCGTTGGTGGTTGATGTGTTTAGACGAGAAGGAGAATAACTCTTCCCTTTTCTTGCTCAGCACTCATGGCAGCAAGTCCTCTCTCCCCTGCAGACAGCTAAAGGAACTACAAGAGACCACATGGATGACGTCAGCATCCTAACCCAGTGTGTACCTCTGACTACCTGTGGTTACTGAGCAACACCATTACCACTGTCCAGCAATTAGGTGAGTACTTGGAGACAGGGGCCACAAACAGGGGTAGGATGGGACAGAAGAGCAGAAACATTGAGATAGAGGTGGGCATGAGAAAAGAAGACTAAAGTAATGAATGAACCTGGATTATGTTCAGCTTGTACTGAAGATTGCAGGTTGGGTAGAACTGCCAAAATTCATTTGCTATATTCGACAGAGCTTGTGATCTGGTGCCATCCAGATGACATATATTGAACTGTCGCTACATTGTCCAGCCATAGAAGTATTGACCAATTCACTGATTTGTTTGTGAGACTCTGAAAGGGCAAACGAGCCAGATAGAAGTTCTTGGCAATCGACATAGAGTTCCTCCTGAAAATTGCTCTGCCATTCCATGTGTCAATGTGCAGGAGCCACCAGGGGAGTTCTTCTGCTGCCTCACAGTCATATGGAATTATGTTATCGTATGTGTTGCCTGGATGGAGTGAGCGGTGCTTCAGGCATTGAAGAGATTGGTAATATACTAAATCCAGGAAAATGGCTTGGAGTGACACAGATAATGGGCCAATCATCTGTGCTAGGTGACGTATTGTGATCATGGGTTGAGTGAGAACCCTTCTGATTTACTTTTTTGATGATTAGGACTTTGGAGTCTGGTAGATACAGAGTGCCATGTACAGAATCTATTGTAAACCCCAAGTATTTTATTCATTGTGATGGGGTAAAGGACGACTTGTCCCAGTTGATGAGAAATCCTAGTTGCTGTAAGAGAGTTTTTGTCCATGAGAGGTGTAATTTTAGGGTAGGTGTATCTTGAGATATAATTAACAAGTCATGTAAGTAGATAATAAGACAAACAACTTTCCAGCATAAGGAGCGGACGTCAAGTCTTAACAGTTTGGTGAAGCACCACTGGGCTAAATATAGGCGAACAGTAGGCAGGTGAATCGCCACTACTGTCATCCCAAGATGAATTGCAATTAGTCTTAATGATCTTCCACTATGGGAATAGTGAGATATGCATCTTGCAGATCTAGTTTGACCATACGATACCTGGTAAGGAGCAAGTCCCGTAGACAATGTATGCCTTCCATTTTGATCACGGGTAGCAACCCACCTCCTTACATGGGTACCAAAAAGATATTGCTGATGAAACCCAAAGACATTACAGGAATGGGTACTATAGCTCCTTTGTCAGCTAATGTGTGTACCACTTGAAAGACCATACCTTGGTCATGTTCTGAGAATTGAATCGTTTGTGGGGCAGATGTCTGGTTTGGGGTTGTCAATAACTCTATATGATATGCCATCACAGTCTGTAGGACCCATGCATCTGTAGTCAAGGACATCCATGCTCTGTAAAAAAAAAAACATCAGTATGCCCTCTACTTTTACATGGATAGAATGGTGAGGTAATATTCAGCTTACCATAAGGTTGTCGGCTTCGAGGAGTGTCTCTGTAGCCTCGATTCTGCCAAGGGTGACCTTTCTGAGAGAGGAAGGCAGTTTAGTTTTGTGGAAGGATGCCCTGGATTGGCATCAGGGTCCGCCGAAAGAATCAATGATCAGACGCCCCCTTTCATATGTTAGATTATGCTTAATCTAGGGCCATGAAGGTTCTAATAAAAGTGCCCAGTTCGTATGCAAATGGTCTCTGAAAAAGAAACCTTTTCCTGTTGTCCTGGCTCAGAGGTGGCAAGGTTAATAAGCTTAAACTATCTTTTTTTAAAAACAAAAACTTTTTGTGGCCAGAGTGGCATTAGCATTGGCCATTAGGCAAACAATCCTTTGGATCCACCCTATAACAGTAAGTAGGTCTACAGAGGTGCACTAAGAGAGAGTAGACTTCACCATCTCAAAGATTTTAGAACTAGAGACTAGATTATCCAAGACCTTATCATAGTAATTGTGTGGGGAGGAATATAAGCCCTTCCTGGATTTCCAGACAATGAATAGGCACCACATGGAGCCCATGTCAGGGATTATATTTATAAACAGCTGCTAGGGCCTACCAACAAGCATGAGCCTGGAGCTAGTTCTCCAAGAGCCCCTATGTTAATCCAGCCCTATCCATCCATGAGCAACAGGTGGAGGCTGTTAAATAAATGAGGGGCTCATATGTGGTGGGAGGAAGCTATTAAAATAATAAATGGGCAGAACCTAGTGGTAGTTTAATGTGTTTTTTCTGTGTATGTTTCTATTATTAGTGGAGAGCACCAACATATGCTACAGCGCTGTTGAATAGGTTTGTATTGATAGATTTGTATATGTGTGTGCATTTAATAGGCAAGTTTTAGAATTAGGGAGATAGCTTGATATATTTGACCACATAGCTGTTGTGAAACAGTAAAGCAGTAGTACATTTTTACACATCAGCCATTTCTGGTACATTTTAGGTCATTCCATTCAGGCACCAGAATAAACAAGTTTATCTGCCTGTCTACCAGGTTCTAGCAAACTGGAAGATTCCAGTAGGTTCCACAATTGGACACATCATTCTTTTTATGGTAGTTTCTAGGTCATTTCACTATGGCTGAAGGAAAGAAAATCTAAGAAAAGATTTAAAAAAGATGAAAGCTGATTAAAGACCAAGAAAAATAAATAAGCAAAGCTTCGGCAAATAACTATGACACTTTCAATTTATAATTTTATAAATATAGTAGGGTGAACAGTATGGGGGCAGATGACTAGGGCTTGAGGATATTAAGCCATTAGTGGAAGCAACTTTTTGAAACATGGTAAGAGGGATTAGGCACCCTCTGGACTTACTAAATAGTTAATTATTATGGCCAGAAGAATTAGGGACTCTCCGACCATGCAATAGGGGCTCGGGTACCCTTTATCAAATATAATATTAAGATCAGATTTCAATAGGATACAATTCAATATATATTTGATATTTGATCTCCCTCACCGGCCCATGGAGGCACACAGCACGGGCTGCGGGATTAGGGTGTTTTGTCTCTCACATCTGTTTTTTGCTGTTGATCCAAAAGAAGGCAAGAAACCCAATGTGAAGAGCTTTCCAATTTTGTAACAAACTAGGAAAAAAATTCCTTCTTGACTAGAGAATGGTCGTCAGGTCTCTCCTTGGATCAAGAAGCTATTAACCCAAAAATGAAAAATTATATCCCTGATTATAATGTTTTTGCAAGTATTCATCCAGGTGCTGTTTAAACATCTGTATAGACTCTGTTCCTTCAATAAGCTTGCTTTCTACCTGATTGGATGTCGTCTTGTTGTAATAGTGTTTTACTGTACTTCAAACTCGGCTTTTTATTGGTATCACTAAGGAGGAGTCCTTTTAGGGATAAGATGCAAAATTCAGTAAATTTTCCCCCAAAACTAGGACAATCGGTATACAAAAATACAGCTAATTATTTCAAAGGAAAGCTATATTATAAATATTAAACTGTGTACCTTTCATTGGCTTACAGAGTAATAATTGTGTTTGCAACTGCTCTATTGCATTTTTTTAATATTTATATATAGACCTGTGATATGGTTGGAATGAATGCTGAGAACTAACCATTCACAGTTTATTTCCCTCAACAACTGCTGCTGAGTGACATTAGCAATTGTTAAGAATGGAAATTGCAGCCATTTATATCAGCAAAAGCACTGTCACACTTTCCATTGCTACACAAGACTTGAGTTGCTTATGGATGTAAACATTACAGACGCCTACCAACCAGGTTGCAGGGGTCGCTACTGCAACTGGGCCCATCACTCCAGAGATCCAGGCCGCAGTAGCTTACCATCAGGGCCAGTGCACAGCTGTGCTGCTCCTCTCCTGCCATTGTATGTATCGTGGCTGGGCACTCTGCCAGGAAGTGCTCACTGAGAGAGGTGACCAGGTACAGGAGGGGGAGAAACACATGGAGGGACTGAGGGAAGGAAATTGGACACATGGAGGAGTTGGGGGGAGGAAATGGAACACATGGGGGTTGGGGTGGAATGGGACACATAGTGGAGCTAGGAGGGAGGAAATGGGATATATGGAGGGGTTGGGGGGAGGGAAAGGAACACACAGAGGGCTGGGGGAAGAAGGGAATGAGAAACATGGAGGTGCTGGGGGAGTGAATGAGACACATGAAGGGGCTGGTGGGAGGGAATGGGACACATGGAGGGGTACAGGGGAAGAAATGGAACACATGGGGGGCTGGGGAGAGGGAATGGGACACATGGAGGGGAGGGAATGGGACACATGGTGGAGCTAGGAGGGAGAAAATGGGATACATGGAGGGGCTGGGGGGAGGGAATGGAACACACGGAAGGCTTGGGGGAGAAGGAAATAAGATACATGGAGGGGCTGGTGGGAGTGAATGAGACACATGGAGGGGCTGGTGGGAGTGAATGGGACACATGGAGGGGCTGGGGGGAGATACTGAGACACATGGAGAGTTGGGTGGAGGAAATGAGACACATGGAGGGACTGGGGAGGAGGGAAGGGGACACACGTAGGGTATGAGACACATGGAAAGGCTGGGAGAGAGGAAAAGGGACACATGGAGGGACTGGGGAGGAGTGAAGGGGACACACGTAGGGTTTGGGGAGAAGGGAATGAGACACATGGAGGGTTGGGGGGAGATAATGAGGCAAATAGAGGGGTTTTGGGGGAGAGGAAATGAAACACATGAAGAGGCTTTGGGGGGAATGAGACACATGGAGGGGACTTATGGGGAAGGAAATGAGACACATGGAGGGGCTTTTGGGGAAAGGAGACACATGAAGGGGCTTTTTGGTAAATGAGAAACATGGAGAGGCCTTGGGGGAAATGAGACACATGGAGAGGCAGGGGGCATTGAGAAACATGGAGGGGCTGGGGGGGAATAAGACACATGGAGGGGCTGGGGGGAATAATGCACATGGAGGGGCTGGGGGGAATAATGCACATGGAGGGGCTTGGGGGGAAATTAAGACACATGGATGGGGCTAGGGGGAAGTATGGGATGCATGGGGTGGCAGGGTAATTGGTTTCTAGTTACACCTCTGATTACAGGTTAAATCACCGAATGACTACTTTATTAAGTATACTGTGTCCGCCAATGACTGGTTTACATACACACACACAGGTAATACTCGAAAAAATTTGAATATCGTGCAAAAGTTCATTTATTTCAGTAATGCAACATACAAGGGGAGACTAATATATGAGATAGACGCATTACATGCAAAGCAGGATAGTTCAAGCCGTGATTTGTCATAAGTGCGATGATTATGGCTTACATCTCATGAAAACCCCAAATCCACGTAATGCGTCTATCTCATATATTAGTTTCCCCTTGTACGTTGCATTACTGAAATAAATTAACTTTTGCACGATATTCTAATTTGTTGAGTATCACCTGTATGTATGTACACACACACACACACATATATATATACATACATACATATATACACATATATACACACACACACAGAATCTAACAAATGTGAGTACACCCCTCACATTTTTGTAAATATTTTATTATATCTTTTCATGTGACAACACTGCAGAAATTACACTCTGCTACAATGTAAAGTAGTAGGTGTACAGCCTGTATAACAGTGTAAATTTGCTGTCCCCTCAAAATAACTCAACACACAGGTATTAATGTGTAAACCATTGGCAACACAAGTGAGTACACCCCTAAGTGGAAATGTCCAAATTTGTCCCAAAATGTCAATAATTTGTGTGGCCACCATTATTTTCCAGCACTGCCTTAACCCTCATGGGCATGGAGTTTACCAGAGCTTTACAGGTTGCCACTGAAGTCCTCTTCCACTCCTCCATGACGACATCACGGAGCTGGTGGATATTAGAGACCTTGCGCTCCCCCACCTTCCGTTTGAGGATGCTCCAGAGCTGCTCAATAGGGTTTAGGTCTGGAGACATGCTTGGCCAGTCCATCACCTTAACCTTCAGCTTCTTTAGAAAGGCAATGGTCATCTTGGATGTGTGTTTGAGGTCGTTATTATGCTGGCATACTGCCCTACGGCCCAGTCTCCGAAGGGAGGGGATCATGATCTGCTTCAGTATGTCACAGTACATGTTGGCATTCATGGTTCCCTCATTGAACTCTAGCTCCCCAGTGCCGGCAACACTCATGCAGGCCCAGACCATTACACTCCCACCACCATGCTTGACTGTAGGCAAGACAAACGTCTACTCCTCACCTGGTTGCCAACACACACGCTTGACACCATCTGAACCAAATAAGTTTATCTTGGTCTCATTGCACCACAGGACATGGTTCCAGTAATCCATATCCTTAGTCTGCTTGTCTTCAGCATCATTTTTAGAAGAGGCATCCTTCTGGGACGACAGCTATGCAGACCAATTTGATGCAGTGTGCGACGTATGGCCTGAGCACTACCAGGCTGACCCCCCACCCCTACAACATCTGCTGCAATGCTGGTAGCAGTGGCGTACACAAGATCCATGGGGCCCCGGTGCGAAATTGATCCGTGGGTCCCCCCGCGCTTACTCTGCGTGGGCCGGTGCTGCTACACATGGCGGTGGGCACCTAGTCGCAGGGCTGCGACCCCTGCATGCCGCCAGTGCATGCAGATACACTTAAAGGACCGCTATAGGCACTCAGATCACTTCAGCTCAATGAAGTGGTCTAGGTGCCAGGTCCCTCTAGTTTTAACCCTGCAGCTGAAAACATAGCAGTTTCAGAGAAACTTCTTATTTTTCACTGAGGGTTAACCCAGCCTCTAGTAGCTGTCTCACTGACAGCCGCTAGAGGCGCTTCCGCTGGACGTCCATAGGAAAGCATTAAGTAATGCTTTCCTATGGGCAGTTTGAATGCGCGCATGCGCATTTGGAGGTGAAAGGTGGATCGGGGCAGAGAAATCCCCAGTGCCAAGGGAGCCCGGCGCTGGGAAAAGGTAAGTGCTGAACTACACACACATACACACGTTCACGAACAGACGCATACACACTAGCTAACAGACACGCATACACACTCGCTTACAAAACATACACTCTCACTAACAAACACACACAAACTAACATACAGTAACACACACTCACTGGCACACACACTGACACTCACTAGCAGACACACACTCAATAACAGACACAGTAACACACTCACACTAACATTATTTTTTTTTTTTAATTTAATCCCCAGCCTCTCTACCTTTGGGAGTGCTATGGGGATTCCTGCTGTCCCTGGGGTCCAGTGGGGCTGCTGGGCAGCCGGGCGCGCACAAGGGAGCACTCTCACCTAAGTGCTCTCTGCCCAGCTTCCTCGCGCGCTGCGTATTGATGTCAGAGACGTCATTTTCCGGCATCAGTGTGGTGCATGCGAAGGAGCTGAGCAGAGAGCGCACAGGGGAGAGTGCTCCCTCGCGCGCCCAGCCGCCGGCAAACTGAAGCCACTGCCAGCCTCGGGGGGCCCTAAGGTGGCCAGTTCCTGGGCCCCCCAGGAGAAGAGGCTGGCAAAATGTGGCCACACTGGCGTGCATACCGGGTCGCAGGGCGGCGGGCCCCTTGGTGGGCCGGGCCCGGTAACAGCCGCGACCCCTGCGTCTAATCCCAATAGACAACCTCTGGATATAACACTGAGCATGTGCACTAAACTTCTTTGGTTGACCATGACGAGGCCTGTTCTGAGTGGAACCTGTCCTATGAATCCATTGTGTGGTCTTGCCCACCATGCTGCAGCTCAGTTTCAGGGTCTTGGCAATCTTCTTATAGCCAAGGCCAGGGGTAGGCAACCTTTTAGCAGCACTGTGCCGATATAGGATTGTGATGTCCCGTAGTGTGCCAGTACTATTTTTTAAAATTGAGGTGTGTATACTGGCATATTCTCCTTGTGTTATTTATACTGCAATAGCTTTGTATCTTTGTATTTGTGCGTATATGAGCTATTATATTGCATATGTTCGAGAGTAGTTTGTGGTATCGTGTATGATACATATGAATGTGGGCTGTGTATGGGGGCTGCTTGTGGAATTGTGTGTGTGGATTGATATGTCACATAACGTGTGTTTGGTAGTGTGTGTATGTGTGGGGCTGTTTGGAGTATTGCATGTGAGAGGCTGCATGTGGGGTTGTGTGCATGTATGTGGATTGTTAGCGGGTTACGTTTGTGCGGATTGTGTGTATGTTTGCTTGTGGGCTGTTCGTATTATTTGTATGAGGGGAGGGTTATTGTGCATTTCTGAGTATATCTAGCAGTATGGGTGGCTTCCCTAGGTTCCAGTGGAGACCAGGCAGGTACAGGTGAAGGGCAGGAGCTGCAATATCCACTGTGGGCTGCTCTACCACAGTGTGGATTCCCATTCACAAGTGCTGGGAGGAAGTGACCTGAGATCACTTACGCTATGTACTGCAATGCATAAATTGAGGGTTGTCTTTCACCACCTTTTCGTATTAGCATATATCTGAAGTTTCACTGGGACTCCTGATAGGCCAAAGCCTGTTTGGCTCTAGCATCCTTGAGTGCCGTGCAAAGACACTTTGAGTGCCGTGCATGGCACTAGTGCCGTAGGTTGCCTACCCCTGGCGTAGGCCATCTTTATGTAGAGCAACAGTTCTTTTTTTTCAGATCCCCGAGAGTTATTTGCCATGGGGTGCCATGTTGAACGTCCTGTGACCAGTACGAAAGAGTGTGAGAGCAATAACGCCAAATTTAACACACCTGCTCCCCATTCACACCTAAGATCTTGTAACACTAACGAATCACATGACACTGGGGAGGGAAAATGGCTAATTGGCAACTTTTATTGCTAACGGTTTAGACATTAATGGCTGTGTGTTAAGTTATTTTGAGGGGACAGCAAATTTACACTGTTATACAGGCTATACACTTACTACTTTACATTGTAGCAGAGTGTCATTTCTTCAGTGTTGTCACATGAAAAGATGTAAGAAAATATTTACAAAAAATGTGAGGGGTGTACTCACTTTTGTGAGATAATGTATATATACTACAGCACCCCTCACACTGCACCACTACACACATTACGCTCTAGATACACGCTAGATCCCTTACCCAACTCTGGATCATCTAATCTACACACACACACACACACACACACACACACACACTAGATCCCTATATACACTCTGAATCTTTTACACACTATATACACTCTGGGTACTTTACACTCTAGATCACACTAGATCCCCTATACACACACACACTGCACTGCACCACCTACACACACTGCATTCCTGACATACAAACTGTGGATCCCCTAGTCTGCACACACTACATTCCTTGTAAGCAAACAAACACACACACTCTACCTCCCCTACACACACTACGTCACCTATACACACACACACTACAGCCCGTATACACACACTCGCTGCATCCCCTATACACACTATGCCTCCTTTACAAACACTCTCTACAGTCCCTAGCCACACATTACACTACAAACACGAATGAAATCGACCTATTTACACAATACCACACCACAATCAGCTCACTCTACACACACGCAATCCCACAAGCAGGCTCCAAACACATACACAATACGTTTTACTGGCCTTTAGGTATACCACTTATGGAGACACCAGAGACAAGTAAATAGCAAACACAGCACAAGCATGTTATTACATTTGCTTGTGCTGCGTAGAACAAATACAGGGCCTTTTTCTCAAGCTAGAGCTCCTCAGCAGGGCTCTGAGCATTGAACCAACATGCTCACTTTGAGAGGGAGCATGCTTGTCATTAGTGATGACAAAACACACCCTCTCTGGGCCCGTCCCTCCTCAGGGGGCGCTGTGATTGAATCCCCGGGCCAAATTATTTTCCCAGTGCGGCCCTGCTAGAATGCCAACAGATTTGAATTGTATTTATTTTTTTGCAACACAAATTGGGGAGGGGGAGTGCAGCCCCACCTGCCACTATAAACCAGTCTTACTGCTATCAATATACCTATATTGAAAAAGCAAGAAAACTGATTAACTAATTTAGACCTGAGCAATGTGCCACCCTCTCCATTGCTGCATCATAACTTCCATCAGCCTTAATCCAGCTGACTGGAAATATAAGATGCAGCCATCAACAGATGGAAGGGCTTAGGTTGTCAATAACTGTATCTACAAAGACATTTCTACTTGAAATGAAGTCCAGTATCGTGAAATATTACCAAGAGAGGGTCGATTATTTTCCATCATGCTTCATTATAACAAGAGATAAGCACAACAAAGTTACAGTACAGAGACAGAATAAAATCTCGTCAGGGCACTGCCCATTAAGACACTGACAAGTCTTAAGATGCATCTATTTTGTTTCCTTGGTGCATAAAGATAACATATGCTTAATATAGACCAAAATAAAAATACACCTAGAGAGAGGCAAAGTGTTATAAAACATACATGTGCATTGTGCTAAGCATTTACAAACTGTGATATACACTTGCTCAGTGTACTTTGTTGCAGATTCACTGACAAGTGTTGGAAATTTGTAGCTACCCTCAGCCAGCCACACCACAATTGTCATTATCATCAGTCAAACTTGGGAGGTCCTTGAAATCGTAAGGGCAGCGAGATTCCCTTCATTGAAGCAGGATCCAGTGACAAGGAGGATTAAACATGCAGGATATGTTAAACAAAGGGTTACAAAGCAATGTTAGCATGTACAGTACCTTGTCCTTGAGTTACAGTATGGAACTCTGCAGCTATCCGTGCTGCCTCCTTGCGATTTCCTTTTACAATGTAGAAATGACTAAGGATTGCAAGGCTGATTTTGACAAATAATTTAAAGCAGAAAAGTGCAAGGATAGTGAAGTAGACATTGGATAGATGTACGGCAAAAGGTTTTTCCTCCAGCAGCGTCATAGCTGTTCCGGAGTCTTTGTTAGTGTTTGGAAGTTGGTCTAAACTGTGTTGACAAGATCACATGCTCCAACCAGAAGCTGCTTAGAACAGCTGGTACTAAGGAAATTAGATACCAGGTGCTCATGATGCCTCCTGCTGAGAATTTAAGCATTATTTATGCAGTTCATTTTTATTCCAGTCCCATTCCAGTTTCCTTTAGGACATACTGTAGTTTATTATCACAAGAGTGCTTTAAACGTATTAGCCCTGGTGAGAGCCAATTTAACCTTTTACTAACACTCCTGGACAAAGATGGAATAAGCATACAACAAGAACCCAGTTTAAGAATAATTGCGACCCTTCTCTAACTTGTAATCTTCCCTCTTTCTCATCTATCTTTGGTTCTTCTTTCCTCCTATGTTTGACCTGGCTTTGTATTCTTTTTTTAAAGGAACACTAACTGTATAAATAAATACATTAATTAACTTACCTCTAATCCAGGTAAGTGGTTAATTTACCTCTAATCCAGTGGCAAGAGAGGTCTTCTGACTAAAGCTACACTCCACATTGGGAGCATGATCTATATCTCAAAACAACTTAAAAGAACATTATAGCGTTAGGAATACACATTTGTATTCCTAACGCTATAGAGCCCTAGTCACCTAAACAGTGACTAGGGCGCCATCCACGGCAAATAAATGGTTAATTAACCATTTATTTGCTTACCTTAATCCTGTGCCGGGCTCCCTCGGCACTGGTTACCTCTCCTCCTCCATCGACATCAGCTCCTGAGTCGAGTCTAATGCGCATGTGCGGTCAAAGGGCGCATGCGCATTCAAACACGCCCATAGGAAAGCATTACTCAATTCTTTCCTATGGGGTTTGTTTTTGACGCTGGAGGTCCATGAGGACGTCCAGCGTCAAATAAGTGTGATTTACTCTGTGTAAATAGCGGAAGCGCCTCTAGTGACTGTCAGGGAGACAGCCACTAGAGCTGGATTAACCCTACAGTGTAAACATAGCAGTTTTTTCTGAAACTACTATGTTTTCAGCTGCAGGGTTAAAACTAGGGAGATCTGGCACCCAGACCACTTAATTCAGCTCAAGTGGTCTGGGTGCCTATACTAGTCATTTAATTAAGCTAAAGTTGTTTTGATCATTTCCCTTTAAAGTCATCTAGATCACTTCATCCCAATGAAGTGGCGTGGGTACATTGGTCCTTTAGTTTTAACCCTGCAATGTAAAACAGTTAAACAATTGTTATTTTCAGGACTATAGGTTCTATTTAATTACAATAAAACCACTTAATAAACTCAGGTGGTTAAGCTGTTCTCAGTATCCTTTTAACTATTTTTTGTTTGCACTCTTTAGTTACAGTGCCTTGAACCAGTATTCACCCCCCCCCTTTGGATATTTACCATTTTGTACAATGCACCAAACACTTTCAAGTTACAAAACGTGTATTATATTTATTGTGACACAAATGTAAATTTTACAAAGATGTCAATATTTAATCCTTCTTCATATTGCAATTAACATATCCAAAGGCAAAAAACATAAATTGGGGGGGGAAATAAATAGGACTTGTCTGTATAGTATTATTTGTAAGTAAGTAATCACTTGTTTAGCACAAAATGAAAATAGGTTAAGGTATTGGGTCTTACAGAAAATGCCACACTCTTAAAGGACCACTCTAGGCACCCAGACCACTTCAGCTTAATGAAGTGGTCTGGGTGCCTGGTCCAGCTAGGGTTATCACATTTTTTTTTATAAACATAGCAGTTTCAAAGAAACTGCTATGTTTATAAATAGGTTAATCCAGCCTCCAGTGGCTGTCTCTTGACAGCCGCTAGAGGCGCTTGCGTGCTTCTCACTGTGAAAATCACAGTGAGAAGACGCAAGCGTCCATAGGACATCATTATGAATGCTTTCCTATGAGACTGGCTGAATGCGCGTGCAGCTCCTGCCGCGCATACGCATTCAGCCGAAGAGGAGGAGGAGAGCTCCCCGCCCGGCGCTGGAGAAAGGTAAGATTTTAACCCCTTCCTCTCCCCAGAGCCCGGCGGGAGGGGGTCCCTGAGGGTGGGGGCACCCTCAGGGCACTATAGTGGTCCTTTAAGCTATGATGTAACCTGTTTCACTAAGGTCTGTGCCCTAGTCAACCACAGAACTCCTCTCAACATCAGGTGTTATCCCCTTCTTTCTCTTATTTTAACTAAACAGTACAGAATGAAGAACAAAATCCTTTACCAAGACAGGCTTATTGAAAACTAGGCAGAGTATGAGTTACCTTGAAAATCCAACTCCTGTTGGCTTACTTTCCTGACTTCTGAGCGTGTTTTGTAGGATGTCATAATTAATGTTATAATGCTTTACAATTCCATCCAACAACATTGTACACTTCCAGTGTTTTACATTTACCTGCAAAAACAAGAACTAACCTTAATACATAAATGAATATGTATTATGAAATAAAGAACAGAAAAGCATATGATTTATTGGACATCCACACCCAAGCTTCCTTCAAGAGGAAACATATTTTCCACTCATCTAGCACACGTAGAGTTAAGAATCCAGTATGAATCCAGTTTCATAAAGAAGCATAACATGTTTGGAATTGTCACCAATGTTATCAGGTTATTTCACAGCCCAGATGCTGTCCATCACAATCTATTATCTCAGTATTGTTTAATAACACACATAGCTTGTTGGCTATTCCTCCAATTATTACCATGTGACTTTTCCTTTTAATACTGTCCCTTTAAATGCAGTTCCTGTTTTTCACCTCTAGTGGCCTCCCTAGCCTTACTCCTTCCTAATTTGGATTACTATTAAGTCACCTGTAATTTGCCTGCATTGCATCCTACCTACCTGCCTTATAGAACCCTGCTTCATTCCTATCTGGATAACCTTCATCTCTGCTTTAACCTGCCTACCTGATTCATACAACCCTGCACCATACCTACCTGGATTATGATTGCATTATACTGTCTACCTGGATTTATACAACCCTGCAAAAATACTATCTGGATATTGCTGAACATATTGTTTTCTAAGGTGTTCCTTTCTTTCCCTGACTCTGACTCTGACTCTTTATAATTCCTAATACCGGTCTTGGTATTCTTTCCATACTTTATCCAGCTTTATTATTTGCACAGTTTGTTTTCTATATAGAGCATATTGCCTTACTGTCTATTTCTCCCTTTCCTTCTCATTATTTATTCTACAAATTATTATACTGCTGTAATGTCAAAAGCTACAAATAAAGACACTTCAGTTAACTCTGGCAATCGTTTACTACCTGATCGAGAGCATGACACCATGATTCAATAGTCAAGCAAGTTGTTTATGATCTTATTTGCTAATGTCTAAGACATAACAAATCAATTTTCTCTCTTTTGGGACATTTAAAGCAGCATCAGTTCTCACAAGTGTGGAGTGACTCATTTGTACTTAAAGCGGCACTGTCATGCCGAATCCTGGGTTGTTTTTTTTAACCCCCCGCCTGCCTCCACTACATCTAACTGACCCCCTAGTCACCCCCAAATGCCCATAAGCCCCCCACATTACCTATTTTTTAATCTTTATTTTCTGCCCCGATCTATATTCAGGGCGCCGCCATCTTTGTGTGGGTAGATGAAGTCCCTGTGGGACACGTCATCAGCCCTCACTAGATAGACTGTGATATTCCCGCACATGCCCAGTGAAACACCTGGACATGCGAACGGGAATTTCATCCATTCATTCATCAGACAGACGAATGAGTGAATAGAAAGATCAGCCGATCAAACAAACACTATGTATCAGTGTATCTGTGTATCAGTGTATGTTTGTTCGTGCAGGTTATTACAAGGAGTGAGCTACCGGCACGCAGCTCCCTCCTTGTAATATGTAAAGATAGAAGCGGCAGGGAGCAGTGCTCCCCACCACTTCATAAGCCCCCCCATATCCCCCCTCACTCTATGGGGGTCAATATGACCCCCATAATAGCATAAGGGAGATTAAAATCTCCCCAATGCCCCTACTCGCTATACCGTGAGTAGGGGCATGTCCACTAAACAGTGAGCAGCCTGTGTAACAGTGAGCAGCCACAGTAATCTTTACTTAGTATTAGTAAATGTGGCTGAAAGACAAATTTAGGTCTTTCAGCCTTTTAGTAGATAACTCCCTAATACCGTGGGAATTAGGGAGTTATCTACTAAGCGGCTGCAAGATGCAGCCACAGCAATCAATAGGATCGGAGTTTCATTCATTCGAATGAAATTCCGATCCGAATAAAGTGCCGAATTGCGTTCTAAAACAAACGAACATACTGTTCTCATTCAGTTAGAACGCAATTCGGCTGTTTTGTGTAAAGTGACAGGAAGCATCGCGGGAACACAGAGGAAAGGTAAGGATCATGGGAAAACTGCTCTGACCAGCGGAACTGAAGCACACTTTGCTCCTCCGCTGGTCAGAGCTGGTCAAGCGGAGGAATCCTCCATAAGGCAAAGAGTCCCTACTTTGTCTTATGATTTTAAAGAAAACTAAAGAAGATAGGAAGAAAAGAAGAACAGATCCTGAGAGAGGGGGAGAAGAGGAAGAGATTGAGGAAAGGTAAGTTCGGCATGACAGTGCCGCTTTAAGAGGTGTCAGCATGTATTTATTGTACATCTGTCACAAACTCTGGAACCAGACACGCTGACCGAACACAGACACAGGAAGTGCTGTACCGGTCTTTAGAGTGGCCGGGCTGTGCACACAGATAGAAGTCAGAATACAAGCCAAAGTTAGAGGGAACCAGAAAGATAGAATAATTGACAAACTGAGGTCAGAGAAAGCAGGATAAACGGTGAGACAAGACAAAAATGTAGTAATCAGGCAAACGGACAGAGTATATGCGCTATTGGGCTATCAAAAGGGCAACAAGACATGGAAGAGGTAGGTTTAAATATGCTTAGGAGGCTTCTGATTGGTTAACTCACTATTGGAATTATGACACGTGGAAGGTATTTGGGCCTTCCACTTTGACCTATGACATCATATTTGCGACTCGGGCGCCTATCTAAGCACACTGCACGTTGCCGGAGGATCTGGGAACAGTCGCAAGTGGTGGGTAAGTATCAGAAACCAATGCTCGTGGTGGATGGCAAAGTAAAGTTGCCGCGTGCGGTTACCAACAGCCGCCGCTCACGGAGAGGTGTCAGATGAAACCCCCCGAATGGCCAGAAGAAGCCACCGCTTGGGAGGAGGCGGCAGGTGCGTGAGGAGGGAGCCTGACAACATGATTCTGAAGATATGTTCGTTTAAGAGTTACCGTCTTGCATGTTAAAATATCAGAACACACAATACTCTAGTTTAATCAAAACCAGATATATATAAACATTTTCTTTAACAGACACTTTTCTAAAATTGCAGTATCTCTGGTAATGTACAATTACAATCCAGCAGCAATAATTGATAATTAACACTTTCCGATGTTCCAAATTTATCGCTTGATAGTTATCGAAGCAATCACAATCCAAATTTTACATTTTCAACACTTTTATCGGACAGTATTGCTGAGTAAAGGGCTCCTTGCAACCCATGTATTGTCATCTGTTGCAAGAGAGAGCTCAAGTCAGAACCCCAGTCACTAAAAGGGGTACATCCAACAAGTCCCTTAACTTTTAACGGGTCTGCGTGTACTGGGTCTCCAGGAAGAGAAAGGCTGAACTCTCCTGGATGGTCCTTTTCAAAAAGTATCCTGGTGAGGATTGAATAAAGCAGTAAACCTTGAGAAAGGAGAATCTGTCCACAACCAGTCAGACTGGAAAAAGACTGGGAAATTGGTAGGTGGAATATTTATAGCTTTAATTTCCCAACCTAAACAGCCAAGTGGGTGGAGCTAATCCTATAGTGATGCAGCCAATGATTGTCCAGTAAATATACATTTTGTCAGAGTAACCCTTCTTATACTGCCGTCCCCAACCAAACAAAAGGAAACTAAAACGCACATCCATTCCAACGCCAACGCCAAGTTCTTACTGCTGTCCAATCCTCCTCCTCTGATGTCACTCCTACTCACTTAAGTGGGAGGGATGTCAAAAAGGCTGATGAAAGGACATGGCCGGAACAGAGGGGGTGCCATGTTGTTATAGGCTGTCTGGCATCACCATGCTGCGTGTGCTGGCATCAAATGCCAAATAATAACATAAGTTATTAAATAAGTAATTCATTGGAACAGACTTAGCAGAAACCCTAAAAACAGTCCCAGACCATTATCCCTCTTCCACCAAACTTTACAATATGCATTCCATGTAGGTAGCATTCTACTGGCATCTTCAACATCCAGATATTTCCATTCAACAACCAGATATTTCCATCAAAAGACAGTTGATGAAAAATGCCAGAAAGTGGAGCATTTTTCATCAATCCAAAGAATAGGTTTCCAATGTGCCACACTCCAGTGGCACAAGCTTTATAGAACTTCGGAGTGGTGCAGTATAGAATGTCAAATTCAAGATGAAGGATGAATCAAAAGGGAAGAGGTGATGGGGAACATGTCTTTCACTGGTATGAATAATTCTTACAAAGAACTGCAATATATTTAGTATTTGTGTTACCACTTGGGTTCTGCAGTGTTACTAATTTCAGTCTTGGAACTGGTTTTGAATATTGAAAATAGTTTGACATTACAACAACAAAAGATGAAAGGATCAGTACTTTAAAAGGTACCAGAACAATTTTTTTTTGTGTGGTTTGCAGTGGTTATAGCCAAGATTCTGACATTTTCATTCTATAGTTATCAATGTCACACAATATTTTAGTTATAAAGGAAACAACATGGCTCTCTATTGCACTCATCCTTATCTTTCAGTAAATCAGGGATAGCCACACACTTGCCAACAGTCTTTCATTTTGGTGCATTCTGGAACAGGCTGAATTTATAATGGCTATGCGTTTAGACAAATGAAGCCAGGATAAATATATCTGGACACTGTCTCCAGACACTTCTTAGATCAGGAAAATTATTTTTAATAGTTTTATCTAAATAAAAGATAAAATGCTGATATACCTCTTCCAAAGATACATACTAAAAAGCGCAGAATGCTAATGGAAAGCATGTATGTTATATATAAAGTGATCAATATTTAAAGGGACAGCTTAATGTAGTGGTTCTGGTGTCTATAGCATGTCCCTGCAGCCTTAGCACTGTAGACATGTGTTAAAGTTATATACAAGGGTTTTAACCTATATATTCATTATACTCTAATGTGGGAAATTTGACATGAGCCAAACACGATTTTTAAGTGGTTCAAGAAATTCATTTTTGCATTAACACCAAGAACATTACTCACTCATCTATAAAGAAACGCTGGATTTGACTGCCTTATAGAATAATGTAAAGAATACCAGATTTATTTATGTATAAATTCCTTTGATTTTAAATCAGTTGTCTAGTGACGTCAAATTAAAGTTTCATTAGGTGAGATGAGTAATTGTAAACTTTGGGAAAAATCACAGATTGGGGAATATTAATTCTGAGATGCATTGACTCAATGGGGAAAGTTAAGCACCTCCCTGCAGAGCGTGGAGACACTGAACGTCAGTACTGCACCCAGGAAACACCTGTAGTGGCCATCTTAATGACTACCACTGGAGGTGTCCCTAGGGAGCAATGTAAACACTGTCTTTTCTCGGAAAAGGCAGTGTTTACATGAAAATAGGTAGTAAGTGGGAGATGGAATGTATCAGTGCTTGTAATATGGATGCTAGAACTTCCCTAGAACCAGAGTCTCTTCTTTTCTGGCAGAATGGTAGGTATAGAAGGTAGTGTCAGGAAGCAGTGCCTATAGTAGTCTTCTCAGGCTCGGTGAAATATAGGGGAGAGAAGAGAAGACACGGAAATAGTGTAGTATGTTGAATTGCTTGATAGTAATAAATAAAGACAAATATTGCACTTACAATCTTCTGGAGCTTATATTCAGCTCCAGATATATGCGCCTGGATGGTACAATCCCCGTCTAAGGATATGATGATGGTCCTGGTGTACTCTCAGTGGCATCTTTGGGGTCAGGGTGTTTTGGTGTCAGTGCCACAAACCAGTATCCTCAGTGTATAGGATGATAAATAAAAACACAATATAGTGCTCTCTGTATAGTTTGGAATAAAACTAGGATAAAAAGTGGAGGAATACTCACAAGCGGGGAGCAAAGGGAATATTGCTCAGTATAGGAAGCGTAGGTATAATAATCCCCACCAAGGATATCACTTATGAGTCCTCAGGTTCTTAAAGGACCACTATAGTGCCAGGAAAACATACTCGTTTTCCTGGCACTATAGTGCCCTGAGCATGCCCCCACCCTCAGGGTCCCCCTCCCGCCGGGCTCTGGGGGGAGAAAGGGGTTAAACTTACCTCTTTCTCCAGCGCCGGGCGGGGAACTCTCCTCCTCTTCGGCTGAATGCGCATGCGCGGCAGGAGCCGGGCGCGCATTCAGCCAGTCCATAGGAAAGCATTCACAATGCTTTCCTATGGACGCTGGCGTCTTCTCACTGTGATTTTCAATGAGACAGCCACTAGAGGCTGGATTAACCCTAATATAAACATAGCAGTTTCTCTGGCTATGACACGTAGATAGGTGGTCAGGCTTTATTATGGCCTTCAAAACACCTACTTACTGATCTCTGTTGTTACTTTCAACTTCGATGTCCCAATATCTCCTCGTATTATTTCTCACTCCGACTGAGTTACCCGCTTTAACCGGATCTTGCAAGGATTTTCAGGATCTGGAATAGCTTGCCAAGAATCTGCCACTGGTTTAACCTTAGAATGATGAATCCATGGAGTCACTTCTGCCACCTTTACAGCTGTTGGAGTAGATAAAAGAACAACATAAGGACCCATCCACTTTGGACCTAATGGAACAATATACCATTCTTTTATCCACACTTGATCGCCCGGATGATAGGAATGAACAGGTGGATATATGTTCACAATTAACCTATCTTGGACCCATTTCTGTACTTCCTCCATAGTTTTACCCAACTCTACAACCTGCTGCCGAGTAATTCCTTCACCCAACTGATTCAAGTCCCCCCTTAGATTACTGAGTATGGGAGGTGGACGCCCATACATGATTTCAAAGGGAGACAGACCCATTCTTCTGGTAGGAGTACTACGTATCCGCAGCAGAGCTATTGGCAAAAGGACATTCCACTTGAGCTGAGTTTCCTGACACATTTTTGCCAATTGGGTTTTTATTGTTCTGTTCATCCTTTCCACCTTTCCAGAACTCTGAGGTCTATATGCTGTATGAAGTTTCCACTTAATACCAAGAACATGAGTCAATTGTTGTAAACACTGATGGATAAAGGTGTGATCTGGTAGACATAGGGCTGGGGCACTCATAAGTGCTTTCTTAACATCCTCAAATGCCTTCTGTTGTTCAGAGGTCCACAAAAAGGGGTCATATTCTGTGCCTTTCACAGCTTCATATAGAAGTTTCGCCAGTATCGCATAATTAGGAATTCATATCCTACAGAAACCTGCTACTCCTAAGAATTCTCGCACTTGTCTTCTATTCTTAGGTATAGATATCCGACACACTGCTTCTTTTCTTTCAGGTCCCATTATTCTTTGACCTTCGGAAATATGGAATCCTAAATATTTGACAGTTGATTGGCACAATTGAGCTTTCTTCTTTGATACCTTGTATCCTGCTCTCCAGAGAATGTGAAGCAAATCATGAGTTGCTTGTTGGCATATCTCTTTGGTAACAGCCGCTATCAAAAGATCATCCACGTATTGAAGCAATACACATTCTCCTGGGATGGACTTGAAATCCTGCAAATCCTGGCTTAATGCAGATCCAAATAGGGTAGGTGAATTCTTGAACCCTTGAGGTAGTCTGGTCCAAGTCATCTGACGCTTTGAACCTGTAACAGCATCTTCCCATTGGAAAGCAAAGATACACTGACTCTCAGCAGCAAAACGAAGGCAAAAGAAAGCATCCCTAAGGTCTAGAACTGTGAAGTAGGTTGCCCCACCTGGTATCAAGGCAAGAAGATTATAGGGGTTGGGTACAACTGGGTGTATATTAACTACTGCATCATTAACTGCTCTCAAATCTTGTACAGGACGATACTCATCTGATTCTGGTTTCTGAACAGGTAATAATGGAGTGTTCCAGGGGGAAGTACAGAATTTTAGGATGCCATACCTTACGAACGTATCCAAGTAGGTCTGTATGTTTTTCTTAGCCTTTTGAGGTATATGATACTGACGTAGGCTCAAGTAGCTTTTGTTCCATATGTATAGGTGGAATATTACAAGCAAGCCCTGGTGGATTATTCTCTGCCCTTACTCCTGGAATGTCAAATAAAGATTCAACACTCTTAGGGTTTACACTTGTCATTATGGAGTAAAAGCGCCATTCTTCTTCCCTTGGCACCGATACCACCATTATACCTGGTAATCCATTAAACCTCAGAGACGTTGATCCATTGGGTAGAAAAATTATCTGGGCTTGAAGCTTCTATAATAGATCTCGTCCTAGAAGTTGAATCAGACACTCTGGCATATATAGGAACTGGTGCTTCACCAAATGGCCTCCCAGAATGCAAGTGCGACTCTTAAGAACCGGTCTAGCTGCGCTTCTCCCAGTAGCTCCTATCACAGTTATAGTTTTTCCTGAAGGCGGAGCTACCAGTTTAGTCACCACGTAATATGCAGCACCAGTGTCAATCATGAAAGAAATTCTCTTTCCCATTATTGCTACATCGACCATAGGCTCCGCTCGGGCAAGGGGGATGGAGCCCGGTCGGTATCAATAGTCTTCCATGATAGTGTCAGCCAGACCCACAAAATCTCTATCCTCTCTATTCTAGGTCTCTGAGTAGGTGGATAATATCTATCTCCTTGAACACTCCCTCTACTATTTCCACCGTTCCCTCCAAAACTTCCTCTTCCTCTATAACTACCACTATAACCTCCCCACACTCTTCTCTTTCCTTGTCTATTATTTTCATAATGCTCTCTCTGTTGACACTCATTCTTCCAATGTCCCTCCTCTCTACAATACGCACATAGATTCCTACTTAAAGGTCCCTTACTCAGCCTATTCTATTAGTGATGTCCCGAACGGTTCGCCACGGACTCATCATTGAGTAAACTTTGACCCTGTACCTCACAGTCAGCAGACACATTCCAGCCAATCAGCAGCAGACCCTCCCTCCCAGACCCTCCCACCTCCTGGACAGCTCACTAAGAATGCAGCTTCAAAATAGATGCTGTCTAGGAGGTGGGAGGGTCTGGGAGGGAGGGTCTGCTGCTGATTGGCTGGAATGTGTCTGCTGAATGTGAGGTACTGGGTCAAAGTTTACTCAATGATGAGTCCGTGGCGAACCGTTAGTGGCGAACCGTTCGGCGAACCGTTCGGGACATCACTACTTGTGACTGCTACCGCTAGCATATCTGCCTTCTTCCTCATTTTACGTTCTTCCTCCCGCTTTATCTCAGTTTCCCTATTCATATATACTTTATTTGTGATCTCCATTAGCTGTTTTATGGATATCCCTACAAATCCCTCTAACTTTTGCAATTTTCTTTTAACATCACCTTGGGCCTGGCTGACAAATGCTGAGTTGATCATTCGAGAATTCTCAGGGGCCTCTGGATTAAGAGGAGTATACAATCTATATGACTCCAATAATCTTTCATAAAAGGCACTAGGTGACTCATCAACCTTTTGCAACACCTCAGCCGTCTTTGACATATTGATTGCCTTCTTCCCTCCGGCCTTCAAGCCAGCAATAATGGCTTCCCGATAAGCCCTTAATTGGGGCATGTCAGCACCATTCACATTCCAATTTGGGTAAACATTTGGATAATGGGCTGCAGCCCATGCAGCTGGATTGGCCTGATTTTGATTACAGGCCGTTTCCTCAAGCGCTTTAATAGCCGCTTGATTAATCCGGGTCCTTTCCTCACAATTAAATAAAGTTAATAATAATTGCTGGCAATCGGCCCAGGTGGGATTGTGTGTTTGTATAATTGAGGTAACCAAATCTGTCATTGTACCGATAAGCCCTTAATTGGGGCATGTCAGCACCATTCACATTCCAATTTGGGTAAACATTTGGATAATGGGCTGCAGCCCATGCAGCTGGATTGGCCTGATTTTGATTACAGGCCGTTTCCTCAAGCGCTTTAATAGCCGCTTGATTAATCCGGGTCCTTTCCTCACAATTAAATAAAGTTAATAATAATTGCTGGCAATCGGCCCAGGTGGGATTGTGTGTTTGTATAATTGAGGTAACCAAATCTGTCATTGTACCGGTCCTTATCCGGGGGCCGGCCGAGGTCCTCTATTCCCGCCGTGGATGGTCCTACATGAGCCGCACGCGGCTTGTTCACAGTTCAGATGAAGGCGGGCACTGACCGCGAGATGCGGTCACGTGTCCCGCCTAGCTCTAAGAGCGCGCCGCACATCTCGGGCACGTTCTTAAAGGGACAGGGGTAGCTGAAATGTAAAAAGGTCTCCCATTGGCCCCTGTCATCCCACATTCCTCATACACTCACATTTTGGGGGCGTGGATATGACAGGTGCCAATCAAATTAAATACTAGGGTATTTATACTTACCTCTCCCTTAACTCCCTGCCCTATCGTGGTTTCTGTTTCAGTTCCCTTTAACACTTGTTGTGTTCAGTTGTGATTTTTCGTGCTTGACCTTGGCTTTGTATTTGACTCTGTTTTTCTCTTTATCCCTGTTTTGTCTTGTTTGCCGGCTTACTGATTCCTGTGTACCAGACCTTGGCTAGTTCTTGTTTTCGCTGTCTCTTTGTCCCCTTGACCTCGGCTCGTTCCTGACTCTGTCTATTCTCTGTTCTATGTCAAGACGGCCATTCTAAGGTCCAGTAAGACGTATCTGCTTTATATTGTAAATTGTTGGACTAAATCTTGCGTGTTGGGGTAAACTACCATGACAGTTGTAACTTGAGGTTTGTCAGTATACGAGGAGTTATGAGTCTTCCAATTGAAAAGATCAGTTGTAGTGAAGGGGACATAGACAAACACAGGATCTGCCCGTTGTATTTAGCCATTTTCGTCAACGTGTGTTGGGCCCGGTGTAAGTCGGAGGGGCATTTGGTAATCTCAGGGTTGAAGGGTACCAGTCATCTGTCGGGTTAATATAGGACTTCGGCAAGGCTGTTTAATATTAAGTTCTGGTCTAGGGGTAGTAAGGTAAGGAGAACGAGGCGGGTTCATTTTACTGGGTGGACGTTCAGTCAACAGGATGTTGCGGGCCGGGCTGGAAGGAGCCTGACCAGGAACCAGAAGTGACGTTAATTCCAGATATATATAACTAGTGGAGGTAGGTACCGGAAGGGGAGGAATTAGGGCAAGTGGGCTGGGCTCTAAACTAGATGAATAATGGGGCAGGGGGAGTGGCAACACCAACAGCACCTCCTCTAACCTTGGAGGAGGAGTAAGGGGGTGGGGAGGGAAGTTCAAACTCAGAGGGAGAGTCTAAAATTGGTGGAGTTGCAGCCCCGATGGACAGGCGAGTCCTGGCCACCATGAGGCGACATTGCTCCTCGTGGCATACCTTAATCCATTTAGGCAATTCTTCCACAATCTGTTTCCAACAATCAATATACGGAAACTGATCATAGAATTCAGGCCTACTAGATACAGCCGCCTGCTCATGTTGTAATAGAGTTAGATCAAGACTACCACGTGGAGGCCATGCAGTCACCAAGATAGGCCACTCTCTACTACATAATGTAGTCAAACGCTTTGGGGATAATTTCACCCCAAAATCACAAACTTTATATCCCTTTGCAAAGTTGTTCAACATACACGACAAGGGATCAACAATCTTTGAGTCAGACGCACCCATACTGGCAACGGAGCGTCTAATACAAAGAAACACAATACCCCAAACACACTTCCAACGATCACACTTGTTTCCCTGGCAACAGCACCACGTGGCACAGTTGCTAGGCCAAACACACACACGGAAACACGCAGAGAATTCTCGTACATACAGTGATATCACGACGTCTCACTCACAAAGATTTACCAAACACTAGATACTTATCTCTGTAACTATAAATCAAACCCTACAATTATCCACACTATAAATCAACTTTTAACTAACCGACTATATCACATTCTAGTAACATCATCTTTATAATCAGTGGTTATGTTACGGTTAGCAAGTGGTTATGGTACAGTTTTAAAGTCTCAAATGAGTTAGTAAAAGTTATGGTGTTACACATATAACATTAGACAACAGTTTTTAGTAATTTTACACAACTTCAGTAGTTATAGTACATGTTAATGGTTATAATACCGTGCGCTATTATACAGTATAAACACAATTTACACTCCCACTAGACGGCAGAGCTCAAGCTTTCTAGCAGGACATACAATTCACCAATTCACCAACTACCGTATATTTAACAACATTTACAATAATCTCAACTATTCTAATTGGCCACCACCTTGAGAACTATCGAACTATTTACACCATGATTCGGTTAGTCTACGCTGCCCAAGCACCATATATAGCGAATTTACAACAGTACCCATTTAGTCTATCTACTCTATCAATAGTCTAGTGGCTGAATTTACAACAGAGCACACTTAGCCAAAATAGGTTGAGAGCTAGCAGACAGAATGTACACCAGAATCTGCTTAGTCTCGCTGGCCTCCCCGACCTAGTGACCGGAATTTACACCTAGACACGCTAGTCAAGACAGGACACCGGTGTCCGGCATGAACTATTTACACCAAGATTCAGCCTGACCCAAACCACCTATATTAGACGGGCTGACTACAGAGCGTCTAATTTCCAGATAATTGTTGCACCTTCGCTTCTTCCCACTAGTGGAAGGGGGCTGTCCAATAACCGGTTCCAGATATAAAACCCCTTGTGGGCCTACCCCTCTAACGGTATCAGTCTTAACTCTTCTTTCCTGAACCTGGGCTCACACTCATCAACGGGGCACCCCGGTACTTACTACGTAAAGGCCGATGATCTCCTGGGCGAAGCAGCCCAGTGGCGCCGAGATGAAGGGATGTCCACGCAGAAGCTCAGGGGTGCTGCCGTAGAGAACGTTGGTAAAAGTCTCAAATCTCTGCGCCAGCTTCCGTGCGATGAGGTTCCTGGACTTAATGCACCAAAGATGTAACCGAGTAGACTTGCAGAAGCCAGACACAGAGAGATGGATGCAGGTCTTCAGGAAGTAAAAGCTCTTTATTAACATACCGATCGGGTCTCAGATGAACTAATGTTCCAAAACAGGTCTGAGGGCCGAACACATGGAGTACATACTTTTTATAGAACTATAACTCCTCCCATTAATAGCTCCACCTGCAACATACCCTTAACCAATCGGTGGACAGGATCTGGATTTCCTTATATGGGCAGACCACATGGCTCATCCGAAACAAAGGAGAAAGGAATGTGATTTCAGTTCCTGCATTCCTGAACATGCTCAGTACATTGATGACAGTATCTTAGCTACGTGTAACTAACTAACTGATACAACATACACGTGTACTTACATATGCCACGTGGAAATCTCGGCCTACTAAATTTACATTTCACCGAAATTCCATCACAACACCAGAACACCCTGGCCCCAAAGAAGCCACTGAGAGTACATCAGGACCATCATTATATCCTTAGACGGGGATTTTACATGAAAATGCCTATAGGGGCTGACCATACTTCCCAGAACAACTACATTAAGTCAGGGCATGGCAGATCCCAGGTGCCAGGACAAAAATCCTAATCGCCATAGCGCCTGGGATTTGTCTAGTCCTTTCAGCCCCCCAGGTGGCCGGCTGCCTGTGAGTGGAGGCTGGGGCGGTCAAACAGCTGACAGAGCGAATGCAGGTGGCCTCCTTGCTCATGGAGAGCATGGCCGAACAGGCTGCCAGCTCAAGGACGGCTGTGTCATTTCCCTTCTCTGCTCACTTGTGTGCCCTCCAGTGATGCCAAAAGCCAGAATATGACATCATTCCAGCCTGGCATCGCTAAACAGAGCTCTAGGGAGTAGAGCAGGGAGATGACAGCAGCCCCACTGGCCCGCAGGGAAAGAATACACTTCAGCTCTCCCAAAGGTAGGGAGGCTGGGTGGTCACATTAAAATAAAAATTGAGTGTGTGAGAAAATGTGTGTGATTGTTGCAGTATCAGTGTGCATGTGTCTGCCAGTGTGTTTGTTTGTCTGTCAGTGAGTGTGTGTGTCAAATCAGTGTGTCTGCCAGTATGTTTGTGTGTCTGTCAGTAAGTGTGTATGTCAAATAAGTGTGTCTGTCAGTGTGTGTGTGTACCAGTGAGTGTGTGTCTGTCAGTGAGTATGTCTGTTCAGGTGAAGGGCCCCCTTCCAATCACATGGTAAAGGTGTTTTTACTCACCTATTTCCCCCACGCCATGCCGGTCTTGCTGCAGCTGGCCCGACCGCCATGGAGGTGGGACCAGCGGCAGCAAGACAGGCACGGCGTGGGGGGAATTGGAAAGTATTGGGAGGCAATTGCGCATATGTGACAAAACACCACATTGCGCCAATCAGCATCTCCTCACAGAGATCCATTGAATCTATAGGGACCGCTCAGCGCCTCCATGATCAAAATAGCGTTTTTGAAAAAATTCTCCAGCTCAATTATAGTCACAGCTTGGCTGTATTAGCCTTAAAGAAACAATACGGGCACCATAGCAACTTAATAAAAAAAACAAGTTGTTATGGTGACAGTAGGTCCCTGCCACCTGTTTACCTTTAGAGGTTAAAACGTTCACAAACAGTTTAACCCAAAAGACTCCTCTCCAACGCCGGATCACTTTGCCCCTCCAACACCAGCTTGATAACGAAAACTTAGGGCTTCTGCGAGCAGGGGCTCTTCTAATTTGCCATTTTCAGCAAGGCAGTGGCTCACCATTCATAAAGCTGGTTTGAGAAACGTACATATTTGTCTCAAGCCGATATTATGAATGGGCAGCCACTAATGTGAGAGTGTAAACTCATCGCATTAAGTTAAAGGACCACTATAGGCACCCAGACCACTTCAGCTTAATGAACTGGTCTGGGTGCCTGGTCCAGCTAGGGTTAACCCTTTTTTTTTATAAACATAGACGTTTCAGAGAAACTGCTATGTTTATAAATAGGTTAATCCAGCCTCTAAAGCCTCTAGTGGCTGTCTCATTGACAGCCGCTAGAGGTGTTTGCGTGCTTCTCACTGTGAAAATCACAGTGAGAAGACGCAAGCGTCCATAGGAAAGCATTATGAATGCTTTCCTATGAGACTGGCTGAATGCGCGGGCAGCTCCTGCCGCGCATGCCCATTCAGCTGAAGAGGAGAGCTCCCCGCCCAGCGCTGGAGAAAGAGGTAAGTTTAACCCCTTCCTCTCCCCAGAGCATGTTTTCCTGGCCCTATAGTGGTCCTTTAATCAGCTGCCTAGAAAGGGGACAGTCCGCCCAAATTTCTGGAAGGTCAGCCTGGTGTGAATATAAGCCAGGCTGCCTGCCGACCAAGCCAGACTGCTCACTAGTGCCCTGAGTGCAGCGTGTGTTATGCTGAGCTCTCGCTACACTTTTTGGAAGCAGTTCCCTGATGTCCGTCTCTATGGAACCAAGTCAGGCCAGGACAAGAAAACCGGGACGGTCCTGCCAAAACCGGGCTTGTCAGTCCTGATTTTTGGTCCTGTCCGACCTTAGTTCCCTGGTGTCCCAATAAAATCCTACAGGGAGCAGCCCTGCCCTCATTGGGCCAGCATGCATGATTGACAGCCTGGGGCATTCACAGGACACCAGGAAACTAAATCAGCATAGGAACCATTAGATCAGCCTTGTCCCTGGGAGGCCTAATCTCAGAGAGATGAGGGGGTTATCATGCTTAGAGGGGCTCTTTAAATCCTGCTCTCCTAACATGATGAGTGTTGCTCTGTTTTAATAACCAGTGCTAAAAAGTAGTGATTAAAGTAATAATGATAAGGTTACATGCTTAAGGAGACTAAGCCATTGATCTGATGGATAATATTTAAAACGATGCGCCTACTACTATTATCACGGACATAACGGGCGTTTGCCCAAAACAAATATGTCCGCAACGTTCTCTGTGTGGGAGGGGCTCCGCGCACGTTCCCGCTTCGTAAACTTCCGGTTGGGGGATGCCTCCTACCCGGAAGTGAAAGTCAAGCGATGGGTGACGGACAGCTCAGCGCTAACAGTGACTTCCTGTGTGACAGTGTGAACCTGCCGCACTGAAACACCCTCCTCCAGATGTGCACTTAGTTCCTCCGTCTCGGCAGCCGTGCTCCCCGCTCACTCCTCAGCCTCCTGCCTGTCAGCTAGTACCGGTGCCGGACTCCAGTTCCTTCCAGTGGGTGCCTGTCCGTCCTCACCATGAACACGGCTCTGTCTCGGGCTAATTCCCTGTTTGCCTTCTCCCTGAGTGTGATGGCCGCCCTCACTTTCGGCTGTTTCATCACCACCGCCTTCAAAGATCGTGTGGTGCCAGTCAATATCCATGTGTCCAGGGTCATGCTGTGAGTGCCCTCTCTGTGTATTCTCTGCATTCCATAGCATGGTGTGCATGCAGCTCCATTCATCTGATCATCACCTGGACTGCATTGCAGGCAGCAGCTTCACTGTGTGTTTTGTATGGCTGGCTGAGCATCATGGGGAATGGCGCTGACAACAGCTGGAGCTCCAACCATTTAGCTGTCACTCACACCTGGTTGGCTATGCACCAGGGGAAATGTAGTCCACAGCTGCTGGTGTACCAAGAGCTCAGCAGTCATTCTCATTGAAGAGTTCTGTGTGTGTAGAGCATATTGTTTTATTATTATTATTTTATTATTTATATAGCGTCAGCAAAATTTCGTAGCGCCGTACAGTGGGTTTTATAATTTGGTTTGGGTATTTATCAAGCCAGGCATTTTGGAGAATTGACCAGGGAATTGCTAAATTTTTAGGCTAAGAAATAAACAAAGTGGGCAATAAAATCTCTCAACTAATCTTCCATCTTGGCTATTTTAGCCTAATATTTGAAATTCTCTACTTAGTGGTTAACCAATCCTCATCTGTACTGCCAAATAGTCATAAATTATAGTCTTGTAGTTCCAAAATTGGGCTTTCGGAGTTTGGTCGATCATTTTTTGAAAGTGTAAAATGGATTTGGTTACGTAGCTGGAGCATCATACAACTTATTTTATTTTTATAACATTTACGTTACTGAATTAATTTGTTTGTGAGAATGCTGCAGTTTTGTCAGTTAAATTATAGAGCTAATGTTTGCAAATCATGTCTTAAATTATCTTAATACTTAGTTGAGTAAATCAATAACACCAATAATTCCCAAACCCACTAGAGCCTGAACTCTTATTCTCCAGCCTATTATGCCTGTATATCCACGATAATAGTCTTTCTCTGTTTGTGGTTATTGTGCATTTATTACTTTGTTATTTTGCTTGCAAGTCTTTTCCTGGTATCTGCTATCTCTGTAGTATTACATCAATTGTATTAAAGAAACACACTACGGCCCATATTCGAAAAATATATAAATCGGTGTTTAGTAGCTACACCACCAATTAATACATGCATGTATTCAATGATGGTATATCTTAAAACCGTTTGCAAAAGCTGCAGCTCTTACAAGCTCTCCCCTTTTTCTCTGGAATAGACTTTCAGTTAGAAGCCTTTGAATGGCTCCACCTGTGCAGGGGCATATCCCCATATCACCCCCCTAAATCTAGAAATAATTTATGAACTGTCATTATTATGGGATACTCCTCACCCATAAAGCACTTCAGTAAGCTGAAGTACTTTATGGGTGTAGAGTGGTCCTTTTTGGCACTCTGCACCAAGTTCCCCAGTTTTTTCCCCATATTTTTAAACTTGCAATAAAAGGATTAAAACTTTCCTGGAATTCAGCATCAAGCTAAGCCCTCCACAATGGCGACCACATGCCATGTTGATAGTCAGATCAAATGCTTTTAATAGAGGAGTGTTGTTGGATCACTAAACGATACAATGCACATGCCACATGTTCATGAACGGCGAGATTAGCGGTGTATAGCTCATCTTACCAGTCACTGAATAGGGAACAGAGGGAGAGCCCTACAGAGGGTGGTGGGCAATGAGCTGGCTGGAGGGAGATAACGTCTGCTGAGACGTTTTCACACAGAATTAATAGTAGACTAAGTGTAATTACACCCCTGCACAAAATGACAGATATCTCAGTATAGGCAGCATTTCAAGTTGAAACGCTGCATATACACATTACTACTACTACGACTACTTCGAAAAGTAGAAGTGGTCATGGTGATTGTAGTAATCCTTTAAAATGTTAGATTTGAGAAAAAAAAATTAATAAACTCAAAACGTAGCCACATACGTGCACTTGTTTCCTCTGAGGTTTCACAACCTGCATACATACTTGAATATTCTCATAAGTCATATGCCATAATTTGTAGACTACTTTACATAGTAATTTTGTGAGCATATCTATCTTTATTAACTTATAGAAATAATGGTGGAGTAAAGTGTGAACTGTCTAATCGTAAGTCAAGCAGGGTTATTCACTTAAGTTAAAATTGTCTGGAGTTTCAAATTTAAGGCCAAAATAGACATAGTGGAAAAAAACTTAGTCAGCTGTTCTTCCAGTTTTTGCTACTGTAGCCTTAAAACCCTGTAGGTTTTTATTTTCATGCTCTGTAAGCAATGATGTCTTTTATTTGAATCAGGATATACAAATGTAAATTTGTTTTCTAGGGGCTTTAAATATTTCCCTGACCAATTAATTATAAGCGAGACAAAATCCTACGCTTGCATCACTTACAGCTATTGATTTTAGAACTCAAGGTCCCGTGTTTGCCAAACCCATTGTGTAATACTACCATCTGTCTCCAACCACATATGAACAGTATTTTATTGTAAGCTGCTGCCATTTGTTGATTCTGAATAACATTAAGAAGATAACAATTAACCCCTTAATGGCAGAGCCAATTTTACAAGTTGGAAACCAAAACAAAACCTGGAATAAGAGTTGTAAGTCTGTTCAACCATGGTTTACCTCTTTTTAATATAAAGTGTACCACACAATCCTATCATTTTGTTCAGGACAAATAAGGCTTTAATTTCACATTAAAGGGTCACCAGAACAACTACAGCTTATTGTATTTGTTCTGGTGAGTAGAATCATTCCATTCAGGGTTTTTGCAGTAAACACTTAATTTTCAGAGAAAATTCAGTGCTTACATTACAGCCTAGGGATAACTCCACGTGCCACTCCTCAGATGGCTACCAGAGGTGCTTCCTTGGGAAGTGCCGCACAGTGTGTCCTCCCTCTGCATGGAGACACTGAACTCTCCTCATAGAGATGCATTGATTCAACACATCTATATGAGGAGATGCTGATTAGCCAGGGCTGTGTTTGACCTGTGCTGGCTCTGCTCCTGATCTGCCTTCTTGACCATCTCAGCCAATCCTATGGGATATTGGCTCAAAACAACACTTCTGATGATGTCAGCCAAGAAGACAGACCGGGGGCAGGATTTATAGGGTGAGGTATGTTTTTGCCTCTCTCATTTGTCTTCTCTGATAAATGTGCTCTCTAATTTGTTAAAGAGCTTACACAAATGTTACATATTGAATTGCGGTAACATTGAATAAAACTGTCTTTCAGAGAAAATGTTGAAGATTTCACTGGTCCAAGAGAAAGGAGCGATCTTGGTTTCATCACTTTTGATTTAAATGCTGATATCCTTTTTCAATAATTGTTGTTGTGCACAGTGTTTTTAATCTATGCTTATATAGTATTTAGGCCAACACGAGATATTCTCCAGGCACTCAGTGTTCAAGCCGCAGGCAGTTTTAATAGAACAAAAAAGAACAGCAACGTTTCGACCTGTTATGAGGTCTTTTTTGTTCTATTAAAACTGCCTGCGGCTTGAACACTTTGAGTGCCTGGAGAATATCTTGTGTTGGCTTATCATTGTGGGATTGCTGGTCATGCTCCGGAGGGTGGCTGCTATCATTTTTTCTGTATAGTATTTAAATGTTGGCAAACCTAATCCTACTGATAACACACCCTTGAGGAAATCTCAAGGTTACACTTTATTTAATGTTCCTAATGCCTTGGTGCCAAAACGACTGGTGTGTGTGTATGTGTGTATGTGTGTATGTGTATATGTGTGTGTGTGTGTGTGTGTGTGTGTGTATATATATATATATATATATATATATATATATATATATATATATATATATATATATATATATATATATATAATATAATATAATATAATATAATATATATATATATATATATTATATAATATATATATATATATTTTACATGTAATGCATTTAACTTTAGTATGTGTATTATATATACATATCTTAAAAATTTTAGTTCTATTTATCATCAAGTGTGTGTACGTATTTTATGCTAAAAATAAATGGAAGAAAATATTTCTAGTCATTCTATTTTAAATTCACATATACTGTAGATGTTGAGGATTTGCTTCTTGGTAAACTCTTTTCCATTTCTTGTTATGCCTTTAATGGCATTCTAATTTGTATACGTTGACATTTATTTTTATGCATACTTTACACTTTTGATATATGTTCACCCCTTCATTTAAGGGAATAGTCCATTAAAAAATATGTAGTAGATATCCCAAAGAACATATGCCTGTCATTTGTTTTGACAGTTTCTTTGGGGTTATATGAAATTATGGTTTGTACTAACTACCGCAAACCCTCCCATTCTTCCCCAGCACAGACTTTCTGTGGGTGTTCAATTACAGGTTTCTCAATGAGATTTGTAAGGCAGGTTTTGTGGGCAGTACTCAGAACATCCAGTTTAGATTTGACAGGGTTTTTATGTTTAATCTTTTAATTCACAACCTTGCCCCTTGTACAGTTCATAATGAATAATGCTGACAGGCATGTATCTCACTTACTTACACCTTTTATTACCACTCACTAATCTCTTAAATTTAATGTTGTACAATGTTGCACATTTTATTTTAAATCCCATATGTCACCTAAAAACTGTTCTGCAAAGTGTATACCATTTCTTTCTCCATAACAATAGTGCTTCTAAACTGTCTTTTCTTGTAATTTACACCTCTAAATCTAGCAAACATTACTTTTCTATATCTTGTACATTCGTATCTTCTTAAAAGGACACTCTAAGTAACAAATCCACTACATCTTAATCTATGCTATGGTAATGTTAACGCAATAAATATTGTAGAATTTGTGCATATTTGGCTTCTGGCAGTGTAAAACAGTGTTTCTATGTGCAGACGATTCTAATGCCATAATCCCTTCTGTTTAATTCTACTGTTCTTGCACTAGTTGTCGTGGCAGCGCAAAGATGTGTGTTATCTTGTGCACATCAAAAATATTGAATTTAAAAAAAACAATCAAAAACAAAAAAATAGTGTTTCCGAGGAACTACAATTTTTACATATTTGCCTGAATCATGTATCTAGTGGATGTCAGACAGCCAGTAGAGACACTACCTTCTTAAAAGGTACCCTGCAACCACTTATCATGGCCTCCTCTCCCATTCCCCACAATCTCAATAGAGAGGTTGGTGTTATATTTCTGTATCACCTACCTCTAGTCCATTGTTGCTCCTCCTCTGCTGTTCACTGATTTGCCCTGCTTGGGAGCACTTCACCAAGCAGGGCTAACCTCAGTGAAGCCGACATGCTGACTACTTCTGAACGGAGTGTGTGTGTGTGTGTGTGTGTGTGTGTGTGTGTGTGTGTGTGTGTGTGTGTGTGTGTGTATATATATAGTATATTTCAATCTACTCGGCAGGGAACAGGCTATAGACTGCGAAACATAGAATGTTATGGCAGATGAGATCCATTCGGCCCATCTAGTCTGCCCAGAACCACTACATTAATCTGAGGCTCTGACTCAAGTTATGTAGTGGATTTACTTTGTTTAGGATCATTGTCTTGCTGCATTACCCAACTTCTGAGTTTCAGCTAGCACACAGCCACCATATTATCCTGTAGGATATCTTGATAAACTTGAGAACTAATTTTTCTGGATGGCAAGTGGCTCAGGGAAACTATATAGTACCCCTCTATGTCAAGGTCTTCCTGTTAAAAACCCCTGCAGATGTCCCTCAGCACTACTCCTCGTCAACTCATGGGGGAGAATTAATGTGCGTGCGCGGAAAAACGCTTTCCTATGGGTTTTTGCGTGAAGCTGGATGTCCTCATGCATATCATAGGACATCCAGCGTCAGGCGACCAAAAGTCGCCAAACGACCTGGAAGTCCCTCTAGTGAAGTGATGGTGAACCTATGGCACGCGTGCCACAGGTGGCATGCCGAGCCCTCTCTGTGGGCACGCGGCCGTAGGTTCAGCATCAATGCAGAGTAGGCACCTGCCTGCCCGAAACGGCAGGCGCCTACTCTGCTTCCTTGTCGGCAGGACCGGAAGCAGGGGGAGGCATCTAGGAAGCAGCTCTCCTGTCCTCCCTCGAGCTGTGTGGAGCGTTGTTGTGCATTACCATGGCAACGCTCCACACAGCATCGCTCGGGAGGACAGGAGAGCTGCAGGCTCCTGTCCTACATACTTACCACCACTGGACCACCAGGGATGGCTGTGTTTCCCCCCCCTCCCCTTCACCAAAGGTAAGATGAAGGGAGGAGGAGGGGTAGTGGGGTGGGGGAATACTGATTCAATATGCTTTTTTTAAAAAAAACCAAAACGCTTTTAATGTATCTTAAACCCCCCCCCAACAGAGCACCCCTGCCTCCCCACATACAGCACCCCTCACACAGCACCCCTCACACACACACACACACACACAGCACCCCTCACACACACACACACACAGCACCCCTCACACACAAACACATACACTGCACCCCTCAATGCAGTATATGTGTGTGTATTTAGCAGTCTGTGTGTGTATGTATTAAGCAGTCGGTGTGTGAATTTTTTCAGCTGTGTGTATGCATTGCATTTGTTGGAGATACTAACAAATATAAGCTTAATTTTATCTATGAATATCATTATTTAAAATGTGTATATTTGAACTCTGTGTCTTTTCTAAAACAAAAGATGTTAACTAGTTCGGACAACTGTACGAGTTGTTTTTTTTTCTAAACTTAAATCTCAGTATTCAGGTTTAATTGCCGTGTTGGCACTTTGAGGAAAAAAAAGTTGTCATGTGGGCACTCGGGCTCAAAAAGTGCTCATCACTGCTCTAGTGTCTGTCTGGTAGACCGCTACTAAAGGTGGAGTTAATCTACAAAGGTAATTATTGCAGTTTCTTAAAGCTGCAATAATTACCTTTGCAGGGTTAAGGGACCTGGGAATATGCACCCAGACACCTTCAATGAGCTGAAATGGTATGGGTGTCTATAGTGTCCCTTTAAGTTTCATGAGTCCACAAAATATTTTACAGTAGCATGTCATGGTGCTTCAAGGCAAACATCAGGCGCACAACAATTTTATTTACATTTTTCAAATAATTATGGAATGGTAAAATGATTGGAATGGATTCCTAGTAGAAACATAAATTTTTCTATAGGCTGGTAAATTATTTCGGGAGTATACAGTTGCAAGAAAAAGTATGTGAACCCTTTGAAATGATATGGATTTCTACACAAATTGGTCATAAGATGTTATCTGATCATTATCTAAGTCACAATAAACAATCACAGTCTGCTTAAACTAATAACACACAAAGAATGAAATGTTGCCATGTTTTTATTGAACACACCATGTAAACATTCACAGTGCAGGTGGAAAAAGTATGTGAACCCTTGGATTTAATAACTGGTTGAACCTCCTTTGGCAGCAATAACTTCAACCAAACGTTTCCTGTAGTTGCAGATCAGACGTGCACAACGGTCAGGAGTAATTCTTGACCATTCCTCTTTACAGAACTGTTTCAGTTCAGCAATATTCTTGGGATGTCTGGTGTGAATCACTTTCTTGAGGTCATGCCACAGCATCTCAATCGGGTTGAGGTCAGGACTCTGACTGGGCCACTTCAGAAGGCGTATTTTCTTCTGTTTAAGCCATTCTGTTGTTGATTTACTTCTATGCTTTGGGTCATTGTCCTGTTGCAACACCCATCTTCTGTTGAGCTTCAGCTGGTAGACAGATGGCCTTAAGTTCTCCTGCAAAATGTCTTGATAAACTTGGGAATTCATTTTTCCTTCGATGATAGCAATCCGTCCAGACCCTGACGCAGCAAAGCAGCCCCAAACCATGATGCCCCCACCACCATACTTCACAGTTGGGATGAGGTTTTGATGTTGGTGTGCTGTGCCTTTTTTTCGCCACACATAGTGTTGTGTGTTTCTTCCAAACAACTCAACTTTGGTTTCATCTGTCCACAGAATATTTTGCCAGTACTGCTGTGGAACATCCAGGTGCTCCTGTGCAAACTGTAAACGTGCAGCAATGTTTTGTTTGGACAGCAGTGGCTTCCTCTGTGGTATCCTCCCATGAAATCCATTCTTGTTTAGTGTTTTACGTATTGTAGATTCGCTAACAGGGATGTTAGCATTTGCCAGTGACTTTTGTAAGTCTTTAGCTGACACTCTAGGATTCTTCTTCACCTCATTGAGCAGTCTGCGCTGTGCTCTTGCAGTCATCTTTACAGGACGGCCACTCCTAGGGAGAGTAGCAGCAGTGCTGAACTTTCTCCATTTATAGACAATTTGTCTTACCGTGGACTGATGAACAGCAAGGCTTTTGGAGATACTTTTATAACCCTTTCCAGCTTTATGCAAGTCAACAATTCTTAATCATAGGTCTTCTGAGAGCTCTTTTGTGCGAGGCATCAGTCACATCAGCCAATGCTTCTTGTGAAAAGCAAACCCAGAACTGGTGTGTGTTTTTTATAGGGCAGGGCAGCTGTAACCAACACCTCCAATCTCATCTCATTGATTGGACTCCAGTTGGCTGACATCTCACTCCAATTAGCTCTTGGAGATGTCATTAGTCTAGGGGTTCACATACTTTTTCCACCTGCACTGTGAATGTTTACATGGTGTGTTCAATAAAAACATGGCAACATTTCATTCTTTGTGTGTTATTAGTTTAAGCAGACTGTGATTGTCTATTGTTGTGACTTAGATGATGATCAGATCACATTTTATGACCAATTTGTGCAGAAATCCATATCATTCCAAAGGGTTCACATACTTTTTCTTTCAACTGTACATGATAGTGAGGGAGGTTTTATCGACTGAATTTCATTTCACCAAGTAAATGAAAGTAAAAATATGTGTACACGATTTTGTCACTGAAAACTTTAAATGTGCTTCTGAAGATTACATTGGCCATTTGTACTTTAATCCACAAAAGCTTTATTATAATATTCATTGGTGTTACTTTGTTCAATGATCTACTGTGTTTGTGTTTTTTGTTTTCCTTAACATTTTACATTTGCAGCCAATATTTGATTGGAATGTGAAGCAGCTATTTATTTATTTATCAGCTGAATATTCAACTAGAAGCAATGTAAGTATGTTTGAATTATGTTGGATTTGGGGTTATGTCAAGCCTCTATAGCAGATGTGCCCAAAAGGTAGATCCCCAGATGTTTTAACACTACAACTCCCATAATGCTTTGCATGCATTTAGAATGACAAAGCATCATGGGAGCTGTCGTTTTAAAACATCTGGAGATCTACCTTTTGGACACCACTGGGAAGGTGAACTTACAATAATACAATCCACTCATAATATTGAGTGGCTGTATTTTATAAATTAATCAAATGAGTCATTATTTGTTCTCAAAGGACCACTTTTTTATTATTAATCTCTGAAAAAATTGTCTTAAACATGTAGTTATCCACTAAAAACCATTTACCAGCTATTCAACTGAAAATTTTATTTTTTTGGCTAAAATAACCTAATTGGAAACATTCTCTAATTGCATAGGTTTTCAGTGTGGCTATTTTAGATTAAAATGCAAAATTCCATGGCTGATTTAACAACATATCAAGGTTTAGAGCAAGGGTAAGCAACCTTTTGGCACTTTGGATGATGTGGACTGAATCTGCCTTAGTGCTTGTAAAGCAACAGTGTAGATGTATTCCGCAACATCTGGAATGCTGTAGGTTGTCTATCCCTGGTTAAGTGAATAACTGAATATAGTTTGTTTTACAGCTTAGTCTCTGAAATATCATATTTATATTCTAGAAACAGCAATACATTAAATGAAAATTTGCTTATTTTTAAATGGTTTACCTAGGGTTAACAAGTGAGATGATACGCCACAAACAATACATATAGGTTTGATTAACTAGTTCCAGCCGATTCAGTTGTTGTACTGCTTTGAACTCAATTAGCTTGCCAATACTCAAGAATAAATATTAAAATGTTTTCGCTAGTTCTAGAGAAGTAAATGTATTTAAATAAATGCCCCTTATTTTATTCGCTATGAAAATATAACAAATGTATGTGAGAAAGTGAAATTGAATCCTTGGAATTATTTATTCATGCAGTTTTGGCATACAAGCCATTAGTTCATATTTATGTATCACAAATAAGAATACATTTTCAGTCAGAGTGATCTTGCCTCCTTATTATCATATGCAATTAAAGGAACTAAATGAAGTCACGGTGCCAGGAGGCCCCCGGGCTCACTTTTACCTCAAGGGGTTAAATCATATTTGGTTTAACCTGGTTAAGCTAGCTCCCTTACTACCACCAAACCTCCCCCCCCCCCGCACAAATAATCTCTCACTCTCCCCCAATATGCGGGGTTGCCATTATCGATTGATCGCACCGCATCCCCTACCTTTAAGTCCATACTCACCTTTTTTATTTTTAAATTAAATCTACTGCTTATAACAACTGCACAAAGTGCTTCTGCACGGCGGTGTACTCTAATTAAAGGACCACTATAGTGCCAGGAAAACAAACACGTTTTCCTGGCACTATAGTGCCCTGAGGGTGGTCCCACTCCTGTGGCGCTGAAGGGTGAGGAATGGGTAATCCCTTACCTTTTTTTTCCCAGCACTGGGCTCCCTCGGCGCTGGGACTCTCCTCCCTCTTCTGACGTCCCTGGCTGCATGCGCATGGGCGGCAAGAGCCGCGCGCGCATTCAGCCAATCCATAGGAAAGCATCTCAATGCTTTCCTATGGACGCTGGCGTCTTCTCACTGTGAAAATCACAGTCCGCACAGTTAACATAACGTTTGTATGCATGTAACAAACCTCTGTTATGTCTCGACATTTTTATTGCATGTTGTGAATACCGTTGCCCTGCCTGTGGCAAACATAAAGAATTTCAAAAAACAAAAACACTATTTGGATAATGATTGGTATGTTTAGTAATATAATTTGCCATGAGCTAGAAAGACTAATGCATTATTCATTTAATTTGAACAGATGTCAGTGATATAGAAATTAGATATGTATAAATTTAAGTCCAAACCCCATTGCCCTGCTTTTAATTTCCGTAGTTATTTTGTTCTTATAGTCCTTCATCTATGTGGTCCCACTTGCATGGTTTAATTTCACCCCTTTTGTGTATATATTGTATTCCTGTGACCAGAAAATCCCTTTATGTTTAGTTTAGTACAATGGAATATACAACCAAAAAGACGACAGTGTTGAATTCTTTTGCACTTAACTCACAATACTCTATCAGAACAAGTACTGGTTTCTAATGTTTTTTTTTTTTTTTTTTTTAACTTTAGGCTTTGAACCAAGTTGTTCTTTGGGACAAGATCATCCTTCGAGGGGATAATCCAAAATTGTCTTTAAAAGAGATGAAATCAAAGTATTTTTTCTTTGACGATGGAAATGGTCTAAAGTAAGCATCTGGAAAAAATATATTGTTTTAATTAAAGCGTGCTATATATTTTTTATTTCTTTTCACGTAGCAAGTTCTTGCGATAAAATTTATAAGGTGAAAGCTGACACAACTGATGTCTGTTTACTTCTTGGCGCCAGAATGTTCCGTGATTGATTTGTGGTGACAGAAGGGAAAGTTCTGTGAAAGATCAAAATGTCAGAAGTACTCTAAAGGGTTGCTGCTTAATTATCATTGTTTGATATTCAGTGTACTACGATTTCCTGAAAATTAATTACGTGGTATTACTATTTGAAATCTGAACCTGGTATTCAGGAACAGAGATGTTAAAGTGTCTGCGTTTGTCTCCCCTGTTTCTGTCAGTGCTATGTTTAATAGCCAACCTACCTTAGGAGTGGATGTTATTGGCTACACGTTTTAAAGAATGTTAAAAATATCCCTTATACATTGAATGGTGCCACTACTTTCCAAGGTTTAATAGATGTTTGAGCCTATTCAGGAACAGAAAGGGTGAAATATTAAGCTGTTCGACATGGCCAGACAGTAGACACTCAGCTACAACTTCCTTGATAATATGCCAGGTTTAAGGATGGAAGTTCATCATTGGAATGGTAGTTAATAAACACTTGACTATCCTTGGAGTACCTTTTACTTATATTTCATCTCTGGTACTACTACAACTGCAGAGTCAATGTATTCATATCTATTTAACACGCAATACAGCTTTAATATATGAAAAACAAATGCTGTTTTATTTTTCCATGTGATTAAAATATTTTTTTAAATCTCAATTACATGCAAATTGCAAGATGTTTGCATGATACGATTGTTTCATGATTCGTTTGTATACTGCGACCAAAGTATATTATTATTATTTTTTTTCTTTTTTTTTTTTTTTTATTTTTTTTTTATAATTACACACCTTGTTCTATTGCAGGCATCCCCAAACTCTGGCCCTCCAGATGTTGCTGAACTACAACTCCCATGAATATATTAATGAAATAGGCTGAGAGTCATGGGAGTTGTAGTTCAGCAACATCTGGAGGGCTGGAGTTTGGGGAAGCCTGTTCTATTGCATGTACACCAGAAGAGACAGATTTGTGTGCCCCTCCCGTAAAATTATGGTTTCCATACCATTGCTACAGAATTGTCCGGTTTTTTTTTGTGTGTTTTTTTTATTACATTGTGATCTTAATCTGATTCTCTTAAATGATGTCTCTTAAGTATTTTATGTTTCATGGTGAAAAAAAAAGAGTTAAAATAAATAAAAAAAATTGCAGATTAGAGATATCAATATAGATTTTATATCTGTTTATGGTATGTTTGTGTCCAGCTTCTAAAGATTGCGGGTTTTTTATTTACTTAAAAGTACTCTTATATCTGAGAGTTTTCAGTCATCTATTGTGTCTTCTGTTTATCCTGTTCTGTGCTGCAGTAGTTATTATTATTATTATTATTATTATTATTAATGTAAATACATTTTTTCTTACAGGGGAAATCGCAATATTACACTCACTCTTTCTTGGAACGTTGTCCCAAATGCCGGGATCCTACCTCTTGTTACAGGTTCAGGGCACATCTCCATTCCATTCCCAGATAACTATAAAACCACAATGAGTTACTAAGTTACTGCAAGAATATTTTTTTTTTTTGTTTTTGTTTTTTTATTAAATATTCCTGTACATTTTGAAAATATCCTGCCTAAATTTCATACTTGCAAAATATAAACAAGACATTCATTTTACATAAAGAGATCCCATTGGAGAAGGAATCATATTTCAATAAACTAGAATAGCCATGTGGCTAAGAGCCTCCCTGTAAATAAATCTGAAAAAATGCCATTTTTATGTTTTTATTTTCAGTTTTTACATGTCTATGTCCTCTACAGAAGGGAAAAAAGGACTCATCTATTCACAATAATGCAATAAGTTGTTACTGCACATTGTTGAGCCTTGTAACTTGACAAAATCCAAATGATGTCCATTTAGAATATTGTTGTTTTTTTGTTTTGTTTTTTGTTGTTTTTCTATCCCCTGCTATCAAAATACATAACAAGGAACATACCCTTGTATATAAATGAATGTCCACTGTCTAAGCACTGTTTTTCAATAAAACTACCAAATGTCGTGACCAAGTCTGTTTTTATTTTCTGCCTTTTTGATGATGCTGACATTCTTCCTCCTTAAGTAAGAGATACGAAGTGGAATTCTAGTAAGGTTTGTTTCTCCAAATTATTACACTTCCTTGAATACTAATCCATGGATGAAGATAAATAAATGGCACAATCTTTTTGTGAGATGACCAGATTTAGTTCATTACAATGTTTTTTGTTTTTTTTTTAATGGTCCCCATTATTTTTTTTTAAACAAATATCAGTGGTGCTGGCACTCTATCACGTGGCGTGCAGCTTCATCCCCAATCAAAACCACATGAAATATACAAAAAATATCAATATAAATCGCACTCGAATGCATCTATTATGCATATATCAAGATATGATTTGGAGAGTCAATGTATAGGTATGCACGAAAACAATCCATTTATTATACACCAATTGTGTGTCAATTATATGAATAGAACAAGACCTCATATAAACCGATAATTTCTCATAATTTGGAGAATTAATGATTTCTAAATAAATTTGAATATGATACAAATACCGGAAATTCATAGTATATACACAAATCAACAACCACCAATATAGTGCAATTCATGCAAATAGGACAAAACCTATGGTAGATCAATCTCCTGTGTTAATTAATTCATATATTGTACACTTGGCTGGAATTGATGGTATATACACAAATCTACAACTATTTACACCTGGAATTCATAGTATATACATCTATCTACAACCACCAGTATTGTGTAATTCATGCAAATAGGACAAGATCTATCGTATAGATCAATGATCTCTCCTGTAAGAGTTAATCAATTCAAATATTGTACACTTAACTGAAATTGATGGTATATACACAAATCTACAATATACAGTTCGCATTCCCCATGTATATGGGACAGTAATTCCGTGGGTGGATCCTCTAACTAATAATTGTGATGTAGATAAGACTGGCACACCTTTTTGTATAGTGTGGCTATCATCCCCTTTTCTGAGCACACAATCTCTTTTTAATGAATGCATGTCGAAAGTGTTTGCATTTCATTATGCGCTATATAAATAATTAATAATAATAATGTGCAGGAGTAGGCGGAGCCAGGTAGCTATAGAGGAGGAGGTACTGCATTTTACTGATATCTTCAGACACCACTGCTCATATGCACTCATAGTGAATTTTTTGCTGAACTTATTCTATAAGCAATAATTTTATATGCACAGCAGGATGTTAATCCGATTTCTGAGGTAGAAAGTGAGCGGCTGAGGAACAAAAAGTTAACCACTGCAGATTTGGAGGGAGGGGCAATAAGGGTTGTCCTCTGGCAAAAAATTAGTGTTGAAAAAAATTAAAAAAACAAACTAGTGAAAAATAAAACGCCAAGAACAATTGACTTTAAACTATCCTACACATGTTAATAAATGTTTAAAGTGAACGGTCACTGTGATGTTTTTAGATTTGATTTACTTAACCCTATATCTAACAAATATATATTTATGAGGTGTGAAAAATAAAATTAAGTGTAAAAATCCACACTTCTATTTCATGTAAGTGGGTGCCTCGATGTTAACTCTGTCGGTCATTGTTGTACGTTCTGTACTGTGAACTTGGCAGTCCGCATATGAAGAAAATCAAACGGTTCTAGTTTTTTTTCCCCTCAGCATTTGTATTGTTTGACCTGGTATGTCTGAACTGGATTATGATGTGTTATGCTAAATCTTTAATATAAATTTTAAATAAAATTGAGAATCTCATAAAAAGTTACCACAAGTTACCTGTGCTTTTCAATGTTTTATTCCATGGTGTAAATCTCAGAGAAATTAGTCCTCTTTTAAGCACCCCCTGTTCCATCCCACTATGTACAGGTATATATGTAATGGTAGGTCACAGTTAGTGCTTTAAACTGATGAAACTCCACAGTTTTTTAAAGTATTCATTTTAAAGTGGAGATTGCCTTATAAAAGGAAATCATTGAAGCCATGTTAAGTAAGCTATTAGAGTAAATAAATTGGAAAACATACTGAATAATTTAGAAAAATATTGAAATTATCCCATTCTCTAAATTTTCCAAGTTTGTTGCTGAGTATTATTGCATTGCTCACATTAAATTTCAATATCCTGTTTATTAGCATTGTATACCAGAATATAGTTGTAAGAAACACATCACCACATTCAAACTTACAAAGCCCCATAAATAGTTTTTATTTTACAATAAAATATTCTGTTAAATGTGTTTTGGCCTAAACTAGAAGATTTAATAATGTTTTTTTCCCGTTGTTATAGCACCTTAACATATACACATATGTTCTTACTGATGCTTATCTGCAGTTCTGTATATTAATGTGGATAAAGATGTTTTACATTTTTGCAAAAGTGGCCCATGTGTGTAACTAAAGACTAGCATCCAAAATAAGCTGTACTGAGGCTACAGAGTAAATAACATGTAAGGTTATGCAAAAAAACTAAAATAAAAAAAAAAAAAACAGGAAGCATAAAAGTTTTTTTTTGTTTTTTTGTTTTAAATAGGTCTTCTTTTGAGCTAAGTTATGTATCTAGTAAAGTATTTTGTAGAGTAAGAGAAAAATAACATTAAAATCAAAAGATAACTCGTAACGACATAATCAACATACCTCCATTATAATGGCTACTATGCCCAAAGTCTATGGATACCATTTCATCTTTGAAAGAATAAATAAAGAAATAAATAAATATTTGAGCAAATGGACAAAAATGGGCTGACAAATGGCTTTTAGATTAAATAGTTTGTATCTATAACAAAGGACATGGCTATTTTCCATTTGTCAATTTTATGTGTCTAGCCATTTTAATTATATGGGGATCTTGATTCTAAAACAAACAAAACATCAGCTGTATACTGTTTGAATGTTTCCACAATGCTCACAATCATAGAAACACTTTTAGATAGGTGGAAGCAGCTACCCCTCCTACTTTCAGGGAGGGCATACCCACTAAAAACTGTTATCACTCTCAAAATACTATACACCCTTCAGCCCTGTTTTTGAAAGTCTTGTGATTGGAGTAGTGACCCAGAATCTTCCTTATGGTCTCAAAGATTCTAGTCTAGCAGCATGTTACCAAATGCATTGCACTGGATCTGTGGCTTGGGACTTTTCACAGCATTACATCTACTTACCCAGTTCTGCCCAGATTTTGCCCTCAACCATTACATACCCCATTTATATCTCTGCCATTGGATGTACAAGACCGCCTTCTTCTGTATTCAGCAATAAAGACCTGATAAAAGCGGTCTCCAGTTGGCATCACAATGGCAGTATTGTTGCTTCATTCCCCTTCTACAAAATATATTGTTTCAGGGGGAAAAATTGCAGTACCCTTACACACAATGGTTTTAGAAGGCCTTACCTTCAATTACAACTTTTTAGTCACACAAGACAAATGCATTCTCTGTTATACCTAGTTGTGGCAGACCTATCCTGAACTCGGCATTGCATTTCTTTCCTACTTACAGCTAGACAGCAGCATCCATGCACTTCTCAGTCATTGTAGTGGTCAGGACTGGAGTCACTGGAGAGCACATTTTAGGAACGCTGTATCTGGTCACACTTAAACTCTTAATGGAACAACGTATGGCACTGTAATAGACAACACGAACAATGTGAACATCAGTATTGATTTAAGTGTAAATTTTCATGACTTATGCTGACAGAAATTTGTATTAGATAACCATTTTATACTAGAAAATATGAAATAAAACACAAGGTCTTGATTTAATGTCATTGGATATGTTTTTCCAAGTGATTGAATATTTCTGGGATAAGTTTTAAAATTGACGTGAAAAATATTTTCATTTTGTAATGTTTTATTTTTGACGTACTTGCTATTTTAATATGTCAAAATCATTTGGAACGTTTAACAAAAAATATTAAATCACTTGGAAACTTTATCCAACAATATTCAAAAGAGGCCTAAGCTGTAAAAAAATAATAATGCAAATATAAACAATCTTTTTGCAAATTGCAGAGGAGTGCAATTCAAATATATGGCCATTAGATGGCAATCTTGCATTTAAACTAATGCAACTAAAGCAACTTTGCATACTTTATGATCACAGTCTTAATTATTGAATCACTTAGCTGTAAGTATCTACTAAAGGCTCATGGTGAGTAAAGGCTTGCAGTTCTCAGTTTGTGGGCTACATATTTAATTAAAAGGAGAATTTAATGATAAAGAAAAACACTACATGAAATTGGTGTCATGAAAAACAAAAATGTTCATCTTTTGACAGAGCTAGTTATGACTAGAAATATATATTGAAATATTAACAGATACTACATTTTTAATTCAAGTGTTTCTTCTGAAAGCCAGGAGAAGTTTTGAAACACCACAATTACTGGAATTGTAGTAAGAATATACAAACTGGAATCTTGCATAACATATCGTTTAAATTTTAAAAAGGAATTCAATGGATGCCAAATACTGGTTATGTATGTGCAGCAGGCTACAAATTCTGCTGAACTCTGCCAGGTAAAGACAACTTGCTGAGGGTGATGGGAAATACCTTTCAACTACAGTGCTTAAAGAGACATAACACCGTAACCACTGCAGCAAAGAATCGTGACAAAACCTGCAACACATTGCAAAGCAGTAGCGCAGACTCAAGGCATTATTTTTTAAACAGACATTGACAAGAACAATTTTTATTATATAGTAGAGAAGATATGGAAATGGTTTTAAGATACTTCACAAGTAATGCTTAGCTCACCATGAATTTTAGCTGTAGGTTCACACTAAATCCTGTGTTATGGCCAAAAATAAATGATGCGGTGCTGGTCAGTGCAAATTCACTTCCGCATGTGTATACTCAGAATTCACCCAGAATAACATCTACTGAGGCTGTTGTGTGGAAAGGTCCATTTGAAGCAAAGATGGATTACATTTGAGTGAAATCAGTTTGGTGAGATTTCCAAGCCTAGCATTGAAATTCTTTGCTTAGTCATCTGGCATATGGTAGGAAATCCTTCCGATGTTCACATTCACACTTATCAAAAATGATATA